TGTTTCTTTGAATTCTTTTTTTCCTTACATCACAAAATCCTGTTTTTTTGTTTAATAATAAGTTCATATAATGTTATTAGTCAGTTGCATAAGTATATTTGATCATTTGTATCCAGCAAGTTACCAATAGTTCCTGTCAGTGTTTTTTATGTGCACAGCACTATGCCAGATCAACTTAGAAGAAATGCCTAATTTCCTAGTGCGGTTTCTTCAGCATAATCCTTCATCCGCCTGTGTAATATTGATGTGTTAAGCTCCCTTGGCTTGTTTGCTCAACACTTTTAGAGGGCTTTCAGAACAAGTTGATCCGTGGTCTAACAGGTCCATGGATCAGATATGGCAGACCCACTTGAAAGCTTGCTGCTTAATCCCCTAATATACACTGAATAGATTCCCTGCAGGGATTACGTGGTAAGCTTTCAAGTGGGCCAGCCATATTTTATCCGTGGATGAACTTCGGAGGCATGGTGTTAAGTCTTAATAACAGCTTAAATGTAATCCAGGGTTTTTAGATTTAGTGTAATCTGTAATGGGAGAGGTAAAACAAGGTTGAATAGAAAAGGAAAAAAAAACGTCTAGATTATGTATTAGTGTACATTTCATAAGGAAATAGTTTTGCAAGGATAAGGGACAGAAATATTATGGGTGTTCAAGGGGTTAGCCAGTGAGCTGTCCAGCCATCATTTGGACAGCCTCTTCCAGCAGAGGACAACTAATTTTGCAGCTGGAAGGCTTGATAAAATTCAAACAGCTGGAAGACTTGTTAAAAAAATAGATTTATAAAACAGATGCTGAAAAATGTGATCTAATATTAAGGGTTAGTCATGCTAGTTTACCATTTTGTCTGGCCTTACCCTGCACCATTTTAAATTAACCCTTCAGACTGACAGCCACCATGTTCCATTTCAGATTTACCTGTATGAATATGGAGACCTTGGCATTGAACAGCGTCCACGTCAGGTTTTACCACACGCCGTAGTGGAGTTCACTTACATACCAGACTCCACTTCACAGTCAAGCACAAAATCCAGCAATGTTGCAGCTAAGTCCAGTGTAGCAAAGTCTGCCAAAAAACCCACCAGCAAAAGGTTTGTTTTTCTTGCCGACCACAGCAGAGTTGGGGATACTAACAAACAGCAGGGAGGTGGCCCAATAAGTCCCATGACTAACCACCCAAAACGCTCCTTAAAACAAGGACCTCTCAGTAGGAAAGTTGGACAGCTCCCCTCAGTATCAGAGGGTGTGGCCTCCACCCCCAGTCAAAACAACCCCCCAGTCCGTAGCAGGTCTGGTAGTCAGTCAAAAATGGCATCTTCCAATGTCACTACGAGATATGTTAATGACTGTAATCTTAGTGGTAGTAGTAGCAACTCTGTTCAACCCTTGTGGGGGAAACGTATATCTAAGACCCCAGATAAGCCTGCTTTTGCAGCTGGTTCTCAGACTAAGAAACCTAAGCCGACTTTAAATGGTCCAAAAAGTCCTGTCTTGCCGCGCAGACTTCCCAGTACTGTACCCAAGTCCCCCCAGCATGTGCTGCCCTCTGTAGGTGCTGCTAAGTCCCAGAATCCCTCACAAGGAAGTTGGTTTCCAGTATCAGCTGATAAAAGCACAACTAAAAGTAAAGATGTTGCAGTGCCATCAGTTTCTTCTGGTTCCCAGTCAAGTCCAGTGGTTTCTGCAGACAAAATAAGTGCCCATCCCTGTTTAAGGTCCCCAGCCAGACGTACTAGTGATGAGCCTACGAAGGAAACAGCATCTGAAATTCAGGTTCTTCAAGCAAGGACAACATTGCATGACGGAGAATCCGTTAAGCCAAGCGGAACTAAGAATCTTGATGTGCTTACAGAAGTGAAGGCAAATTCTAAGGCTCTGGACACAGACATGGGCACACAGAGGGAACTGTTACTTCCAGTACGTACACAGAATGATATGTCTGTCAATGAAGGGACAACGCAGATAAAAACCATACTAGACAAACCAGCAGAGTTGCCCAAAACACCTGTTCAAATGCTCTCACCAAAGTCTCCCACACCACAGAGGCAGACGACAACTGATTTTTCCATCAGTACCTCACAAACTGCCACCTATATTAACCCAGCACCAGATGTTTCTAGTAGCACTGTAACTGCCAGCGAATGCTCTGTTTTGCAGTCTATAACAGTGCCATCACTGAAACAGACTCGACCTCATGTCAAACAAGAAGCTCCAAGATCTATTAATACTGTATATGATTTAGAGAGAGTGTTTTCACAGCTAAAGACAGTGGCTCAAAAGCCTCCAGTTTTGCCAAATACTACCAAAAGGAGCATGCAGGAGAACAGGACAGAGCTTTATCAAAATTTAATGAATTATCTGGGCATAGGTGGCACAAGCAAAACCCTGCATTTTGGCACTAGTCGCATGGGATCCATGACTCAACTGAACAGTGGGAAAAAAATAGCTGCAAGTAGTCAACTGGACTCTGCTGGACAAATAGGTTCTAACAGTCAACTAGGCTCTAGCGGTCAACTGGACTTAATTAGGCAAGTAGGTTCTGGTGGTCAACTGGGCTCTACAAGGCAAATAGGTTCTGCCAGTCAACTGGGCTCTACAAGGCAAATAGGTTCTGGCAGTCAGCTACCATCCAGTGGGCAATTAGTCTCTGGCAGTCAACTGGGCTTTGCTGGGCAACTAGGTTCTGGCAGTCAACTGGGCTCTGCTGGACAACTAGGTTCTGGCATTCAACTGGGCTCTGCTGGGCAACTAGGTTCTGGCAGTCAACTGGGCTCTGCTGGGCAACTAGGTTCTGGCAGTCAACTGGGCTCTGCTGGACAACTAGGTTCTGGCAGTCAACTGGGCTCTGCTGAACAACTAGGTTCCAACACTCAGCTTGGCAGAAGCAATAAACTTGGACCAACATATCAGGCAGACATGTTAGGTTTGACCAATCAGATGGCACAAGTAAAGGAAGCTGAAATGCAAATAAGGCCTGAAGGTCCTGTAAGACAGAACAGTGACAGTGACACTAACAGTAGTTGTCTGGAAGTAGAAGTAGAATATCAGCAGAAATTAGAGAGGTTTGTGTTGCTTTAAGGTACCCATGACATATGAAGCTTTTTAATGTTGTATGCTGTATGTAGGTGTGGTGGTGGTTGTTGGGGATGGGACACAATGCAGTCGTTATGTGTTGTGTGGTGGTGGTTAATATGTCAATTGTTACAGGGTCCAGTTGTAAGTATTATTCATGTGGGTGTTGTAGAGGTGTAACCAGTCCACCCAAAACAGCCTTATGATCTATACCCCTGTGCTCTCTGCTTATGTTAAATTGTAGATGTTAATTGATCATTAAGATGATTAAATTTGAGTAATTATATGAAATGAAATATAAATGGCCAGTACCTCAGGTTAAATCAATCGATTCCCTCTGTGATTTGCCTCAATGTTGCACAGTCATTCCAATTATGTCGGACATGAGATTTTTTCTGAAAAATCATGGAATTTCATGATTTTTAATTCAGTTCAGAACTTCTTATGGTTCCTCAGATTATCACACATTACCAGATGTATCATCACAATATATGTTCAAAGATTTTTTTATTGAAAATTCCAGGCTCATGCCTGAGTTGATTTCTATGGCAAGCTGCAGTCAGTTTGATTATCACTGCCTAATTGGTATGCTTGAAAATAATCAATTCTTTACCCTCATCTCCTGTGGAAGTACGGGATTGTTACCTAGAATTGGATGGTTGATTCTATTTTCCTACCCCAGCTGTGTCTCTGATTATTGTGACATTAAGTGGCTGATTATTTCTGGTTGGTTGGAGTAGTATGTGATGTTGTAAATGGTTTATGTAGTAGCTACCTTTCCCAATTCTTCTTTCCTGTTTGATGTAATGTGGACTTATTGTGACAGGTATTTGATGTCGGTTATACTGTATCACAGACTTCATTTATATTTGACTGTCAAAGTTGATATTTTAAAACCTAATTTATCATTTTATGGAATCCATTTTTGAATAAGCAAAACTATGACTTACTTATATACGGTAGTGGTTTTGATTTATAAAATCTAAAAACATTGCTAACTCATATATACATGTGTAATATTATTTCTGTATTATATTTACATTCAGAGGAGTAAAAGGTACAGTTGGGTTCACCTCACATCGTCCCCCTCTTCTTAGCACTCCACCAGGATCACAACCAATTGGCGGTGCCCCACAGGAAAGAAAGGAGGAACAGTATGGTGAAATGACATTTTCTTCACACGGACAGTGTTTGCCACCACAGGCTGGGCAAAATGTTCATTCCCATTTCTCTGAGAAGGGAGCACCACAAACTCAACCCCCGTTTACCAAACTGATGGCGCCACAAGTCCAATCCCAGGTTACTGAACAGATGGCGCCAGCTTTTCAGCCTCCACTTACTCAGCAGGTTGCACCACAGGTTCAAAAGCAGTTTACTCAAAAGGTGGCACCACTATTGCAGTCGCAATTAAGTCATCAGGCTGAGCCACATGCCAATGTTGCACAGAAGGAGAGAACTGACATCCAGACGCAATTTTTTGAACAAGTTCAGACACAACTAAGTCAAAGGAGGACATCTGACTCTGACCACCAGGCACTGATTTCACAAACAAAGAAGCTGCTTGTGGACACAGACCCTCACGGTGTTACACAGCCGGAGACGCGTCCAGTGTCAGGGCCAGTCTTGGGGACAATGGACATGGGACAGCAGGTGTCCGAGGACCCTAAACCCAGGGGAGTGCTGATTTGGAGGGGGGAGGTCAGCAACAGGGGAGGGTTCCTTTGTGGAGTGGAGATGATCTCTTATGGTCTGTGTGTTAAGCCAGCACGCATGTAAGTATGGGCACTGGCCTTGTCTGTGATGTTTAAACAGTAAAATTTGTACCAAGAACATCTAATTTTATCTTTGCATAAAATATTTTTAAGTTTAAAGATGTGTTTAATTTGCAGGATGTTTATTTCACAGATCATTTTTTTTTTGACTTAATTAATGATTGTTCAGGAAAAATATATAACTTCCTGTTGTTGTGATATTCTCTTAAGGTTTAAGAAAGTGACTTATTATCAATAAAAAGTGCTCTAGTTGCCAAGTTTGAATGAGATACCCTCTAGAGTTACCAAGTTTAGATAATAACAAGGTTGCCCCTGAAAGAACAATCTTTACAAAATTCCCCCATTTCAGTGGGAACACTATGAACATAAGCACCCAGATGTCTGTGAAGAAGGTGACCCAGCGCTACCTGACTGGACTGGTGATGGACAGGCACCATGAAGTCATTAACAATGGGTTCTTTTACAACTACTGTGAACTGCGACCTCAGGGCGGCTGCCAGAACAAGTTTAACAGTCTTCTGGCTGTGCTGCTCAGGAAGGATGCTGTGAGTATGGGGTGAAGGGCAGCACAGCAAAATAAATAGCTTTTCTGGAGGAGGGGGGGTGGGGGGAAACAACATTAAATTTAAAAAAAGAAAACTTCCATGAGTTAAATTTTCCATTGTCCACTGAAACAAAGCATACCCTCAAGTACAATGGCTGTGGCATTCCAAGCATGCCACTTACTGAGCTTTGGTCTGATGACCAATATGTTTTTTCACTGTAGTTGAAATTCACGGGAAACTGTCTCCTCGTTCTATATAAATGCTGTTTTTTGCTGTTAGTTTTATAAAATTATGCATGCAAAGTTATGTTTTTTTCATCATCAGATATGGTTCTACAGTATATGTAGTGATTTGTTTTTACTCCAGGCCATCATTGTAAAAATAGAAGAAGCAGATGCTCTACTTTTTCCTAATTGTGAAGCAACACACAGATTGGGTGAGGAGCATCTTCTCAGGTTTTGGTTTCGTAAAAATAGATATGTTAGCAGCCAGTTTCTTCTGTCTGTTCACCTGTAGAATAAGTTTTTTTTAATGTTGTACAAAATATTTGTAATTTTTATGGAAGACTGAGACCATGAAATATGATAGTTTGTGAAACCAAGTCTTCCTCTGGTTCAGCTATCACTTCTTAGAGAATGAAATAATACAACCAGCACCTTATTGTTATCAACAGTGTTCTGCAGGAAAAAAAATAAAAATTCATTAAAAGAGAAAAACATTGTTCTAGGACAGATTGAGAAACCTTGAGCATTAAATGAGACAAATTTTCGCACGGAAAGACAGCTGATGAAAGTCTTTGCTGGATAAATCAGTATGATCAGATTTGTCTTAATTCCAGGACTGTCAACCCCCAGTGAGCAGCGTATGGCACTTCACTGTGTTTTTATTTCTGAGAAATCCAGAGTTGAGGCAATGAGAGGTAAACGCAACCACATTTAATACCACACATGGCTGTTGTGCTTTGGGAATAATGTAAACTAATGAGTGGTTCTGTGGTCTTTATTACTTTCTTGTTAAAAAAATAGACTTGGTCGTAGTTGATATTTGTGTGGAATATGTTTTGAATGTTTTCTTTTATTATGATTAAAAAAAGACAAAAACAAAGATTTGTTTTTGTAATTGTAACGCTTTAATTGAAACCTTTTTGTCTGCTTTTTTTATTATTTTTAAATTTTATTTATTTATTTATTTATTTATTTATTTATTTATTTATTTATTTATTTTTTGAGTTAAATTGTTTGGTACATGTATTCATATGATTAGTGTGAATATTATCTTTAGATACTAAGTGCTTCTTGTTGAGTGTGATGAAATAGATTTTATGTAGTGTGTCATGTTTGGTTTATCAGTATACTTCTGTAGTGTAACATAGTCCTCCCCTGCTTTTATATATATACATAGACAAAGTAGTCAGGTCGCCTCCTGCGCACAGATCAAATTTACGGCATGCACAAAGGAGCCTGACTATGTCACTAGGGGGCTCTGGTAGATACAAGACAGGACAAACTCAGTCTGGTACATGTACTAATCGACAAAGCCATGGTTTGTACTTCTGTTGTTTTGTTTTCTTTTCTTTATTTTTTTTCTTTTATTTATTTATTTAGTTTTGTTCTTGAATGTTTGAGATGTGCTCACATATTTCTAGAACTTTCTTTGCTCTCGAGGTTATTACCCATTTGTTTTTTTTTCCTAACTTGTGCTACAAGTTGATTGTTTATTTTAAGAGCTCTAGATATAATGCTTGTTTCTTTGATATAAAACATGGGGGTTGAACTCCTAAAATGGAAGAATGTTGAGATGGTGTGTACATGGAATATGCCCCAGGTGCTGAGCTAGCGAATGTCGATTTTGCTTGCATTGATTGAGCTCTACAATGCACTCTAAAATCAGGGAAGTCAGTAATTTAGTACAGATTTTAAGGGCATATTTGGGAAGAGGAGTGCTCTATGTGTGAGAGAGGCAAAATGTCAGGATTAACTACCAACTCAACATACTTTTAGGAGTTCAACCTCCTTGTCAAGGGTAGTATGGTGTTAGTTTTCTTCACCATGTCTACTTCATTCATGTGCACGTGATTTTTTCCCCTTTTACTTTCTACTTTATCTCTCACAGTGACTGTTATTATAATATAATATAATATAATATAATATAATATAATATAATATAATATAATATAATATAATATAATATAATATAATATAATGGCAACTTTTACTTTGGCAATATGTGTGTGTATGTGGGTGTGCTTCTAATAAGATTTTTCATAATTGTTTCAACAATAAAAATTAGAATGTCTAGGTCAGCATCACTGCTAATACAGTTGACATTAAAGATAAATGTTTGACATCCTTGCATATATTTCACTGCCTCCACTTTCATTTTATAGATTATACACCGCCTGTAGCAGCTGAAGAAGACAGACCGTCACAAGCAGTCAGGGTGGATTTCAGCCGGGCATTTGGAGGTAGGTGCTGAACTGATTAAATATCTCTCAGACCATGTTTAGATGTACCTCCACCATAGAGGTATATTTTTTACCCTTGTTTGTGATTGTCTACTCGAAAAGTTACATACTTTGATAAAACTTTTGACTTCATTTTAGAAATGGGCTAACTTAAAATCTAAAAATATTTTTGAAGATCCATTAATTTCCTTGGCGGAGGTCTGTGCTATTTGATTGCTTCTCTGGTTGTGGTTGTTGTTTCAGGCCAGATAAAATCTGGGTACAAAAATTTGAATATCATTTCATCAGAAATTAAAAAACAATGCGTCTAAATACTTTCTGAAATAAGGCTTTCGTAACAAAAAAGGCCATCTTTGCCACCCACATTGAAGAAGAACCTGCGTTGACAAGTTTCGTACTAATATATTTTTGCCTTCATACTTAGGTTCCTATGACACCACTGGTCTTCGTCAAGACGCCAGCGGCAGTACCTGGAACCATCCTTTTGCCCCAGGTTTCCCATCGCAACCACCAGGGGTCAGCCCTGTACAGGGTCTGCGAGATGCTTCAGGAGATCAGTTCCGGCTGCCACCAAAACTCACTCGCACTCCACACGTTCCCTTGGACCATTTTGACACAGGGTTTAATAGTCAAGTTGTTTCCGGTGCTCTTTTGATGGACACCAAGTTAGAGAAGGGGTTCCAGGACCAAGGCATTATGCAAAATAACCGAAACCTGGCCATAGCACGAGGGACATACCAGTTCAAGGAGCCAATCCCAAAAAGTCTGATAACATTCCCCTCTACAATAGGTGGCACCACTGGACAGAGCCAGCTGATGACATCTGTCCAACAAGTGCAGGCGCCATCTATAGTTCAAGCACAACAAAAAGATATGAGTGTATCATTCCAGTCATCAGTAGGAAATACATCATACACAAGCCCGAGCCCTTCTACTTCATCTTCCTATATTAAATCAGATACAGTCCAGTCCAGCTTGTCTCTAGCTTCGCAAAACAATATATCATCCATTAGTATGCCCTCTATAGCATCACCACAGACTCTTGATGGTTTAGCGCCACCTGGTGGTTCGAACTTGTTAACCTCTCCAAGGCTCATCCCCAGCAGCCCTGGGGTTGGCGTGAACCCACCCCTGGGGATATCCTCCAGACCGGGCCCCTCCCCTAAAGAGGGAGAACTGACCCACAAGTCCATCTCTGTTCTCATCAATCAGCTGACGGAGAACATCGAGCAGCTTCAGGCTCAGCAGAAACTGTTGATAGAACAAAGGAAAATGACACCGCCTCAGACACCACCACGGACACCCACTGGTGAGCAGGACCTCTCTCCAGCATCCCTGTATAAAAGGTCCAGGGACCCAAGGATGGCCAAGGGGATGTTCAGGTCACCAGATGGAGCAACAGTCGAGATGAGGTCACCTCCTGTGGCTTACATATCAAACAGCGGGGGTCGGGATCAGCAAACCCAACCGATGGACATCACCATGGTTAAAAGTGATAGTGATTTTGCTGAGACGGTCCCCCATTCCAGTGATGCTAAGTCCTCCATTGTTGTGTCACAAACGGGAGCAGGTGCTCTGAGGACAGCTACCAGTAGTCAGCATTCGGATTTAGTAAAGAGCCCCTCTGTCGGAAACCCAGCCAGCACAAGTACCTGCAAGACAGCCATAGCCAATACCAACAAGACCAGTGTCACTATCACTCAGACTACATTGAGACCAGCAGTCAGCTCTACACTGACTTCAGCAGGCCTGTTGACCAGCCCCGCTCAGACCACGGGGAGATCGTCGGTCAGTACAACACAGGCCATGTCCATCAGTACTGGTCCAATAGTCAGCTTGACCACTCCAGCCAAGGTGGACAGTCCTATTATGAAGGATACCATGACAACGGTATCAGTGGAGAGAGGTTTGAGCAGCACAACGGGTACCACTATGAGCAGTATGAGCAATATAGAAATGGTTCGATCTACTCAGAAGACACACATGGCTTTGAATATGGCGTCTAACACAGAGGGGCTGACTTCAACAACTATGAAAACAGGTAAGACTGAATTGTGGCCAACTGTTATCATGTACCAACTTTTAACTGTTGACTGTCAACTCTCTTTTATTGCACTGATTTGTATGATGTCATATTAAATAACTTGATAAATGGGATTAATAATGTAACTTGTTTTATGTAAGAACTGTCAGACTGTTGCAAATTTGGAAGTTGTTGGTAGACATTGCAATCTCTATGATTAACGGTACCTAGATTTCAAAGTTATAAGCTCTCAGAGATGCCGATTTATCGATAATTTATTCAGCTAATATGTATAAAATATACATCATGAATTTTAAAGGAATAGTGAAGGTTCAGTATTCTTTTTATTCCTCCATTGAACAAATGGTGTGTAAATTAGAAAACTTGCTCATCCTCTTGTATTTAATCTTCCAGGACTTGATAACGAAAAGTCCAAAGGTCACAAAGACCTTTCTAAAGGTGGAAATAATACAAACCTAAGTCAAAAAATAGATTATACAAAAAGACAAAACTACCCAGTTGAATCTCCTACAAAAGAGAGTATCAGGGACATCCAGCTGCCTCCTGGCAGTCCCAAATATCCCAGTCCCAGGATTTTTCCCCCAGGGGGAGCCACCCAGGGGATGGGTAAAACTCTTAACAGTGGCATTTCTCTAGAAAAGAAAGTATTTCCTTCTATTAGTTCAAGGGATCCAAGAGTAGTTTCTCAGGTTACTGCTCAGACAGCAGGATCTGTACCACAGACTATCCAATCACTCACGAAAGACAGACATCTTTCTGGGGAGGAAAAGATTAGTGATACTAGAAATGTTAGTTCTTTATCAGATGTGGAAGCAGACAAGATTGTAAAACGTATTCCAAGAACAGTTAGTCAGGATTCGAGGAATGCCACAGAAATTGATATGAAAAAGCAATATCCTTCTGCAGATACACAGTCCACTGTAACCACTGATAAACAGAAGGAAGTACAGTCACAACAAACACACTTGTCAAATCTCAATACTCGAAACAACTTGTCTGACAGCACAAGCAGATCTAAAGCACCGACTTCCGAACAGCAGAAACTTTCCAGCAAAGTGACACCTGTGGCCATTTCTCCTGGTATTGGATCGAATAGCCAGACCTCGCAAAGTAAAAGAGATGCAGACTATATTGAGAGTGCTGACGACATGAGAGCTCTACTGGACAGCACCATTACCGTGGCAACCACAGACATGGCTGCCAGTCCTTCACCAGTAAAAACTGTGGACCCTCCTTTTAAGAAAAAGGAGCTTTTGGTGAAGAACTCTGAACCTGGGGATAAAAAGGAGGAAGTTTCTGTTAAGATTGGTGGAAAGCCACAAGTCAAATCTATATCAGCATCCAGTAAACAGGCAGAATTGTTACGTGAAAAGGCTGAAAAGTCTCTAGAAAAGGGAGGCATGTTGGCTAAGACCGTACCACCCAGTGCTACGTCGCTCTCTGCCACTACTAGCAGCACGGGCACTGTCACAGGCAGCCAGAAGAGCGGTATCAAGTCCATGGATACCAAACAGAACATTATGAAAAATTTCCGCATTCCAAAGATATCTGAGGGATGTGCCCCTACAACCATTCCGTTTGAAATTCCGCGGTTGGCCGAGTCCATTCCAGTGCCATCAGCAGTGGAGACAGAAGGTGTTGAGAAGAAAGTGAAGGAGACAGGAGAGATGAGAGATGGGAAACCTGTTGGCCTGCAGGAAAAGAGATGTGGTCCAATGCTGGGGTAAGTGCACCAAAAAATAAAAAAGAAAAATGAAAAAAAAAGATGTAATTTTTGAGAGCAAACATTCATATCATTGCACATCCATGAAGCACCCACAAACAGGTTGTAAAAGTTAACATTTATCAACTTACTTTTGTAAATATAAATGGTAGCTGGCAAGTGTAAATCCAGTTGGGCAAGTAGTTCTAGATTATTTGAGTGAATCAGGAAAGACTTTTCGAGTGAAAGACCTTCTGAGAGATGAGCGCACACAATAGTTAATTTCCCCCTTGCTGGTCAAGGAGGCATGTTAGACTGCTGATACATTGACTGCACTTAAGCGAGAATTCTGGCAGAGTTGGATCGATCCAGCTAGTACGATAGGTTTATGTAAATGCTACCTTGGCCTTTTTTTCCTAGTTGCAAATTTTTGAGATTTTTATTCCTATTGTATATTTTGTATATTGCAGATCAAGGCCATTTCTTAGTGAGGAACCAGCAAACAAGAAAGCCAAGCCCAGCTCTTCAGGTTCTACTGATACCCATAAGTCTCTGCCCAAGATGGTGCTGGCCAGTCTTACCAAATCCAACAGAATAGATGACAGTGAGTTGTCAGAGAACGAGGCCCCGAAAGAGTTCAAAGGGCTGGGCAGCTTAGGGGGGTCTTTTAAAGTAACCATAACAAAGACAGAGACACCAACCAGGTCTAGCGGCCTGAAAAAGAACTTAGCTTTGAAAAAAGCAATCATGTTTCTCACGTCCATCGCACCAAGGTACAACAACTTTACCCATCCTATACAAGATGAAGAGCTAGCAGCCTGCCGGGCGGGGGCATTTTCCAATGTCCATATTAAAGTGGGCAACGATGGTCATCACGATGTGACGGTGACTTTTCATCAAGATGTGGATGACCAGGGAAGTGACCAGAAGGCACTGACAAGTGACCCCATTGAGGTGTTGGCCACCACAGTAAGGGAGGCAATACACAAGTGGGTATATTTATATATAATATAATATAATATAATATAATATAATATAATATAATATAATATAATATAATATAATATAATATAATATAATATAATATAATATAATATAATATAATATAATATCGTAATAATGTCAGTCTTCTAATGTAAGAGTCTGAAATCCTTCCTTTATGTATGTCTAATGTGTGAAGTGAAATATCATTATTTGAATTCTTCAAAATGAAACGATCAGCAAATGATACTCCACCCTTACTCCTATTGTGCTTTGTAATTTTCTTTAACAATATGCAATTACTATGTACATATAATATTGCACTTTTGTCAACGTACATACTAGTGTTCCCCCATTTGTCTTCCAGAAAGAGCACCCTGCAGCTGAGTGCCACAGAGCTTTACATGCAAAACCTGACCAACATTGCTGTGCACCACTTGATGCCAGATGAGGAATCTTCAAGTCCTGAACCAGAACAGTGCCTGGGTGATACACAAGGGAATATCAGCTCTGATGTGTCTAGTGTTGTGGAGGAGAAAAGGGAACCAGCAGTTTTGAGCAAGGGAAAAGTAGTGGAACACCTCACAGAAGGTATGGTTAATGTTGTAGTTTATTTCAGATAAAGGATGTATTGAAAAGCAAATAGGTTTTTATTAGAGTTTTCATGGAGTATTGTAAAATAAAGCAAAATTAAAACATTCCAGTACTTTCAAAAATTGAATCCATACTCTTTTACATATAAATATATTTTATATAATTGATGCAGACTTGGCTTTAGACTAATGGTATAGAATGGTGATTTAGGCATTTAAGCAGCTCCTTTATTGTGAATTTAACAACTATCTTTAGTTACAATAGACAGTATTTTCCTTACTGCATTTAATGTTTACATTTTTATTATATATTTATATTGGTATTGTACGTGATCATTTAAAAATGGCGATATTATTTCAGGGCATGGGCCATTTGGGATGATGTCTCCATCTCAGGATGCCACAGTGTCCTCAAGTATGGGGACACCTCCGAAAACATTTCAAATTCAGACCACAAAAATGAGTGCTGAAATGCCCACCAAATTGGCCATGCCACAGCTTCCATGTTCACCTATCAGATCCTCCCCTGCTGGCACACCCACCAAGGTCACCAAGGTCACTGGGGCGCCACTGGAGTCCACGCCACTCAAGACAGGACCAAGTCTATGTGGACCTGAGATTCAGACTGAAGGAAAACCATCTACAGAGAAAAATAATGATATCACAGATCTGGTATCACCTAAAGGAGACGGCAGGAAGGTCAGGGTTGAAGAAGAGGCTCATGGGGTACCTTTAATTACTACTTTTGTGATGAAAAATCACAATTTTTTGCTGTGATCATTATACATAATCTTTGCACTCTGGTGCATTTTAGACTAAAAAGTGAATTTTTCTAGTTCAGTATGAAATGTTTTCAAAACATGATGGAACATTAAGAATTTCAGTACTATTTTTCATTCAAAATGAGAGTTTGTAGCCATTGAAAAAAGTTTGTGTTCATTTGAGTCTAGATATCCAAGCACTTATTTCAGTATAATCATAACTGTGCCTTTTGAAGGAATTTGAACATCTTTTTGCTTTCTCAAATTGTCATTGACAGTTGCACATAACTACACAGTTTTATTCTACAATTGGATTGCAAAAAAAAAAAAAAAAAAAACATAAAAAATGGAAAAAAAACATAAAAAATATGGTCCTCTACTTAAAACCGACAACTGTATGCAAAACCCAGATGTTTTTCATTTGCTATTTCAGGTTGACCAGCCACTGGCTAAGTCACCGTCTGTGTCCATGGTCTCAGTGGATAGACAGAAGAGAAGACACCATCCCTACCTGCCCAGCCTTCCTAAACCAGAAGTCAAGAGTTTTATACCTGCAAGGTAAACCTTCAACTGTGCATGGGTACTGAGCATGTCACCTTGCATGGGGAAGGCATGAAACTGTGTGTTGGTATTGACTTCTTACCTTTTAGGTTTTTCTTAGCTATCTTCTTTACACCAGGGTCCTGTTTCATCAACACTGGATAAGGCTATTCTGTGGAAAAGACTGTCCTTTGGATTAGATGCATGTTTCTTCATGTTTTTTTTTTTTCACAAAGGGAGTACCTTTTGTTTTCCAATACAGCATGGGTGTTTTGGAGGCAATCCTTATATCTTAAGCTTGTACGTCTTTGTTATAGCTAGATATGGGCAATGGTTTAAAATCTGATTATTTTTGTGGGGTCCTCTTTTATGGCAAATGGTCATTGCAGTTAGATGTAGAATAGAAGCCATAACATAATCTAGTATTTGCAGGATGCATTCATTCGTAAGTGTTCTCAGACTGAAATAAATGTCTGTATATTTTTTTCGAGCGAAGCCTATCATAAGCAGTCACAACTGTCGGGTCACAGACATGCCTTTCAAAGCAAGGTCTTTCAAGATGTAAACATGTTTGCCATGTTTAACTTACATATACAGTTATATGTTTCAAAGAAGGCTTGCCAAATTGGATAAAATATGTACATCAAATGTGAATCAAAGCTGCATTTGCTGAAGGCAAAATGAATTTTGTAAAATAATCAGGTGGAATATTTTAGTGATGAATGTTGAATGAAATCATTCTTGGACCTACAGGATAGTGTGTGAGGTGGAGGGTATCAGGTGCTTTTTTCTCCCTGCTTCTGCTTAACATATGCTCTACCATCCTGTGCCTAATATTACCCATACAGCTTCAGCCCAATAACAAATTCATTATTTCTCTAATGATAAATAGCTGCTTTGTCTTTCTAACCATCTGCATTGGGCTAAATTTCTGTTTTGTGGTTTTTGTTGAATTATCCTTAGAAAAGTTCAAAGTTTAGCTTATTTTATTGCTCTAAAATAATTGTTACAATTGTCATAATTGTATTAAGCATTTGACTTAGCTTTTGCCCTAATGTTGATTTTTTATTGTTTTTTATACTGGCACTGTGATATGGTAAAACCAGATTAGTTTAAAGAGACATTGATCAGTCTGTTGTAACGTTTGACAGTAATAGTAGTTATTGTGACCAGTGCATTAATCATTCGTAATTGTGCCGCACAGTTGAAAATGTTTCCTACACTTTGCTTATTGTGTGTGATCTCTCTCTCCTTTCTCTTCACTTCTGTTCTTTCACAGTGACCTCCAAGAACTCATGCAATCTCTGCATTCTGCCGCCTTCAAAGGCCGCCGGCAGGCTGCTTGTAATGCCGATAGTCTCTTCCTGCAGAGGCTTGCTAAAAAGCTAGTGCGTGGTGCCTCTCCTCGCTTTGCTGGCTTTGATTTCTTGCAAAAGATGTGCAAGGATGGTTCTAGTCTGTCACGGTAAGATAACTGTCTGCCTTCCTGAGAAGAGACAACATTGCTGGGCATGCTATGTTGTCTTACTTGGGATTTATGTTGGAGGAAAATGTTTGAGTGAGTGTGTGTGCTTATGTGTGCGCTCTTATTAGTGTGCGAATGTGTGTGTGTGTGTGTGTGTGTTTGAATGTGGGCGAGTGTGTGTGTGTGTATGTTTACACTTGCCCTTCTTTCCATAGCCATTTTAATTTTAAAAATTCGTCAAAGTTTGCTCTTATATGAATCATGATTATTGGAAATAAATTTAAACTTGATGGATGACTGCTGTGCTAATACAGAACGGGTACAGCTATATCAGCAGTGTTTTATCTCATTATTTGTAGCTCTGGGAATGATGAAGATGAATCACAGCCTATAAAACCCAGTGACATCCCAGACTTTGAGAGGCGTAAGGAGCTGACCAGACAGTTGGATGCTGAGTTGGAGCGCCAGCCAGAAGTAGATAATGAAGGGGAATATGAGTTAGAAGTGTCATTGTATTCTAAGAAGGTGCATATTTCAACTGAGAGAGTCAGAGGGCTACTCTCTCTCTCTCTCTCTCTCTCACTCTCTCTCTCTTACTCTCTCTCTCTCTCTCAACAGTTATCATTCAGGGCAGAGAATGTGACATTATCTTTACCTTTTTGATGTTAAAACTTGTTGAAGTACTAAGAAATCTAGTATTTTTAAGTTACTTTGGTTAAAAGGAGTACTGTACTTGTACCATGTGTGATATTTGGTTTGACTGAGCCATGATTTACAGGATGACCAGCCTGATACTGTGAAATATCAAGGAGATGGTGAGAAACCAAAGGCCCCTTCTGCCATAACCCTGATAGTTCAACCACCAGCAGCAACAGCAGTGCCATCTGGTAACCATTTCTCCAGTACAGCAGCTCCCTCTGGTAGCCGTTTCACAATTCCAACTATACCACCTAGGGGTCTGCGTGCTAATGAGCGATTCAGCAGTCAAACTAGGCACGCTTTGTGTAGTGTTGATGTTGTGCGTGAATAACTTTCAACAGTGCTTTTCACAGGGGCCACAAATGATTAACTTAGTCTAGTATTGTATGAGTGCCGTTTGCTTTTGCTATGCAGGATGCTTGCATTTTACTGTTCCCCTTAAGATGTGCACTCAAACTGAGATAATATTGAAATTATGGATCATGGTTTTTTTTAGAAGCTTCCTTTTCCAGCTTTTGAATTACTAAAAACATCCTTCACTCTCCTTCAGTCTTTACCCTCTAAATCAGATTTTTTGTGAGTCAAGACTATTAAGATTTTTATATTGATTTAAAAATGCAGTGGTCTTGACAATATATCATGCAATTGGATAATTATATGTGCACTCAATATACCCATAAAATTATATTTTTGGCTGATTTGCTCAATCTATAATCAAAAGGAGTTTTGAAATTTTTTGTAATAAGGCCAGTAATATGAAAAGCATCTTGAAGTGAAGAGCACTGTTGGGCATAGGAGAGGTTTTTTCATAAAAGTATTTAACTGTGTATTTTATTTAATATTTTCGTGTCTAAAAGTAGTGGTAGAATATTTTATTTCAAACCAAAGCATGAAAGAAGTCTTAAAAAGCTAATATGAGTTAATTCTTTCATAATGGAAGACACAAGTCTAAAAGTGTTGCCAACCGTTGTGTCGTATTAAAATTCTTAGGATGTTTTTCAAAATAATTTTAGAGGAAAAGTCTTAAGTCTAAAAAATTAAAGTTGTAAGTCTGAAAAATTCTAGTTCGCTGTGTGTCTGGATACTATCTATTGCACAAGTATGTGCAAATGTAACAGGGACACAAATTTCAAACTAATTTTGTTCACTAAATTACATTATTAATAAGTGATAAGCACAACATAATCACACCTACCTATGAGAGTTAAGTAGGTTTATAATCTTATTTGACAATTATTTCTAAAAGTTAAGATATGTCCCCCTTTAAGTCCAGCGTTACGTAGGAACTTCAGACGAAAATTGACCCAAAGTAAATCAGCAGCATTATTATTTCAGATGAGGTATGTCTGTTCAAACAAATTTTAAAAGAGATTTTCAAAGATTAGTTTACTTATCATTTCATGGCCCTCACTTTCCTTTCTAGGAACAGATACATTTTATCAGATGAGCGAAATCTGTTCATACAAATTTTCAAAAAGGATTTTCTAATATTATTTTATTTGTCAATTCACAGTTCTCTCTTTCATCTAGTAATTTGTGTATGCTAGATCATTATAGATATTGCTAAACGTAAATAGCAGCTGTAATTTTTTACATGAAGAAAATAGTATGTGAAATCCGATGATGGATCAAGTAAGACATATCAGCAGGGTCCAGAATTGAACATTAAGATAATGATTTTATTTTGATTTAAAGCATCATCTTCAGCAATTTAAAGTTATATTTTGCAAACTATGGAAGGTTGGTAGAAAACAGGTAAGATTTTTTAAGTTTTCATAAATTTCTAAGAAACAATGCCGAAAGGAGCGAGGTAATACTTAGGAAGTTGTTACACTTTGAATATAGCAGAGTTTTTACACATCCAAATTGTGTTTGTTTATTTATTCATTCATTTATTATTTTTGTAGGGTTGGCAACACTTCTATGATACATATTTGTTCAGTCACTTCATGTTCACCACCTTACTTGTTTTTATGCATTTCTGACAAAAATAAATATAAAATTGTTGCACCAAATTCACTTGCCATTGACTCCTATGCTTGTTATGTTTTACAAAGACTTTCTTGTGGGAAACTTCTGAGTGAGTATCAACATCAGCTCTTTTGTACTAGATCTAGATAGTAGCACCGTGTTGCTTATGCTCTGATGTCTAACACAAGTTTGCCAAGCCTCTTAGATTGCTTTGCTTTCTGTCGCTACATGTATTCCCTTCACTGAAGATTGCAATGTCAGACAATAGATTGTGTCATGTCGCTCTTAAATTTGTCAGATTTGAATGTTTATCGTAAAAATGGGATAGAGTTACATATAGTAGTTGGTCTTGTAAAATGGAATTTGTGAAAGTTTATTTTGAAATTCAGTTTTGGTTTTGTAAAGTAGAACATTGCAACGATATCTGTAGCAAAGTGTATCAGCACCTTCTAAATGTGCACATTGTACAAAATAGTGGGATGTACCATTTTTGTTGTACATCATTTTGCTTGCCAGTATTGAAAACTGATGTTTAAATACATATTCCACTAAATTTGTCTGCACTGCTTGTGTGTATGTAGTTGCACATATATCATTTCTGTTGTACTATCAGTGTGCTTGACAGTATTCAAAAACTGATGTTTAATTCACTACCAGATAAGTATGTCTGCACTGTTTGTGTGTCTTTCCAGCTTATGCCACCATCTTGCTAACCACGATATTATATTAGTTACCTATTGCTTTGAAATACGCCCTTTTCTTTGAAATACAACAATTCTGAGAAGCTTTTGTCTCTATAAACTTTAGTTCCAAAAACTTATAAAGATAACTTTTATAAATCGAATTGACTGCAATCCAACTTTTAGCAATTATGGGGAATTGCAAAGTTTTAGGGTGCATTCCCAGAGATTTAGATCGATCCAGAGATTTAAATTTAGATTGACCTAACTCCCTGGGGGTTTTATAATGACTTAAATTACAAGTGAAACACTCTAATTGACATTGACCAGTTGGATCAATTTGGTTGTATGCAGTCTCATTGGCAAAAACAGCTACTATACATATGCACATAATTATTAAAATCTCTCTGGCTCTCTTGAACCAAAATTGATAAGATTTGCTGTCGTAATGTACACTGCCAGGTTTATGAGACCCAAACACCCACATTTTCTGTCTATCAATTCACGGTGCAGCTACAAAAGATGGTGTCAGTGGTATCAAATCCCCAGGAAGATCCCCCATATCCCCTAGGTCACCTTATATATGGTAGGTATTCTAGACTTGAAAATCTTTATTCAGTTCAACCGCTGGAAGATTTGTGGGAGTTTTATTAATTGAATCCTACATATTTAATATCACTACACTATGTCTTGATAGAAATGTTAATAATCCAAAGTTTTTATTTAGAAGAACAGCTTTTAATTTTAGTCCTTTTTCATATGTGCTGAACTTTTATGTCAAAGATGACTCAAAAATGTCCAATAAATGTGAAGTTGTTTTGTATACAAATTGCCTTTTGACAGTTCTTTTATGTATTATTTCAGGGACAGCAGCGTCAGTTCACCAAAATGGCCCCCAGAAAAGAGTCTCAATCTGAAACCAATTGATTTTGAGTTCCGAGACATTGGTTAGTGAAAACAGTTTCTTTATACAGGGACGAGATTTTTCCGACTGTTGGTGGATTTCCAACTTTTTGAGAGCTAAAAATATTGAGCAATGCAGCCCCCTGGACCCCACGCTATATTTTTTACTTTTATCGCTAAATGGCAGTCTCATCCCTGTTTACTGAAACAAATAAATCTAGTCAAGTTGGGTCACCTAATTTAGTATGACCCATCTTCCCAGACTGCATAAAATCTTATCCCTTTGTTGCACCCCTTACCATCACCACAACCACAGTTGTAACTGAGCAAGTGCCCTGCCTTTCCATTGGCTAGCTATAATGAATAAATGCTAATTCAGTTGTCTTCTGCTGTAGAATTTAAGCATTAAATTGACTTTTTTTTAGCATATTGTGATTAATTTGAAAATAAGGTGCAGTTTTAAAGGAATTTTTCATAGAATAATTATTGCACAAGTTAAGGCGGAAAGGTAGAGGCTACAATTATATCTGTAGACTCATTCCCCCAAATAAGGAAGTGAAAAAGAAGCTGAAACAAGGAGTGGAAAATTATGTTAGCTGTTGTAGTGAAGAAATAATATTTGTAACAATAGTGTTTGTAAAATTAGGTTTTCTTTTCTTTGCACTTTGGCTGCTGTGTTTACCAGATCCTTGATATTGTACAAGCAAATATTAATGAGTATCAAAACATGGTTGTTTAAAGGAATGAAATCGCATTGTTTTCTCTTCAGAATACACACCCAATCCTTTGGTCCTTCACTTGGCTGTGCTGGAGATCCATTATGATGCCGAAAAAGATCCAAGACTTAGGTGCCAATCATCCAAGTTGTATGGCAGGAGACGGAAATTAATAAGATCAATAAGTACACCTGAGAAAAAAATGTCATCTCCTGCTATGCGGCAGGTCAGAACTTTATCAGCTGAACAAAATCAAGCTGATGTAAAAAATACTGAAGCTTCTTCACTACTGGGAACACCATTGTACAGGTCTAAATCTGAATCTAAAAACACTGAATCTTCTTCTGTGGGAGTACCACACCATAGCTCTCAGTCTGTGCTGAAAAAGAAAACATCGCCTCTGAAGACTGAGGCATCTTTCCAGGAGCATGGTGACTCAAAACACAATGCCGATCTTCTTGCAGCAGCCAAAGCTGAGCTTCACCTGGTAGACCAGCAAATTGAAGAGCTGAAAAAGAAGTTGAAGTTTAAAAGCAAATCACAGCAGGGAGATGGGGATTCTGGCATGGAATCTTCAACATTAAATAAGACAGAAAAGGTGTGTGTGTTTGTATGTGTGGTATTTTAAGCCATTCATAAGTTTTAATTCTGCAATATTGCTTTTAACTTATTGATGGAAAAGCAGCTATGAGTATTCTGGATACAAATGATTATGAGTATATTATTTTGAAATTGCGCATTTAATCTTCATATCTTTCTGCTTTAATAAGTTAAAAATCGCTAGCTGAAAATGTTTTGTGCATATTTATTGCAATTGGCTGCTTTGTTGTTATAGGCTGTAAAATAGCAGTGAATGGCATGTGGATTTTCAATGGACATCCGTGATAATCATACATGATTGGTATTTGATTACAGGTGGAAGGAGCTGCCCAGTTACAGACTCCAGAAGTAGCAACAGTCAAGTTAGAAAAAGACCAAACCCCAGTCCATCCTGAAAGTTTTAAAATTGACTCGTCCTCACCAGGCATGCCTGAGGGTAAGCTGTCTAAGCAAGTGATCAAGAGGAACTTACCAAAGAGGTTTTCCACTGTGGAGAAAGTAAGCTGGTGGCTTGAAGGAGGCTCAGATGTCTCTGCAGAGGAAATAGCTCAATACGCTGATAGTGAACTGGATGGTGCAATGGATGATGCCAGCAGCAGAACAGAACCGGCTGAGGATGATGAGAACCAAGGTGCAGCATTAGATGACATGTTGAGTAGGAACACTGTGGCTGTTTCATCCAGGACTGAGAGTATGATTGAGGCTGGCATGGGTGGTAACTTGACTGCATCAACCGTTTGTATGGAGATAACTTCACAGGACAAAGATGGTAACCAGCACTTAAGGCATTCAGCAAGTTCATCTGCAGCTGATGTTGAAGTTTTATCAAGCCTTGTTCCCCTGCCTCCTACCCTTCCTCAGAGGAGAAAACTTGCAGAAATGGCACCCATGTTGGCAAGGAAAACGGGGGAGAATAAGAGAGAGCTCAGTCAATGAGGAGAAGCAGTCATTACTTGGAGAAAAAGTTAGAGTGGAGGCTAGAGATGCATTCTCAGATGAAGGACATTGGCAGATTACTGTCAGCAACACTGCTTTTCCTTCGGACGAAGAACTACAGCAAATGTTCCCAAATGATGTTGATTACAGAACCATGCCTTGTCTTGACAAACCCGAAGAGGCATCTATTCATCTGTTTCCCACCTGGGAAGCAGTCCCTGTCAGACACAAGAGCAGGTCATCTGTTCCAGTGAGCTACACTGCCAGCCAAGAAGAGGCTTTTGCTCATGATAGTGAGAAACGACTTCAGGAATTGTATCCAAATTTGCCTCAGTCACAACATAGGTCAACTTCATATCATTCTCGGTCGTCAGAGGGACTTATTGCAGGTATGACATCAGATGCTCTCCCATATAAACTGCAGGGGAAAATGAAGCCATTATCTGTTCTCTCTGATCCGGAGGGTGGCCAGTTGAGATTTAACACTGTTGATGAACAGCTGAACTATTTCACAAACATCACTCAAGATGCCTTGGAGCGAATTACAGTTGGAGATCAATACCACAAGGGCCCCAAGCCACATTTCTTCAGGGGAACCATGCTTAATCCTCTCAAAATTCGACGAACTGAACTAGGCAAAGAAGAAAGGAGATTCCTTAATGAAAATGAAGATGCCTTCAAAGAAAACATGCAAGGAATTTTCACTACAGAGAGAACCCTTTCTCCACCAAATAGAATCCCTCACCTTAAGTCCAAAAGAACAGATGAGACTATGAACCTTTCTTGTGAGGAATTCAAAGAGAGACTCACTTCTTTGTTGGGAGAAATTGAAGACCTGAAGTCCAGTGATTTGTCAGACATTGAAAGAACTGACAGAACTGTGAATGAGGTGTGTGGACAAGTACATCATCTTCTTGAGCGTTATGTGTCAGGCGAGGGTAACATTGGCCTTCTTGAAAGAAAGTCAAACTGGAAAAACCCCAGGGAACATTTGCTGATGAGACCCATAGATAAGTCCATACAAGACAACTGGAATGAGTTTCTAGATAAGCTGTCCTCCATTGGCAAAAATAGAAATCCACCTGAAGTCTATACAAGAGAAGAACATTCCTCACCATCTTCAAATTTGTATTCAAGGCCTAGTCGTATTTCTCCATCAAGGTTTCACCATCTCTCTCCAGCTTCTCAGAAATTGTCAGAATCGTCACGATATCTGGAATTGGAAGGCATGGTGGCAGCACAACGAGCCACAGTTGATCTGAACATCCAGGGCATGATGAAAGATATGCCACTGAAGAGGCATTCATCTTATAGAGGTCACCAAAATATAGGAACCTATGAAAAAGGCTATTATCATCATCGTAAAGACATGGAAATGAACTCTCGACGTCAGAGAGATGAGCACCGGCGTCCATATCTGCATCAACAGGACACAGGATTGCCCGCAATTCCAGTGCCTTTACGACCGTACCTCCAGTATGTTCTATCTAGTGGTGACCTCGGAGATGTACCACCCGATGACTATGTCAACTATGAGACCCATGATGGCATTGGGAACACATGGCAAGGTAAAGAACAGTATTATTCTTGTGATGAACAGCAGTTTTATCCTAGTTTTCCTGCTAGATCACATCCTAGAAGTCGATATCAACATGAATGGTATCCCTCTTATTATCTGTCTCACCAAACCAATGAGGAAAATTTTGATCCCAGAAGTGAGCAGAAATCTGACATTGGTAACATGTCTCATTATCCACAGCAGCATATAAAGATGGACAGACTGTTGTTGAATGTCTTAAGATTCAGAACCACAGATGAAGAGCAAGACTCAGTAGCAGATACCGCTGGAGATTGGTCATCGGATAGATCTGTTAGAGACAGGTCTGCTGTAAGCCGTGACACTGGTCAGATTACTCCTATTAAAGATGAACAGCTTTTCAAAGAGTGTGATTCAATTGTGTATCAACCAACAGCATACAGAGTCCAAGAACACAAAGATGACGATGAGTCTTCTTTCAAAAGAATGCAAGTTCGAGGTATGCCGTCTGGTAAGGGTGACGATGCCTGTTATTTGAACACAACCCAAATAACTTTAGTTCATGGAAAACCATCATCTCTCAATACGACACCAGTCAGAGATGAACCATTCCATAATAGGGAGGAAGATGGTCCACCTCTTGGTGCAACATCATTGCATGAAAACAGATCAGTCCTCAACAGAACCCCAGTGAAAGATGAGCCACCGTGTGATGAACAGTCGGATTATGAACCCAGAGTCATCCTCAACAGAACACCTGTGAGAGATGAAACTTCTTATTACAAAGACAAATCTGGCAGTAGAACACCTGTTAGGGATGAAATGTCTTACTACAAAGAGAAATCTTGCAGTAGAACACCTGTTAGAGATGAAACACCTTATTACCAGCAGAAACCTAGCAGCAGCACACCTGTGAGGGATGAAAACGACAATAGCGATCCCCCTAGGCAAGAGGAGCAGTTGAGGAAAGAGAAAAGTACTGCTTTTGAGACGGCATGGCCAGTGAGTGATCAAAGCATTGTGGAGTTTGGTAAGGTGCCAGAATTCTACAACCCTGCAGAACCAACAGGCACCATTGAATCTTTTGTGTCTCTTGTCAATGAATATGGAACGCCTCTCAATGAGCTTGGCAAAGTTGATGAATCACAGGTTGAATTAAAATCTGATGAAGAACAGACATTGAGGAAGACAAGGGAAAGGGTACTGTTAAAAGATGCAGTAATATCTGATACCCTCAGCACAGAAGAAAAAGAAGAACTATCTCTTGATAGGAAAACTGCAGTGACACCTGGTGGGGAGGTGAAACACCTCTCTGTGACCATTCCAGATGTCAGTAGATCAGTGATGGAAAAACCACATGATGAGGATGATGTGACTCCCACTCAAGATGAGAATATCTACTGGCCTGGGAGGGAACATGAGTCGACTGCAGATACGAAGCATTCTGGAAGACGTACAAGCCTTCTCACAAAAGCTTTTAAACAGGAAGCCAAGAAAAGAGCTAGATTGAGAAAAAGCAGTGAAGGTGAGAGTGACCTGCTCACAGATAGTTCTCCAAAAGCAAAGGCACCAAAGATGATGCAGAATGCTGAAACTGTAGAGAGAAACATAAAAGCTGAACTTGTTGATATTAGACCAGTTGAAATGAAAGGAAGTACAGGCAGTTCTAGTACTGATGTAGGCAATTCTGCCCAACAAGTTGAGGCTGGTGGTCCCGATCTCTCCGCAGCAAGTGTGATCATGCCTAAAATGACCATTGTCCTTCAGAGGGACACAGGAACAAGAACAGTGTCCAAAAAGAAGCTGAAAAAAGAGTACAGCTGCCCCTCTTCCTGTGAAAGTCCATTGCCTTACCCCTTACACACTGGTAATATTGTAGGAGATGAATTGTGCAGTGTCAAGAGTGATGACTTTGGTAGAAGAGACAGTGATAACAAAAACCAGTATCTGCCTGAAGACATTCACAGCATACCTTTACCTCCAATATGTAGGCAGTCTGGCATTGGGGTTGTAAGAAAAGGGACCCAGGAACCAATGCATGAGCCATCACAAATAGATAAAACCGAAGGTAATTCATCTAACTGCAGTGAGTACTCTGTGACGAAAATCAGTGTGGCTGAGGGAAGTCAAGAAACCGCATCTATGTTGAGGAATATATCGGAGCCAAACTTGGTGTCCAAATACCATACAGGTCAAACCACAACAGTTCCCAGTCTCACTCATATCAGATTGCCAGAAAATTTGTCACAATTTGGAAGATCAGTCGGACAAAGTGAAGAAATTGTTATGGCAGGGTTACCAAGTTCAGCAAGTTTAGGTGGTGAGATAAAGCAAGAAAAGTTCTTTCATGCATCTTGTGAAAAAAGTGCCCCATATGATTTTCATCAGAGGGTTTCTCTAGATTCAACTAATATGCAGGATTCCATGGTGAAAATCAAAGTTGAAATGCAAGATGAAGGTTCCAGATCTTCTAATCTTACTCCAGTAGAGCCAGCAGATCCAAAATTTGAAAACTTGCATGCCACTCCTTCGTACCAAAGTCATATTGCAAAGTTGGTGTCTGCTGCAGAAAATCCACCCCAAAGTGAAGCAGAACAGAATGTAACCAAACCTCAAGACATTGCATTCCTAGCCCCTGTCACACAGTCCAGTCCTAGTAAGCGTACCTTGAACTTCTTTGCGAGGCACTCCCAGGGAATACCTGGCTTGACACTCCTGGATAGATTTCCCCCCAGCCCAGTCAAAGGAGTAGACGCAAACAGCATACCAGGACTTACACTGCTGGACCAGCATACAGTGAGCCCAGTGAAGAAACTGTGCACTGGTGGAGTGGGTGTGGTCCATTCATCAGGGAAAACTTCTACAGGAGGTGCAGTGGATTCCTTACAAAAGAGCACTGCAAGAAGAGTGGTGGAATTTTCTGAAGAAAGCTGTGAAGACGCATCAGGGGGATTGACTAGGGGTGGTACTGCCAGTGCTTTGCCTAACAGTGCACCCAAAATGGAGCCATCACAAACATCAGTTGTGGAAGTCTCACAAGGGATGACCCAGTCACCTAGCCATTGGTCATTGTCTCCATCAGAACAGGCAGTTCCAGTAGCATCCCCATCAGTACACACAGTTCCAGTGTCGTTGTCTAGTGCCTCACTGCCAGAGGAAACTGTCAAACCAACCTCACCACTGGTACATGTTGGACAGGCCAAACCTAGTATTTATGTATTCAGCTCTAACAGTATGGTCAGCAAGGAGGTTCAGGTAAGACTGGCATCTGTGTATTTACATGTTCTGTGCCCTACCAACAACAATGAAGCCCAGTTTTTATTACTGATCTTAACCAGTTCATTGATTTTTTAATGTTAAATAGGACAGTAAAACAACTTTATATTGAAAATGTTTTCTGTAGAAATGGCTCAGAAGATTGTTTACCTGAATGGTTTTTAATGTGTCATTTATTTTGAGAAAAATGTTGTCCTGCTTCTACTGCAACTTTTATGAAAAATCGTCAATTGTGTGCAACTTTTTTCTTCATAATTTCATCTACCTATTCTTTATTTCAAGCGCTACCTTGTGAAACGCAACTTCAAGTCCTTCGACCCAGTCAGTGTGAGTTTGATGCCCAAAACAGCCAACCTTGTAGTGCTCATTCACAAGCCTGACCTTGTTAGAGTGCAGGCCATTCCAAACCTACTGCAACTCAAGTCTATGCACACAGTTCAGTTTCACAGCTTTGATGATGTCCAAGACATTGAAGGTCAGCGTATGGCCCCAGTGCTTAGGCATGGAGGAATACTGATCCCAGACAGTAAAATTTTACTGAACACTGCACTAGGTTGGTAGACATATGGGCCTTGACTCAAGAAAATATTAGTTTATAATTTTTTAAAAATTAATGTGAATCTTGGAAAATGCACCTGACTTTGGATTTCATGCATTTGACATTTGATTATTTGTAATACAAGTCAACATGTTATACGTTCAACTTTATTAATCAGCATTATGCTCAGCACAAAACCTCTTTGGTTCCAGAACTCTTGGAGGCATTATGTACAGTTCTGGTGCAGCAGGCCATGCTGGGGGTGTCCTGGAAGTTGATGGTGCACTCTTCTTTCATGTCCAGCCTGTCCAACTTGAAGTAAGTTGGTGTGTGTTTATGTCTGTCTATGTGTGGAGAGAGAGAGAGAGAGAGAGAGAAGCAAGGGATGACCCAATTTTTTAATGACCTTTTTGTCCTCAAATTTGTGCTTCAATACACCTCTCTCCCTCTCTCTCTCACACACACACAAGCACTATCAACCTGTCTTGGCATTTAGAGCCACATCTCCAAAAAATTACATGAAATGGTATTTTCTCCTGAAAAATTTAACATTAACAAGATAACAGACAATATTTTTCTTTTTGGTTGTAGTATTTTTTATACGTATTTATCTATGATTAAATGGATGATTTATTTATTTGGATATTTCAGGATTTCACAGACTGACCCTGGAGATGATGAAATTCGTATTCAGAAGGCAGACAAGATATTAGAAGTATTTCACAAATATAAGGAAATAATTGAATATCTGGAAAAGCATGAATGTGACGATACCATCAAAGCATCACCCAGCAAATACTCCAATTGTATACTGACACTGCAAAGAGAGTACATTGAAAGCTGCAGACATGTGGTACTGCTTTCAGGTAGGCAGTGGTGTAGAATGCATGTGTGTGGGTGTGTGAGTGTGCATTAACGTGCACATGTGCATGCAGTTGTATGTATGTCCATTAAGATGGTATCAAAGTATGAGAGCACACTTTCGCTACTCTACTGCTTATAAATATAATATGTTAACAGAGTAGGTGCGTGTATGTGCACATGAAAGTAGGAGGGTACATGCATGAATGTGCATGGTTTACAAATGTCACCTTAATGCAGTGGTAGAATTTAGCAAGGAGAATGTTTAATTAATGAGTTGAGTTATTTATTGTCCAATTCATTCATGAATGAAAAGTCTCAAACACAAGCCAAAATATTTTCGTACAGTTAGCTTACAGCCAACCTGGGCGAATGGAGCCATCACAAACATCAGTTGTGGAAGTCTCACAAGGGATGACCCAGTCACCTAGCCATTGGTCATTGTCTCCATCAACTGTACCACTCACTGACCTCTAGGTGGTATAGCCGCCAGTGCCCTCTTGTTAATGTCAGGTAGATCGATCCCCCCCTCCCGTCCCTATTCATGGGTGTCCGTAAGCTAACACTATGAAATATTTCGGCTTGTGTGTGAAAATTTTCATTTATGATACAACTACCAAGCTAATGATCGTTTTTAACATTTCAGATATTTCAGCAGCCAGTGAAACGGGAAAACGCCTCAACAAAAGTGGCATAGAGCTGGCAGATGTCCAAAGTTTTCTAAAGAGCAGACGGTGGAGTGGCTCTGAAACTAGCCTGTGACAGAATTAGATCAAATTGATGCTGGTCAGAAGCCCCCTGTTCAGGAATTCTTTGGAGAGAGACAGATTTTACTATATTTTAAAATGTATTTTGACTGGATGATCTGTGTAAAATGAAAAGGACTGTAACTGAATGACATGGTGGAAAGTCTCAGGTGCAGGATTTTATCAATTCGTATTATTACTTTATAATTATTATTTCTATAATTTGGACGATCAAAGTTGGTTTCCAAAAAGGACAGTGGCTGGTGGACTTTATAGATCTTTAGCTCATAAAAAAGGAAAAATAAATCCCCAAGAGTCTCAGCCATTTTCCTTAACCGATTTTATGACCAAGAATATTCATTCAAAAATGAAATATTGGGAAAAAATATATTCCACCAAATGCTGTGAGCAGTTTCTAAATGATGCAGGGTTGTCCAGAAGAATTAAGTATGAGAGGCTTTATATATTCACACTGTACCACAGTGTGAGAAAAATGTTGGAGCTTGAACTAGGTTACAATTATGGGTGCTGTATTCAATGTATTGATGGAACTGTAAAAGTGTAACCACAGTCAAGTGAAGCACCATGGTGCAGAGGACAAACATGGTATTTACTTGTTATTTAGTGATGCATAATATAAAGGTGCAATCTGTCAAGTTTTCACATTCATAATTCATAAGTTTATGTTAAACACAAATAGATCAGTGGCCAGTGTAATCACTCAAACTGTTTACCCACGATTGCACCCAACAAATGCACCCAAACACTGTTCCCATAGTACAAGCATGATTTATGTTTTAGGTGTTCAACATTTCTAGAACATTTTAAGTTTTCTGTACAGATGCATGTTCTGCCCTAATGCCAGTAAATGTAATATTTTGTATATAACATATTAAATAGAATTTTGATATTTTTGTAAAAATGATCTATTATCCTTAGAATGCCTTTAAGGCTATTCAAATATCATTGCAAGAGGCAGTGATATTTTATTTGTTTATGGTAATTAGCATGTACCACACAACTCTCGACAAACTGACTTTTGTATAATAGAAATCACAGTTCATAGAAAGTTATATTTAGTAAGTAGTTATTGAACAAGATTTTGGTTAATTTCCATTTCACGCAAAATGCAAAAGAGAATTTAGGATAAATTGCTTCTAAGTAAAAACTGTTTTTCAGAAAGCATTTTTAATATTGTAGGGTAGAAGATAGTGCAGCCAATTCTTCAATCAAAATAATGAGAATGGCTGCCATTTAACTTTTAAAAGACATGTAATTAGATTGTTTTATTAAAATCAAGAAAAGTCTTGATTTGAAATAAATGTTGTTTTAAAATAACTTTGTTTTACTTTGAAGGGGGTTTGAAAATATATATATATATATATATATATATATATATATATATATATATATATTTTTTTTTTTTTTTTTTTTTTTTTTTTTTTTTTAATGCGTGATAGCAAATTTCTATTAATTTTTTTACAGACGGTACAATTTTACCCTGGTAGATACAAGTCGTTTAATGCCCATAAATTACAGATCTAGATTTATTGTTAATGAAAAGAAACCACTTCTTTGCCTCTAAAATCTTGCCTTCATGTGCTCAATCAAAATTGCATTTAAATTTGATTCATACACACCAATATTGTCTACTGATAATGAAATAACATTAACATTAAAGCTCCCTTTTATCATATTGCCAAATAACACATTTAATAATTATGCGTTATGAAATAAATTGTATATCTGAAATCGTGAGCCTAGATTGATATGCAAAATGTCTTATTCGGTGTTGATATATTAATTCTTCTGAAACTCTGTGTTCACAGTACCTGCTCAAAGGTGTATTCAAACATTTGTAACCTCTAAAAAATCGAAAATACAATTATAAGTCGGTTTTCTTACGAACATTCGTAAGAATATTCCGACTTACAAAGAAACTGCAAGAATTACAAATTTTGAGAGCACGGTAAAAGAGCGATGCTTATTTCCTAGGGTAATGATCATGTTCGTATTTACGCGTGACAGAGTAGATCCAATCTAGGTAGAACGGAACGCGCGTGAAAATTGCTGGATTTTTCACGTCTTCGGTGGTTGCTGTGAGACAACTGTCGTCGTCAAAGGCACCTATACCCGCCAGGTAATACCGCCCCTCGTTTTCGCAGACTAGAGGACCTCCAGAATCGACCTAAAATAGGAAACGTGTTAAATATGGATGCGCATGTACATGTACTTCTCCAACATACATGTAATGTGCAGAATGTCGATCCACATTTGATATTGCAACAGGTTATATATTGCAATAGGTTTCAGGCGCTCATTCTGCAAAATAACTTTACCAAACAAATATTTTGCCGTACGAACACAAAAATTGAATAATTAATTAATGAAAGAAATAAAAAAGAAAGAAAAATTCCCATATTCTTTTTACAATGATAAGGCGCATATGTTTCGTTGCAAAAAATAATAATAACAAAATAAAATAAGAGGAAGAAGAAGAAAAAATATGCTTTCTCCTTAATTAAAACTCACATGCTCATGTCTCACCAGATTTACACAAATAAAAAAAAAAACTTACGGTACAGGCAATCTGGGCTCGCCTGTTGGTACACAGCATTCCACGGCTCATGCCCCACACCTGACGCGCACAGTCCAGGTACCTCAGTTCTCCCGCCTTCACCTGCCTCAGTTTGCCACTGGCTTCAGTTCCTGAAGTTGTTTGTTTGTTTATTTTTTGATATTCATTTTTACACAAGAAATATTCATTTAGAGATATCAACACGCCTCCTCTTGTTTCCAACGTACTCGTATAATCATCAGCTTTTCTGTATTCTACTCAACGTCAGGTGGCGTGTTAATCTGTTAAACTGATTACATTCAGCGAGAGTCTCCGCGGAGCTGGATCGACCTACGTGGGCCGATAGCTTCAATGGGAAAGAGCCCAAAGACTAAGCGTTACCTTTCTTGGCTCCCCAGCCGACGGCGTAGCACGCCTGGTACTGGAAGGACATGTCCACAGTGGGCATACAGACGGCGTTGATGTGGGCGACGTCCAGCTCTACTGACCGCGTGGCCAGTTTAATGAGGGCCAGGTCGTTGTTGAAGGTCTCAGCCATGCCGTAATGTGGGTGCTGGAAGAAACACACAGCATGATTAGGCATTATATGACGTTTTTCAACTTTGCACAGTCTCTGTATATAAAATTAACGTAAATCTAACCTCTGACACGTCGCATGCAGCTACGATAGAGCTTTATATACTATCCTGTAAAGTTTCATCGATATGATTGGAATCACTATTTTTTACTGTTTTTCGCCATGCAGGCTTCTGAGATTATTTTTAAAAGTTGACCAGTGCGCATTTTGAGACTTTGCAGTACTAAACACACTGAAAAACATGCTTCAACATGGATTTCAATTCCATTTTGGATAGGATGGGGGGGGGGGGGGGGTACTGAATTTGTTTTGGAAAGGGTGGGACAACTCATTCCCAGCCTATCAAATTCCATTTAAGACATGGCAACCTAGAAAAACAGCGCCATTCACCATTTTTGAACTTTATATAACAGAATACCTCAAAGACATCGGAGAGGGCAATTTCGTACTCTCGTTCAGTCGTCTCGTCTTTAAAAAGATCATGATCACCAAGCCGTATGAACCACTTTTGTGCTTGTGGTTTCAGCCTATAATAATAATAATAATAATAATAATAATAATAATAATAATAATAATAATAATAATATAAGATTATAAAATATAAGATATCATTGCATAATTATATGAAAAAATATTTTCTCTTCTTTGAAAATTTCAGCTTTTCTTTCATGCTTCTTTTCTTTCTTTCTCTCTTTCTTTATTTCTATCTTTTTGGCTTGAATTATTTTCATTTTTTTGCGTAATATTCCTTTTTCAAATATATATTTATTTATCTGCCTCTTACTTTTGAATGCAGTGCGCGGCAGTAAGCGCCCAGTTCGGTGCAATCAGCACAGCGCCGCAGAAGCCGTCCCCCTTGTCAGGCCTCACCACAGCCAACCACGGCCAACTGTTCTGTGACGCAACGCTTCCCTTGACCACGTGATTACCCGGCATTCCACAGTAATCTGGGAGTTAATAATTTTAGTGTTAATCTTCATGTGTGTCTTTATGTGAAATGGAGTACAGATAAATGCACATTTAAAATTTCTCAACCTCATACGCTGACGCGCGCTTACACTCATGTGCAAGCACTTAATTTACATGTAGGCCTACGCAATAGTTTCGAAACGCACATTTTTCATTTTAATTAAATTAAAATTAAAATTCTCTACAATATCTACACGCGTTATAATGATAAGAATTTATTTGAATAACATATGTAAAATATACTTCAGTACGCCACGTACATGCGCTTAGACGAAGACTAGGTTTTCCGACGCACGCCATTTCACCATTTTAGCCGCTCAACTGTATTAAAGGGGTGAATGGCGACAATAAGGAGAATTACGTAGAAAACCTGAAGACATGTTTAATCTCACTCTCTCTCTCTCTCTTTCTCTCTCTCTCTCTCTCTCTCTCTCTCACACGCACGCACACACACACACACACACACACACACACACACACACACACACACACACACAAGCACACACACCTTTCCAGCGAGTGTCCAAGGCCTGAGCATCCACCAGTTTCAGGCCGAATCCCTGGATATCTGGGGGTGGAGTCCTGGGGTTGAAGGGGTCTTCCGGGGGGTCTACACAGCACTTCCTGGAGGGGGGACCGTTACACAGCCCGGCTACATAGTCTCCATTACACTCTATCATCTCGTCCTGACACACGCCGTGGCGGAGGTCGCAGTCGGGGTCCAACTTTTTGTCTGAGAAGAAGAAAACACAGAAAACAAATCGATCACGAGTCCTACCGGTATTCTGCGTTATGGACGTGCCGACAATACATGTACTTTTCCCGCACACATTGTGAATTATGTGAATTAGAATAGGTGCTTGCGCATTGTATCCAATAAAATAAACTGACTCGAAAATTTGCATCATTTCCTATGCTTTGCTATCCTGGATTAACTTATAGTTATGTGTTTCTTGTTAATGATATTTTAAAAACAGCACCGCTCCTTTCGAAATCGTCTACCTCGTTCTTATTTTAAAAACACAATGCTTTCTAAAGCTTAGTAGAGAGAGAGTAGACCTACAGTTACCTTTAGGCTTATATTTGTGAACACAGCACCGTCTATTAGCTGGTCCTAGACACAGACCGTCCACGTACTCGCCGTCACAGGGATAGGAGTCCCAAAGACACGTCCCACGACTTCGACCGCACTCATGGTCAGCTAAATGATATCGATAATGATGAAGGGAGCTTTAAACACTGGCATCAAAATTTTAGTAATAAACAGCTATTCTTGCGAGTTATAAAATCCCATGCGTTTTTCATAGAGTGGGGGGATATAGTTTTGTAATCTTTTCTTATTAATTATAATTGTAAGTGTATACGTTTGCTCAACTGTCAATGCGAAGGACACCATAACGCTATTTTCTAGTAATCCAACACGTTTCTAAAATGGCAAAGTGACTTCGATTCGAAATGACGTCGAGCACCAGCAAGGATTTATGTCTAACGTGAAAAAACTAGTTATGAAATAAGACAAAACATTTTCTAGATCTGTCAATGATCATAAATGATGTGACTTTACATGCAATCCCGCAAGAAAATGCAGTAGAATCGAAGTAGCAAAGAAGCATTAACGCAGTAGTGGTGTGGAGCATATTTGCAGTAGAAATGCAGTATAGCCTACTGCAATTCTACTTCAAAAATTAAATAGGGTTGTACAGAGGAGGAGCATAAATGCAGTAGATTAGCAGCATGATAGAAGCATGTTTCAAATATGCTAATTAGCTCCCAAATCGAAGCAGATTTGAAGCATGTTTGCAGCATGATTGCAGTAGTCTACTGCGCTGGAGTATCTACTTCGTTTTCGTGCGGGATGGCCTATTTTCCAGTTTCAAAGTTGGAACTTTGTGAGTAATCAGTGTTTTAGCTCAGGGTAAAAAGATTGCAGTAGGTTGATATGTTAGTATCAAAATTAAAATTAATGAACAGATTTATCAAACCTGTGCTGCCTTGATTATGTAAGCAACTTCAATCCTCAGAAACTCAAATATCTAAAGGCTGAATCAGCCGGAAAATATGATTTACCACAAGAATCCGTGCTTTCAATATAATCACAAATCACAAACAACTATCTAATTTTCCTCGTGGTGATAATAATTTGAATTAATTAGTTAATTTTAAACATGTTATATTTCTTGAAACAGGCAAGGGTCGACTGGTCAAACGCTTGCCCTTATTTCCTCCAATTTTCTTATTTACCTTTCAATCTTGACTTACCATGTGCAGCGACTAGCAAAAAAACTAAGATAGGGATCCCTCTCGCCTTCATTTTGACGGTGAAATAATTTTTCTATAGAGAAATCCAAAATGCAACTTTCCTGAAATTGCGTCTCCCTCACGGGATGGCTACATTTAAAATGCGATTTATCTAATTGTCACCTTGGTGACGTCTTTGATAACTTATGAATAATATGCTGCTGAAGTCTGATTTTCAAGTACTATTTCTATATAGACTTAAATCTAGGCGACCACCTAGAAAAGACTAATTACTGAAAGGCGAAAGATCAAAACAACTGCATATTATAAAACACAAACGTAGATCAAGTGAATTAAAAAATAGAAAAGCTCAGTAGACGATGGCTTGACATTTGGTCTGGTCGCCAGCAAGTGCTTATGTCGATATAGCAACAAATTGTCCACCAGCACTCAAAGTTACGTGGACCGAAATCAAGTGTGTGTACTAATTACCATTTGATTTTACTATTTACTCTGGACTCAATGAGTCTTTAGAGATCTCGGGGTCATTTTTCAAACCCAATTTCTAAGCCCCGGACGCGCGAGATATCGTATTGATAAGATATCTTACGGCATATTGTACAGTTGAAATGGATGGTGGTCGTTTATACTTAATGTAAATAGTTTGAAGGAGCGAGCACTTTAACGAGATTAAAGAATGTAAATATATGGATTAAAATAGCAACGTTTTGAAGAGGGCGTTTGCTCTTTCTGTAATTTACATCGACTTTTAAGTGCCCGGTATTTTTTTTTAAATAAAACATTGCAATGCATGTGGATTAACAGCAAGGCACTTTTATTCAGATGGTGCATATACTGTATGTACACGTAGTTTTTCTTGTACTAGAAATCATTTATAATAATAATAATAATAATAATAATAATAATAATAATAATAATAATTCATTGAGCGCAGAAATGTTTTTACATTTAAGGGCTCTCTAACGTAATTGGACAATAGAAGTGTCACCTACTGAACCAATACTTTTGGGAGATAAATGACTGTGGAATGATATGCTCCTGGTATCATTTTATTAACATCAAATTTCACAAAAAGACCAACAATACAATTCCATGGTACAGCGGTTTTATACTCATTAGTCACATTAAAAGTAGACCAGGCATTATAACTTTGATTACTCTGATTCAGGGGGTGACACTTCTATTGTCCAGTGTATGCACTTTGTATTATACATATATGGAAAAAATAATAATAGTAAATAAATAGAAAAAAAATTATACATGTAATATAATATAATATTTTCAAGTTCACATTGATAGGTATGTAATTTTTTCTGTCGGAGGACGACTAAAAATGGAGGATGGAACAACAAAGATGATTTGGAAGGCTGTCAGAAAATATCTCTGGATCCGCCCCTGTATATAATGTTAATTTATTATTTTTTAAATCTCCAATAGGCCTATATCAGTGACTGTCCCTTTGTCTTAATGGGATATATATATATGCGGTACATCTTTCTCTGAACAAGGCCATTCATGTTGTCGAAATGGAAGTCAACAATTTTGAATGATTGTGTAGACAGTTTTGATTTCACTTTGAATTTCCCTTTCATTTTAATTAAAGTCTTTATTTATTAGAAAGGACAGGTAATACAGTTTTATTGAGATGAGATGAAAGCCTACTTAATTGGATTTAGATAGGTTTACCCACGAGATGCGATTTGTATCAGATAAATAAATTTCACAGCATGGCTTACTGTTTCATTTCTAGTCCCTTCCACAAACTTTTCCCCCAATCTTGCCTCTGTAATTGCATTTGACTAAAAAGTTGGATTAAAATTCCCAAAATAAATAGATTAAAACTTAATTTTAAGACCAATCTCTTATTCTCCACTCTTACCGCGCATCATCCTCTGACCGACTGTAAATGGGGGAATGTGTTGTCTACCTGGTAAACATTGCGGTAGATGCGAAGGAAAACATTTCATAATATTGTGAACAATGCGTTTGTTGCGACAACGCATTTCCCCACACGCATCACAACAGGTCACTTCCGTTCACATTTATAGAAATGCGCATGGTCAGTTGTGTGTACAACTTCGCTTGTGGCGATACACGTGCTTCGGACGACTTCCATCCAGAGGCCTGGGCGTTGAATTCTTGACCAATGCAGGCTGAGAGAACACAGGGATGAAACAGAGAAAAACGGGATTTAGGAGTCAGATCGTCGAACAGGATGGAGCGTCCCAAACATGAGAGGACTTGACTAACGGTTTTACGATCGAAGGGGTCGGCGGGATGAAGTAAAGATTTCATCATGACCACGCTTGAATAAATAATTATTTACTGTGAGTTGTTATAACAAGAAAGATGGCGATTGGCAAGGACCTCGAAGTCTACAAGAAAGATCCTAGTGTCTCTAGGAAAGCAGTCGTGAATGGTATCGCCGGAGGAGCAGGTAAAATAAAGTCTATTTTATAAGGTCATAAAATCGTTATGAAAGTCCTCGATGACGCCAAGTCGCCATTACATTTTACATTCATGCTGTATGCATGTCAGCATTGTCTTCAGATACTGCTGAAGTTAGTTACTGACATCCCATCCCCAACACGTTAGCACATACACTAGACACTAGAGACAACCCAAGCCCCTCCTCCTACACACATCTTTTATCAACAATTATCTTTGGCGTACAGAAGAAACCAAGCCGTAGTAGTGGACTAAAGATTTTGAGGGAAAAGGGTTGGGGGGGGGGGGGGGGGATGAACAAACAAATTAAACTGAAACCTAATTTTCGACTGCAGTGAGTTGTAGCATCCATTCATCCTGTCACAGTTTCTGTCACTTGTAGTTTTCACCTTGTTGGAAATTAAATCAGTATATACATGTAATATTATGGCTAACCTTTTGTTCTTACTAACTTATACGTACTCTAATATCCTATGAAAACATTGCTATTTTAATAGTAGTGCCAGATACAGTAACTTGGTACTATATTTTGCCTGACAGGACATAATATTTACTTTACTTACAAAACATGAATTTGTACTACAATCAGGTCCGTAGTCTGGGTAATATTTTACCTAGGTACACTGAAGGTTTCATGGTAAAAGGTGAACTTTTTCAGAAAAATAATGCTCCTTTTGCAATTGCTTGCTACGGGCCTGACAAGTTTTACAGGAAAAGAGTGAAATTTTTGAATTGGTCTCTATGAAAAAGAAATAAGGTAAACCATTTATACTAGTACCATGCGTAAACTTAGATGAGCAACTTCTATAAACTATATCTTTTTTCTACCTAAGCTGGGATGTTTGCGGTGACAGCAGTCCATCCACTGGACACCTTAAAAACCAAGATGCAGACATTCCCGGACTCCTACAGGCACAGCATTCAGTGTTTCCGCGACACTTTCCACTCTCACGGAGTCAGAGGACTATACCACGGACTTACACCCATGATGCTAGGAAACATGGCTAAAAACATGGTGGTGTTCATGTTTTACGGGATTTGTGAAGATGCAGTCAAGTTTGGATATGGTCTTGACCACACTAGCCAAATGACCCCTGGTCAGAAGGCTTTGGCTGGTGGCCTGGGGGGTTTTGCCACAGGCAGTGTTCTGTGCCCCATGGAGCTGCTGAAATGTAGACTACAGACTCAGCATCAGCTTGCACTGGATTGCACAGTGGGAGAGAATTTTCAGTTGGCAAGGTAGGGAACCAATTTACTGGTAGACATACCCACAATTTATTATTTAAGTTTACAATATGGGCATAGCTGTAATCGTCAAAGAGGACCTGTCTTAACATGTTTCTTGGATTTAAAAAAGTGAAAAATAAAAGTGTGACTCTAATCTAGTATCCCTGAATAGCACTACATACTGTCAAATGACTTCACATTAATTTATTTATTCATATTTATTTATTTGTTTTTATTTATTTAAATTTTTTCCAGAGGCCCAGTCCATCTTGCCCAGCAGGTGCTACAGTTGGAGGGGCTGCGTGGACTCTTTGTGGGACTAAACTCCACCTTACTGAAGTACGTCCCTGGTCAGGCTATCTATTTTGGAGTTTATGAGTCCATGAGGTCTTTCCTGGCAAAGGGGGATAACAGGCAGCAGCTCAGTAAGTGTGTGTGATGTCCAGCTAGGCCATGAAAAGACAGTGTAGGGAATGTGCGAACATATGCATATGAGCACACAAACATACATACTCACAAACACGCACTCATTTACAACACTTAAATTTGTTCATTGGTGTAGCCTTAAATCTAGGAGTATTGTTTCACACTAAGGTGAAAAAACATTCTAAGTTTTAAGACAATGTGCATGAATTTTGTACTAACTGTGAAAAAAAAATATACAAACAAAACACTTTCTCTCTGTAATTTTTTAAAGGTTTAAATAAGCCTTTAGTCAAAGTAATGTTCTGTTAAACTTCATCGCAGTGGGAATCAGTGTGGAAATTATTCTCTCTGTGTTGAATCTTTCTCAGCTGGTCAAAATCCACCAATTTTACTGTGTAACACTGTTACTATAGCAGACCTCACTCTAGTGTGTGTGTGTGTGTGTGTGTGTGTATTTAATGTCACTGTGTCACATAATCCAGCAGAAAGTGATGACTTATTCAGCCAGTGTATAATGCACAGAACTAGACTGATACTGTATATATTGCATGTAGGGAATGGGCCAGCACATGTATTGATCCTGGAGGTACACAAAGATTGAGTAACCCATGTGACCCAGATAATGAATGGATTTAGGGCTATATGGGTCAAAAGTTGACAGCGTGTTGAAGTCAATCAGTAAAATTTCAGGTCCAGATTTTATTTATTTATTTATTATTTTTTTTTTATTTATTTATTGAAACTAGTGGCTAGGTAGACTGATGACATTTTTTGCATGTTTTTAATTGCTATTGAATTTTGGTTAAAATCTGAAGATATTTTAGATAAATTAAAATGTTTAAGTAAGAATTAAAAGTGGCACATTGGATTATAGGTGAAGAAGAGAGGACAAATGTGAAACAGTCATCACTAATTTATTCTGTATATAGTCAACCAAAAATGCATAATAAATATAATAATTAATATTTGTCTGTAAAATTCTGACCTTTTCTCTGGAAGAGTTGCATCAAAATCATGCCATCCAGAATCAATTCCCATTCTAACTTGTTTTGAGGAAGGCACACTGACTTGATGTTGGTAAATATTTTTTTCTTGATAACGATAAATAACAAAGATATGATGGAGATTTTTTTACAATGAAAGCGAGAGTATTCCATTTGACCCAATAATATTCCTTATATCCCTTAAGATATTAACAAACACTAAGTCCTTGTGCCGGTAAAATTATTTCTTTTTCATACTGTTTAGTCGGTTGTAATTGGTAACAGTAGGTATTATGCGAGTTTTAACAAGCTGAGAGACTTAATTGGCTCCTGCATTTACCCAGACATTTGAAGCTCTTGTTGTTGTTATGTGGACTAGAATAGATGGCGCCACTTGAGTATTACATAACCTTGTTTTGACTGGCAGGTTCAGCAGTCAATGACTACCAACACAGGATTGATTTGTTGATGCCAAAACAGCATGTTTTTCACGTGCCAGACAGCTCTAATGTCAGGCTGACCTTTCATGGGCTATTTTTCGCTGTCTAATGCAGCTCTCACATGTAAGCGCATGTGGATGTCGCTGTGACTTTGCAGTGACTATTTCTTTTGAAACCTAGTCATAGTTTTTGGACCAAATGATTGATTTTGATATCATATCATATTAGAAAAAACTTTCTTGAGTGATTTATTCTCTGTTAGTTTTACCTTCTTGTTTGTATCTTTTTGAATGAGTTTGGATGGATGGAAATAGAGCTTTCCTTTCTGAGAGGAAGTCAAAATGACACCACTTATAAGTGGTGATGGAAAAATAACCTTTTTCTCTTATATTTTAGAACCGTTATTTAATGTTGATGAAAATAAATATGAGGTTATTGGCAAATGTATAGATCTATCATTGTGTGCTTAAGAAGAGTGTGTTATAAGTCCTAAATCGCCTTGAGGAGTGTGGTTGTTGTTTGCAGACAAATGGTTGTCAGAGCTAGGGCATTGTGTGTCAATTTGTTGGGAGGGGGGGGGTCACACAGTTATATCATATAGGGCAGGCACTGTGCTCTTTTTATATGCTTGCATTGTGTATTTTCATGTGCAAATTAAAAAGGTTCAAGTTTAAAGTGTATCTCAGTGCTTTACCATAAGTGCTGGAAACATGCATCATTTAGATAGGTTTTGGTCAGGAAAAGGTCATTTTGGTTACCACAGTCACTGTACTGGTACTGGTACTGGTAACTAGTAAGGGTCACCTTGGTGCTCCAATATATCATTGCAGAATCATATGACATGTCTGATATGATTTGGTCATAAAAAGAGTCTGGGGCCGACTACTTGAAAAACTGCTTGATCTGGTTCATTCTGGTGCTCAGCTACGATATTATAGCCCCAGACCATATGGTATTTCCCAGTTTGTTTTGACCAGTCACATAAAGGGCAGTAGGTTGTGGGTCAGCGCTATTTCTTGATTAATGAAGGTCACAGGAGGTCAAGGACTGCTATGTTTTTATTTGTGCATGTTTTGCTTTTTATGAAAATTAATTCTGTTATCATATTGATAGCTGATTTTGTTTTTTTTTTTGGAGGGGAGGGGTGATTGCTTTCCCTTTTTGTATCCTATGTTAGTGTTTGTGCAATGGAAAATTGAAATAGACAAACGTACTTGAAAAATATCCTTTATTGGATATCTGGCAAATATCTGTTTTCTTCATTCTTCAATTGTCGGAATTATTTTTCAGTTTTATCAGATATCTCTGTTCTCTCCCTACTGAAATTTAAACATAAAGGTTATTTAAACAGAGATAAAATTTCAGTATCCTTATTTGTATGCAAACAAATAGTATAAAACTTGTGTGTTCTTTTACTGGAGCAATCTTTTGACTAATACTATGTTAAACAGTGAAAACTAGTGAATTGAGAGTATTTTTGATAATTTTGACAACCTTTATTCAATGGCTAACTGTTATTATTGTACAAATAAAATGTGTGTTCATGTATGTATTTGATCTCTAATTTAATATGAATATTAAGTTTGTTATCTACATTTAATTGATGTCATATACAAAAATTTCACCTTTAAGATCTAAAAAGAAATTTGATCAAACTCTTAACACAATACTGTATATCTGTATATTCCTTTCTCAGGTCCAGTTTCTACCATGGTGTCGGGCGCTCTCGCAGGCATGGCATTCTACACTGTCATGATTCCTGTCGATGCCGTCAAGTCCAGAATCCAGGTCAATGCCACCACCATTGAGCCAATGAAATTTGTGGACACAATCATGAAGATTTATAAAAATGAGGGTGAGGCGTCTTTTGATACTGCAGACAGATCTTTTTTTGCCACTCTTGGAAATTTTACACAATTTTTTTTTCATGACATAAACCTTTGTTTTCTCGCTTATGTTTCATAATTTCCTTTTGTATTTTTTTGTTAATACAAGGATCTGATTTTTGGATGATGTTGTGTCATAAAAAAAATGCTTTCATCGTTTCTGTTGAAAACCTACAAACAAAAATAACTGGTAGAATCCTCTCGGCCACTCATATTTTTTATGCATTGGTCTGTAACTTTCATTATTACAGGAGGTCAAATTGTCTTGAGTAACTGATTATGGAACAATGTCAAAGAACAGTCTTGTTAACTGTAAAGCGGTGTCACACTGCCATTAATTAAATTTACTGTGTGTCAGAAAAAGGTGATCAAACAATTGTAGTTAGAAAAATCATTAGCCAATACAGACTGCCAGTCCCTGAATGTCTAGTTTCCCATATATTGCTAATTGTGTAATATTTCTCCATGTTTAGGTGTCAGGCCACTCTACAGGGGCCTTGGACCAGCATTATTGCGAACTGCTCCTGGCAATGCCTGCCATTTCCTCATGTACGAGTGGGTGAGACAGAAACTGTTCTCCTTGACTGGAGGCTAGAAAATGTAACAACAGACGAAGGAGCTGACAACGTAGCTTTGGTTTTGGATCGAGAGTTTGGATGACAGTGTCCTGTTCGTCATTTGATCCATTTTCAACATTTAAGTGGAAAAAAACTTAACCCATTCTTGTTATCAATTTATTTGTCTACAGAAAACTAGATTTAAGCTAATAGAGATATGCCCTATGTGATCTGAATGCCATACGAACTACCAGCCCATGTTTGAAGGTTGCAAACTGCCCAATTTATGGCTCTTGACAATCGTGAGTGAATGTGATCTCCAGAAGCTGTGTACCAAATAGGCAGTAGCAAAGCTTGAGCATGTTTGGATGTTACTTTGCCTTATACATGCTTTTACATAGCCTTGGATTCAGAAAAGGAGAAGACATGATGGGTGCACATGTAATAGGGACTTCAGCATAGATAGGAGTATATATGTATGCCATACAAGCAGCTATACCAATATTAAATTGACATCGCTGTTTACAATTTTTATGAAGAAATGGCAGAAAATTGAAGAAATAGAGATGATGAATTGCGTGAAAATCTGCATACATGTTACATGCAGGTTGCATGTGATGCAGGGATTATGGCAGATGTACGTATATTAAATAGCAACAGGTGGAACAGGCCTTTCAGAACAAAAAGTAATACATTAATTTAGTGGATAGCTCCAATAGTGCTTTCTATAGTGTTGCTTTAGATACCCTGCTTAAATCTGTCAAACTGAAAAATAATCAAAATTTGCTAGTAGTACCAGCAGGTGTGGCATTGCCAACATAATGCCATGTTTTGTACATCTCTTGCTCATTATGTAACTTACATTACAGCTATGTATGAAAATTTAGAGCAATGGTCGTCAGAAAGTGTGCAATACATGCACACACTGTTCAACATTACTTTTGATTGAAGCAGCAGACTGAAGAAGCATAAATGTTTAAGTGATGAGCAGTGTCATTCAAGGCTACTGCCATTTTTAGCACTCTTGGGTCAAGACAAGGTCTTTCAGCTGTGATAAATCATTTATGATTTAAGTGTAAATTTGCACACATTTTTATAATAATGCTCTGATGTAACCATTTGCTATGTCAAGTCAAATCTGACCTTTGACCTTATACATTTGACCCTTGACTTTTTCTTACGCCTGATCTTTTTAAGTTGACCTTTGTCACTTTGGTAATTTTTCCGTAGGATTTTGATGGCTAGTCCAGTATAATTGTTTTCCTTGTATTTATCCCTTGATGTCATTACTGTAACAATTATTTCATTCCTTGGTGTGAGTTTTACCAGGAATATCCACTATTACCTCTCTATTTCAAAAGATACATGTATGTATTTCTGTTGTGATCTCAGTGTCTAGAAATGTGGAAAGATATTAGACAAAAAAAGCTCTCGTCTCCAAAGTTTAAGAGCACGTTAATTATATGGAACTTAAATGTAATAGAATTTGGGTTAAGGCAGGTATCTTTGGACAGGTGTGATGATATAAGTAAGTGTTGGTACTATGTATCTGGGTGTTGAAAGATTTGCCCCTTACGTACCTCTATTTCATCTTATATACCACCTGTATATTAAGCAGAGAATCAACTAAAGGAGTGTACATATTATATAAATTCATTCAGTTGTTGAATTTTAAGTATTGTCTTGGTGGTGTGCACTTAATCAAAAATGAGGGTTATGTATTGTATGCGGAATGTGTTTTGTAGACATTTTTATCTTGAATTTTTTTCATATACTTGTATACATTACAATCCTACATTGTATTAAGCACTACTTTCTTTGTTGCATTTGACCGCTTGCTATTCAAGTAAGATGTGAAGCCATTCTCAGTTATATTCATTTGATATCTGCGGAGATGGCCCCTGCACAAAGCCAGTGCATATTAGAATTGTGACATTGAAGGAGAGAAGACATTATAACTCAAAGTGAGGGATGTGTGCTGAACTGTAGATTTCAAATCAGTTCAATACCAGGTTAATAAAAATGCCTGTGTTTTATTGCCATAGTAGTAATCATAAAGTTAGGTATAGTGTATATAGAAAGTAATGATAATGGTCTCTACCAGGAATAGAGCTTTATCAGCTTGGCACAACTTACGAGATGGTTGTAATAGTGATATCGGCGATTTGCAGGGATCGTTGCTTACTTTATTGATTATTGATATTAGCTAGGGTTATTTTGTATTTATTTCAATTGGTGGGTTATGATGTGTTATTAGATTGGTGTCTGGGAGTTTATTTCATTCTCAGTATTTTATTTTTCTGGTGATCAGGGTGTTTAAGGCAGTTGTATACCTGTGTGTAAATAAGCAAGGCATTCAGAGGGTGTGTTTTACTTCTGTCTCCATTGTAAGCTAACCATCCAAGTGCAAGTTCGAATTTATAACATTTCTTTCACCTGATAGGGTCCAATGAGCTTTTTTTTTTTCAGGCTAGACTGAGCATTTTGTCCAGGGGGTTGGAGGTGTTATGGTTATTTATTCATGTAGAACCTATACAGCTGTTATGTTTTGTTCTGCACAAAGTACAATATAGGTCATGTGTACGCTATTTTCAGACAGTCAACACGTAGTCTTATATGTGCTATTGGTAAACGTGCGCCAAAAACAAGTTGCGTAAACAATATATATCAGGACAGCAGCATGATTTCAATGCATAAACAACCTCTAGTTTATCAGTTCCTTCTTAAGGGATTTTACAAATCTGTGTAATCAGAAAGAAGACTCCGCCCCTGTAAAATTTACAACGTCATTGCAGGCCTGTTAATGCAAGTTTTTCCCCCGTGTATAATATGGCTAGAAATGTGAAGCTTCTCAAACAATGAGGAAGCACAAACAGGCATGGCTAAGTTGCATAAAGCTGTGTGTGTGTGTGTGTGTGTGTGTGTGTGTGTGTGTGTGTGTATATATATAAATGCACAGCACTAGAGGGGGTATTGTATCCTGTATGTCGCCAGTATCTGGTGACAGTAAAATGTTTCCGTTTGTAGGAAACGATATATACATATAAATACTAAGTGTACTCAGGGTATGTTTCATGAATTTGTGCACATTTTATTTGCTTGCAATCTCAATAAATATATATCTGATGATACGTTTTGTGTATTTTAATACTTAATATTACTAAATACATAATATTAAATTGTTTCAGTTGAATAACGTTATAAGGACCTATGCGATTAAGTTTTAATTGATTATATTTATGAAGGTCGCTTATTCTATATGACTGGGATTTTTTAATCCCAATGTACCTTTTCCATCTCAAGGCGAACAGTTTTCGCTTTAAAATCATTTATTCTGAAGATCAATGTTGGATTTTACAGGTAACACTTTCGATTTCGTAGGCCAATTTCGTAGGCTTAACCTATATAAGAAGCAATCTTAGGCGTCAATGCCCCCGGGGTGAGACACTAACGATTTCTACTACAGTGCGTAGTAATAACAAATAAATAATATACAATTTGTGAAGTACTGGTAGGGCCTATATATATCATTCCTTTTAACTTTGCTGAAGTCAAAATACTGTAAAGCTTCACTTGTTTTTTTCCAATAAAATAAAATTTTAGTTTAAAAAAGATTTAACTTTCCGGTAAAAAAAAAATAGCTTCAGGATGTCGTAGCAGCTGCAAAGATAAAAAAATGATAATAAGTAATAAAACGTTTTTTTTTTTTAATTTTATTTTTTAAAATTTTACATCACAGTAAGTCATTGCACTAGGTGCGACGTTCACAGGTTGGAGGTGCACAATCGCATTTCAAAATTTTATCCACTCGTTTGACTCTAGTCGACAGCGTTTTAAGTTGGGGACTCCACGCTCACATTTTTATTTTTATTTTTTGGCTATTCTTTTTAGGCATACAAGACTACATTTATACACTAAAATTGTTTGAATACTGCTAACATGAAGATAAAAAATCTAATACAGAAGGCCTAGTTGATTATTCTTCTAAAACAGATACATTTCAAAATTCTGATAAAAGGGCACTGAGATGTGAAAAATTACAATTTTGTGCGAAAATGCTCACATAACACATGAAAATAAAATATATATATAAAACAATCATGTTGGAGTGAAAATATCAGTCCGCGTGACATCCGCGTGTTTTAACTCTCACAGTAGACAAAGATTACGTGAACATTGCTTCACATATTCGAAGAATCTATCATTGATTCAGAGTCATTGGCTTAAAGACGAGTTGTTTTATTTCAGTTCCTAATATTCCATAAATTACACCGCTGATCAAGTGTTTCAAATTCATGTTAAAATTCATAAAGTTTTGCGTTAGTTTTCTGATACGGTTCTTATTTAGTCATCATTTTTACAATGCTAACCTGAGACATACATTTTTGCTACAATTGCAGAATTTTAAGACGGTACACTGGAATATTATGGCACTATAGAAATCATACCTCCCTCTTTTGGCACTAAAGATACCATAACCCCACCCCGACCCCTCTCTATTTCCAGTCTTTGGCATTGTCCCTGATTCAATCACAGATTAAAATGGCATCTTCGCTTGGGTAGGTGTTGGAGCATTTCGGTTCCTGTCAGCTTGCCGCTTGGACTCCTCATCACTGCGCGGATACGGCCTCACAAGCTGATCTTTGCGTAAAGTGACGCCGAATCCGGGTCGATCCGGTAGGTCGATAAATCCGTCTTTGGGCAGGGGCTCATCCGTGAAGAGATCACCAAAGTAAGGGATGATCTTATCGGCCTTTGGACTAAGGTTGATGAACTCTGCGAGGGGGCAGTTGCTAAAGGCGTACTGAAGGTGATACGAGTAGACGCTGGAGCCGTGCGGAATGACCATGATATCGTAGGCGGACGCCATGGCCACTATGCGCCGGGCCTCGGTCATCCCACCCAACCACGTGATATCCGGTTGGAGGATGTCCACGCACCTGTTGGCTATAAGTTGGCGATACCCGTACCGCGTGTATTCGTGCTCCCCCGTGGTGAGAAGCAGCTTAGAGCCTTGCAGAGCCTGTCTGACGGCGGCGTAGCCATCATAGTCGTCAGGGGGAAGAAACTCCTCCATCCATTTTATGTTAAAGGGTTCTAGCTCTCGGGCAAGGCTGATGGCGTATGGGACAGTCAAGGCCATGTAGCAATCCAGCATTAGAGGGAAGTCGGGGCCAACTTTCTCGCGCCAACCTTTTACAAATTCAGCGTTTTTCTTTAGCCCCTCGTTCCCAGCAGAAGGCCCGTACGGACAGGGGATCTTGCTCCCCACAAAACCAAACTCTTTGGCAATATCTGGTCTAGCTGTGGTGCAATACACTGGCAGACGATCTTTGGTTTTCCCGCCAAGAAGTGCATATACGGGCTCGCCCCGCAGTTTGCCAAGGAGGTCCCAAAGGGCAAGGTCAACGGCGCTGATTGCTTGTAGTGGGAGTCCCTTTCGACCATAATTTAAAGTCGACCGGAACATTTGGTCCCACATCAACTCGATGTTCCTGGGGTCCTGTCCCTCGATGAAACGGCTAAGATGCCTCTCCACTATGAAGCACCCTGGTTCTCCCCCAATGGTGATCCCAACGCCGACAGTGCCGTCGTCTGCTTCAACCTCAACCACGAGCGTCCCAAGGGCGTTGATCCCCCAGGATTTTCTCGTAGCGGCGTACTGTGGGTGCCCGGACATGGGGTTTGCCACTGGTGTCGGGAAGCCATTGATCCAGTGTTCGTCCTCTACATCGTGGCAGTCGGCCATGTATCCCTGGTCTCCCTTCTCTCCTTGGGTTGCATATGCACGAACCGCCTTGATGCGGGGGATGATTTTCGTAGATATGGAGGCCATAGTTATAGCACGGTTGATGCCGACATATACAATGTTAATGTCTGTAAGGAGAAAACTGGCTTCTAACCCAGTTTCCACCGACTTGTATGTGATATGATGCTAGACTATGTACTGTGTGCTCAAGGCTTAAATATGTGGGTCTTACGTTAAAGATTAATATTGTGGCCTACTTAATGATAATTCACTGCACCTCTATCTTGGTCGCTGCATACCCCCTACCAGGGCCACAGAGCGACTTTTCACCAGATATTCACATATATGTCTCTGGCGTATTGTTGACATTTTTCTACTGTCCAGCGAGAATTTTTGCGTGGAATTAATGTCTCTACTCAGCTAGCTGGTCTGTAGTAGGGCCTATACAGTAGCCCCTGTAGCATTACGGCGCCGTTTGTCTGTTGAAAATCTATTCAGGTCTTCTGCATGCAATTTGGCTCTCCGAAACATGCACCTACTTTGCCAAACTAAGTAGCCTACAACTCTGTGTATTCCACTGTTAACTGGCAAATAAAATGAAACCTCATTAAGAATAATTTTTAAAAGGGGCATCAAAATAATTAGTTGAAGTTGAAAATAGAAATGTGATAGATACATGTATAATTGCTCAGAGCTCAGAACTAATATTTTGATGACTATTTTTTCAGTGTTCAGCCGGCTCTTTGGACGGGCTCATATTTGCAAGCGTAACATTTAAATCGTTATCTTGGCAGCCTCGTTTTCACTACCCCAATTACCGTCAGTTTTACCTTCATTTATATTATTTACATATATTTTCGAAAAAAGACTTGCAAAAGTTGAACAAACTCAAATTTGCTTTTTTTTCACTCTTGTTAACCACCAGACATACCTACATGTATTTTGACAGACCTACCAATTTTGGCATGACACTTGTGCAATATAGAATGCATCGATTTTTGATATTAATAATATTTCATTCGGTTCACTTTTTGGAGGATTATAAGCGTTTTACAAAAATATTTTATCTTTTATCCCTTTTGCGTCAAATTACTCCTGACATCAGTAAACAGCATCGGTTAAAATCACCAATGAACTAAGTCCGCAGTCCACATCATATAGGAATCAGATTAGTCCCATTATCAAATATCAATTTAATACAAGTGAACTAAGCTGACACTGAAGCGTTTCAGGCAGATAGTGCCGTAAAAAGGCCGACTAAAAAGCCTACAGGCGGGCAGATAACCACGACCCGTGTGTCTTCTTTGCCCATACGCAAGGCCCCATGACTTGATTACAGGGCGGTTTAAAGATCTTAAGTTGCAAGATCAGAAAATTGCGTTATTCGAAATTGCAAATTACTAAAGGGAACGAAAATCGACGAAGAGATGAAAGGATCTTAATATGTGTGTTGGTAAAAAACATTTGATCACAGGAAGTGATGGTCTTAATTTTGAGTGAACTTTAACCGTATATGGGCCTACAAGGAAAGATAACTAGACATCTACGGATGTTTTCTGACATTTCTACCTCTTGGGCGATATGAAAACGGCCCAAAAGGATCGAGATGACGGTTTGGAAAGGACATCAAAGAACTACTCTTTCTCAAATTGAAAATGATTGTAGCGCAAGTACACTGGATTCTTCGATCTGTTCACTTAAAATAGTTAAAGGGACAACAACTCTTCATTTTGGCGGGAAAAGTGCCATAAAACGGATTTTTCTGGGGTAAACGACGATGTTTCCATGGTTAATTCCCAATGATTAATGAATCTGTTCCGACATTTAAAGTAAGTTGATCGTTTTTTCAAATGTGTTTTTGTAGTAATCTTTTAAATGATTATTAAGGAGGGAGCCATCAATGAAGGTCCAATGGCAATGGCAAGCACAGATTTCAGAATAATTGCGATAAACGCCGTTTTGGTGGTAAAATGGAACTCATCATATTGGCATGAGAATTTTACAATGTGTTTATTGTGGAATTTTGAGTCTCAAATCTCTATGAATAGTTGTGATCCATTTGAGACCAACTTCAGACTTAAGTTCGCTTGTGGAACCGCTCAGTCTTCATTGGAGAGAAGAGTATTTGGACGCATCGCTTTTTTAACGTCATCAGTTATTATTTTTGTTTCAATTTGTAAATAACTGTACAAAACAGAGAGCAATAATACAGTATAACAATATTTCTTGTTGTTGCCATGAAGATTGTACAGGTATGTACAGGTAAATTGCATAAATAAAATTGCTACAACAATAGGACGCTGAAGACTTTTTACAGTTTTAAGATGTTATTTCCGTTTTATTCTAAGGAGGACAATGTCTTAATTTTTGTTTGTTTGTTTTTTGAAAACTTATTTTGTGCTGCAGTTTTCTTTTCACAAAGGCGTCAGCGCAAATGCTGAAGCCCATTTAAAAATCAATGGATTTTTTTCTAGGGGTGTGTTGAAATGTTAAGCTTCAGTGATTAAATTTTCAGGCTTTTCAAACAATTTAATTAACCGCTTGTCGATCTCAAATGTCTACAAGTGTCATTGCCCCAGCCCACAGTATTGGCATAAACCACACGTTGACGACGGTTTCATATTCCATTCTTTACCAAAGACATGTGATACGTGTCGTTAACCTATCTGAACAGTCCTCGAACTTCAGATGCTGAAAAACAATAAACAAATAAATAAATAAATGAATAGAAAAAAACAATAAAATAAAATAATAATAATTATGAATAAATAAATAAAACCGGAACCTTATGTAACGATGGGCGAAGGTCAAACTATTGCGAAACACAACTGCGATTTTCATTTAGCGTAACATGGAGGCCATAGCTGTCGTGATGGTGTCAAATAAAATACTGTTTTGATGGAAACTGCTCGTCAAAAACCACTGAAGATAAAACACGAAACGTAACAATGTTCAGGAGCCGTGGGCCCGTAAAGATGGAATTCTTTTGTACGAAATTGAGGTTTTCATCGGATATCAACTGATTGTCTAGGAAAAGTATATAACAACGAGACGTCAGTGAGTGAAAAGGCTGTGACAAAGCTCTGGGGTTTATTCTTTGTAAATGGCACTGTACCTGAAGCCAAACGTGGGATATGAAGCTAAATTTATCACAAGACGAATATAAAAAAGTACATAAAAAGTACTTTTCAGAATAGAAATAAAGGGCGTTTGAAGTTTTCTGTTTATTTGTTTTGAAGTGTGCTCTTTTATAACCTATGCCTATAAGCTGTTTGATAATTTCTGAAAATAAAAAGATATCTCGATACTGTTTAAGCTCATGTCCTGTAAACGGCAACAATGGCTTTAATGTTTTCAGTGTAACTATATGGTCATAATGGACGAAACCCATACAAACACTTTTGTCATACACGTAGTAGTTATTATCTCTATCCTGCTTACAAAGAAATCACTCAAATGGCTACAATAAACGCCAATAATGGTATATTTCATTCAGGCTGCTGCTTTCCTGTCCAGGAAACCAACCTACAGAATTGTCCACTTCCAAAGTCAAAAGTGAAACTAACCGATCCGCCTTGAAATGTACATCTGACTCAGATCAAAGAGTCGCGGTATATTTGTACCACTAATTTGAACTTTTACAACCCAATAGCTAGTAGAAGGTTTCTTTTGATAACTATTGATAAAAAACCACGGGGTTAATTGGTAGAGTTTGTCTGATGATTTAATCCATCCCCAATTCGAAATAGATAACTAGAACTTAGATGTTATATTAATTATTTTGTGACACTGTAGTATGGAGCAATTTTGACAATGCTTTGTCATTATCACTCATCGTTGTTAGTTTTACCTTTCTTTCACAGGAAACCCCAAGGGTTCATGACAAGGAAACAAGAACTGTCAACCAAATTGCACAAAATGTAATATCATTTAATTAGCACATGCAAGTTCCAAACGTTAAAGCTCTCGATCGTCACGAAACTAGGTTACGCAGACCGACTTGATGGGTTAGAGACTATACTAGTAAATTTCAACATACCATCATTTAAAGGTAATTAATAGACCCAAAGGAAAAAGGTTGCCTTTATAGTACATTTTATATCTAAAATATTGAAGACTGTCTAGATATCCAAAGAAAGTCTTCTGAGGCCTTCACTTTCATAAACTAAATAAAAAGTCCGTTTCGCCTATTTAAAATCATGATCAAAGCAGGCCTCAAAATCGTTTTTTTCCCCTTGGTTTTCATATTGTAGATCTTGGGAATTGCCTGATAAAGGAATGTCATTCCTTGTGTACTTTTAGTTTCTTCACAAGATTATACGATACTCTATGAAACGTGTCAATTCATACAACGATAGAATTCGTGTCCCTCGTTAAAGCCCTCCAAAGAATAAAGTTTCCTTGCTACTGTTACATGATAGATATGACCGATGATGGGTTCATATGTCACTGCACCTTCGGTCCAGCTAAAATTTCAATCACTCAGTTATTCCAGAGGAAAAGCAGTTATTCGGCCCACGTGCGTGTGTCATAGCCGAGAGCGACAAGCAGTATCCGGGTCTGCCAAACTGAATACAATGACATTTGATCAAATCGATCGACTGTCAACATCGTATCATTGTTTTGTTCAATTCGCAGAGGTTGGAAAAGGTTTCGTTCACGTTGGCAATGCGTTTGGTAATTAAACTGAGATCTGGTTCAGAATCGGAGCCTGGCTGCGAGTTTCGGCCTTAACAGCGTCGGCCTGTTTTACAGAAAAACAATGTACACAGACACACAGACTGCCATCTCTAACTATAAAGAGACTTTGTCATGGGAGGGAGGGGGGAGGGGGAGGTGGAGCCTCATTGGGGAATTATTTTGACTACATTGTTTATTTTTTGGCCTACTATGCCAATTAAAACATTTGGTTAACAAACTTGCGCTTCATAACTTTTCTGTAGGGGCCTATGCTTGCTTCGTTTTCCCCTAAGACTAAGCCTATGACAAAATATTTTGCTGGGCTTATACAATAATGTACTCGTAGTTTTTATTTCATCATGTTGTCAACTACCCTTAAGTGGACTAATAGCTCGTAAAACGGTGAACAGAATGCGTATCTTCATCGCTTAGTTGCCTAAACGTATCGGTTATATCACTTAAGGGGGCAGAGCCAAAACGACTTGCGTGTCTTTTCTTTTTATAAGGGAGTAACGTTTTCAATTTCTCAATGTTTCCACGTCATGTTTCGTGTTTGCAGCGTTGATACTAGATGACCATAGGGGAATTCCGTCACGATAACTAACGTTTTAAAATCATATTCGATGGCAAGGTAAATATGTATTTATCTGAATCGATTCCTTTGTTGGCTTTTAATGCTCTCGGTTGGGTTTTAAATTTTATTTGCAAAGGGAAATGTGCTGCTACAGGTAACACATATTGCACTTTAGATGTTGGGACCATATCACAAAGGATGGCCAGAACAGTATAAAAGATTTGCAAGCCATACCAAAACGCAAACTATATATGAGATAAAACTGCTAAATGAGAACAAGCTCTGTTATTTGTTGCACGATAAACCCTGATGCAAAAGATCTAGGGAAAAAAACACACTGGGAAACCAGGTATTGTATCACAAATTAAAGAAGAAAGTGAACAAGGCATATAGAACTTGATACTAAGTGGACTTTGGGCACGTGCTCCGGGGAATACTGTATGTGATATATATGTACCCTCCAGATGGAGTTGCGTGTGGTGACCTTAAACAAACGGCAAATATATCGAATTGTTCTGAAACTCTGTGTTGTTATCCATCATAGGCATATCACTTTATTTCGTAATAAACCAAATTTTTTTCTTTGCACGCCATTTACTATTGATTTGCTTCGAGTCACTTGAGATCAAATTTGGCTTTGTTCATACTATAGGGTATGTACAATAATAGTCTTTTTTATCTCTTACTACATAAGCAGGCACCACACATTACATAAGGCTGGCTTGTTACAAGAACTTTCCCCAAGAGTAGTGCTATCGGGGCAACACCTTAGCTCTTCATTTCCTCTGAAATTGTATTTGTACGTATAGTACACTTGCACCGATGTCAACTTGATAACAATAAAAAAGGCCGAGAATTCAAAACCCACAAATAATGACTAAATTAAACTTGAAGAGCTAGAATGACGAGTCTTAAGTAACATGTAAGTACATCTACTTTAACGTTAACGGTTTCGACGTGGTAAATCAAATATCACAAATGGTAAGTGTTTCTATATGTAACAATCTGTTGAAAAGGTTCGGCTTTTGATACACGACACCAGTATTGTGATCTTATCTTAAATAGCGCTTTTTTCTTTCTGCAAAATAGCGGTTTCAACCCGATTAGTCAAATGTCATGTTACAGTAAAAAATAGGTGTTTATCATAGCAATTGACAACCACGTAAAACGAGATAAAATTAAAGTTTGCATGAGCTGGCTTAAGACGCACGCACAAGCTTAGGTATGTTATCTAAAATAGCCTTTTCAATACCATACACGATTTTAACATGTTCAAATCAACCCTTAGACTTAATGGCTCGTTTATCAAATAACAATATATGTTTAAGTGTGCAAGGGAAGCAAGGCATTCACTGGAGATAACTTACATCTCCCATAACAATAATGCGTCATTAGTTTCTATCAACCGTCTGTATATCCTGTGTCTTACACTTGATAACGCCCTTGTTGTCCTGAAAAATCATTTGTCCGTCATTACGGCATCGACTTTTAATGCAGTAACAAACCTTAACTGATTCTGCAGCACAAAAAGATTAATTTAGAACGTAGAGGGGTAGTTGATTTCTTCTTAAGTATAAAATAAGCAACTGTGCAGCAATTAGCGATAACTGTTCGAGTCTAATAGTCCCAAGTGAAAAGTACCTTGCAATTCATCATTTTATTCATCACAATAGGAAAACAAAAACAATTCATTACTAGTGATAGAAGTTCAAACACGCCCAAATAAAATAACATCACTTCTTTCAAGCCAACGACCGCTAAAGAATGCATGCCGTCATCCGTAAAAGATAAGGCAACAAACGGTTCTAGTGTTCGCCTTTCTCTGTTCGTAATACAAAGCGTGATAGTTTTAGGGTGATCATATACTATTTCAAATTTCTAAGCGTGATATTTTTAGTATGATTTATAAGAGCAGTTTTAAAAGTACCACAGGCCATAGATAGCCATACGGCAAGTAACATGACATAGATAGACAAAAGGTGTGACCGATGCCAACATGTACTCGATGATAAACAAAATGAATTGATCACAAAGAAATAAAGTGGCTACTCCAGATTAATTCAAAACTTGATATCTAATAAAACGAATCTAATATAATCATTCTATTTTCAGGTGCAGTAATAACAACTAGATATGTGTCGGTGAACTTATTGTGCCTGCTAATCGGGATGAATTACTTCTAAATAAAAGCGTTCAGCGAAAGCTACACCGCTGTCATATTAACACACACAGATGGTTACCCAATGTTAACGATATGACATCTATAGCAACTGATGAGAATAAGATGCGACGAATAACGACACTAAATGACAAAATGTTAGCCAATAATTTGGACCTTCTTTTTTCAGATTTGTAGGCCTAACCCTAGTAGAAACAAAGGTGTTAAATTCGCCAAGGTCATGACACTGAAAAAGCATAACTAGCCAGTTCTTCATTATAATGTATTATTTACATCTTATTATGACCTCAGTTTTTTATTATTATTGTAAACATAACCCTAGATTACACATATGGTATCACATATCAACGGAATGTAAAGATGGCGTTGAGTAACCCATCTTTTTGTCTTCTTTGTTAAAGAATAGAGATGTTGGCTTCTAACGTATGCCATGATTGTGCGTAGGCGCAATGCTGACGACACTGCTCGTGGCAACAGCGCGTGTGTTCAACCCACGAGGCCAAGCTGATGTTCCGGAAGGGCTGGACCGTAGGTACCTTGAGGGGTGGGACCTGAAAATAAAACTTCAGTATGTTAGAGACTATTCCCAGAGACTGTCGTACTAACATTGGATCGAACTATCTCCAGGGGAATTCTCACTTAATTGCAATCAACTTAAGCGGCTTAGATGTCTGTCACGCTTACTAAAGCTGATAGGGGGTAATTAACCGTAGTTTAGCAGCTTTATTAGGCGTCCCAGACATCTAAGCCACTTAAGCTGAAAGCAATTTAGAGAGAAACCATGTGGAGATGAACAGATCCTGTTAGATCGACCTAGGGATGGGAACCCAGTCCAAGTAGGCCTATAGATCTAACACCCCATTCTCATAGATTAGATCGACCTACATTGGATCGACCTAACTCCCTGGGGGTTCACGCTAAATAGCTGTCAGCCGGGCGGACACGAAAGTTAATTACCCCTTAAAGCTTGTAGTAGGCGGGGACGGACACTTAAGGGGGATTATCTGACAGTAATCTAGTGAGACTCCCCGCGGTGAAAGATCGATCTAAAAGTTGTGAGAACAGAGCCTAAATCTGAGTGCCTTAGGCCCTATGCCGTGTTTTTTTTAGCTACACCATTTTTTCTCCAAAAGCAGCTGAAATATACATGTAGCACTTCAATATTTCAATGTCTCACAAAACACGTTTATCAAGGATTGAGTTATAGATGTTATAATATCCTATACATAAGACATAGGCCTACAGTAGGGTGTGGGAGACGGGGGCTGCAATCATGGGTAGAGGCTATTATATCACGTGATCTCTCACTCCATACTCAAGAAGGTGTCTTTTGGGACATTGGGATATTGGAGTGGTATAATAATAATGATTTTTAGCTCTTGTTGGAAGAACATATCGTTATAATATAAAGAAAAGATGGCATATCCATGCACACAAAGAAAATTTGCCTGATTATGACTCTTATTTGGTTCATATCGCAAGCAAAACCATCAAATACCAACAATTAGGTAATCTTATCACAACATCTGTTCTTCCGTTCTTTCATGGAAAACAGGACGTGAGAGCTTATTTTTGGTCTTGTGTACCTCTTATGACGTTATGTATAAAATGCTTTTCTCAACGACCAGTGGTACATTAGATACCATATCCTTAGAGGGGTGTGCAACGAAGCAAAGCGTCCCCTAGGATCTAAACCGATTCCCCTTAAAAAAAAAAAAGAATTCCAAAGAGGGCAAGTGTCTTGTCTGCCTTAGGATAATGTATAAAAAGAGTCAGTTATCAGACTATGTTATATCATGTAAAAAGTACATGCCTGCTGATTGGGCGGGCTCCCCGTGAAGTTTACACCTCCCTGCTGAACAATGGTAAAACCCGTGGCACGAGCATTCGTCGTCTGCAGAACACGTCTTTGTGTCGATGGTAGCGCAGTCTTTCTGCAACGGAAATAATGATTGACTTTTAATAACAAATGTAGTTATTAGGAAATGATGTTATTGATGAGATCATCGTTATAAAGAAATGTACCGCCTGGATGGGATAAAAGTTGTACGTCACATTTCATTCAGTTATGCTAAATTGAGCAGGTCTGGATGATGGTTTTGATAACCTTAACTTACACAATTATTTATAATCCAGACCAATTAGGCTATTCTGATAACTTCTTAGCACGGAATTTCTTTTTGAATGAAAGATGTACAAAAACCTACAAACAGTGATACAAACGAATGAATTGCAAGTAGGATATGTAGGCCTATACACTGATTCTTGAAAAAGAACTAGAGCATGTCTTTTTACTTTTCGGTTAGTCTGCGTGTATGGATGATACATGTACGGTCACATTTGATTTATCACTTTTTGACTTAGTAGTCTTAGTAGAAGCGTCAGTTGCATTGATTGAACGATTCCCCCTAAATGTAGACCACAAAAATGCGAAACGGCATTTTAATCTTATTACTGGAGATGAGGAAGAGTTCGCTCAGTATTCAGTATGACTTTTTTTCCTTCGTTACCGGCCTATTCCTCATGATAGCAAGTGGTTCGTATTCCTTACATCGTTTAATAAACCGTTTGCCTTAACGACTTAATAGTATTGAGCAGTGGTGTCTGCATCGATAAAAAAAATGGCAGAAATGACAAAAATGGTAGTCCTAGGAATGGAAATCCGGGTTCCCTGATGATGAGTACAGGCTAGTTTTAGCCAGCGTCAGGGTTATATTCTAGGACGAATATCAATCGTACAAATCAATAGCAAACGGACTACGGTTCCTAGCCGACTACCATTCTTGATATTCTATTGCATTAACACAATGAATGTAAAATGAATGTAAAACGAAACTGTTTGGGTTTAATTTCTAAATAAGCTAGTTTTTTTTTTTTTACTATTTTTATGTTTTCAAGTTCTCCAAACCTTGTTTTTGAAGCCCGCAGAATTTTTCTCTCTAACTTTCTCTTTAAAAATTAATTTATTCATTTACTTCTATTCATTTTTCTACTTATTTATGATGTACAGGTAGAACACCCCTACCACGTCTGTATTTCATAACTACTGGCCACTTTCACCTGCACACATAGTAAGATCTATCACTAATAGGGTGGTGAATTCCCTTGGCTAAATACCACTTAACCCACCATCTTTGGTGATATTACACCGCTTGCTTAGCACGTTACGATCTTATACAAATTGCCACACAGGCATATCTGCCATATATTATAGACTACAGAGGCCAATAGCCAATTCAATTCATTTCTGTACTGAAACAGATTATCATTACCTTGTAAAATATAATATAATAAACTATATTATAACAGCTTTCTAATTTAAGTTATAATTTGATTGACTTCTTGGAATTTTTATCTGTTATTCATTTGAATTTCCATTAGGGAATTTCAAATTCGTTTGCTACTAGCTTGCAACTTATATTTTATTTTACCCTCGTCAATAAAGCGCTTCGAAAATATACAGGAAAATGCTTATTATTCATGCTAAACTAAAGAAGCTTTTCGCGAACAACTTAATTAAATACCACAGGGATTAAGTTGTCGAAATTCTAGTTTTCAAACGATTTCTTTGCACTTTCTCAAGTATGTGAGAAAGGTCAATCGAGAAGGAGAGAGAGAATTAATTTGTCACTTCAGAAAAGAATTGATTGCATTAAGTAGAAACGAGGCGTATGGAGCATTGTCTACAAAAAAAGACTGTCTATAAACTAGCAGAGTAAGCAAAACACTTCAAATTTCACAGACCTACGCTCATATCCGGAAGTAGTGGAGGCATCTTGGCATTTGAAATATGGTTGATATGTTATTGCATATCTAGATTGCAATTTTGTATTGCAAAATGTCATAACATTTATTCTCCGGAATGCCATCGGCATTCGCATCATCGAACAGGCTAGTCAGCTTTGTGCTATCTACATTTAACCATTCATTTAGGACGTTTAATTGTCACCCCCTTAATCCTTTCGACGCATTTGCATTTTACGTCGTAAAAGATCAAAGTTTGATCTGCATGCTCAGCGCGATTTATAATAAGATTACTAATTGGATTTTTATAGGCAGTTATCGACGTCATTTCTTCGAAGTTAAAGTCGTTTTATACAGTATATAAAAATTAGCCCAAAAGATAATCAAACGGAGACTTCTAATGGAAATATATTGCTTTATCAGACACAAGATTCATATTCTCATTAGGACCTTAGCATCTCAGGTATCAAGTTTGTGATAAATGGATTCCACATAACTGTAATCAAATAGAGGAAACCCTTTGAATTTTGCAGGTAATTCTTATTCTGCGATAATAAGATCTCACAATGGCATACTCACCGAGTTTTCTACAAACCCATTTTGCTGCATAGGGGTTGCTCCGGAGCCTTCTACCACTGTCTTTGAACCGTAAGAACCACCACCAAAGCCGCCAAAAAAGCCATTGTCTGTTGATGCTGATTTTGTACTTTGCATTCCATTATCGCTTGCAAATGAGCCAAAACCGCCAAATGAAGAGGCACCGCTGTCGACCCCCTTGCTGTCACTATCACTTGAGCTCCCTGCAAAGTTTCCAAATGAACCAAATCCGAGGTCATCAGGGTCGCTGTGGAATTGCCCTTCGTTTGCATTATTTTGCTCAGGGCGGAATTGCTCAAAGTAGTCTCCAAAATCGGACTCTGGAGAGGCAAATTTGTTTGTCGAGAGTTTTGAAGGATTTTTATACGGATAATCATCGTGCACCGCAGGAACTTCGTTTCTGGATGAAGACGTTCTGAAAGCGTCAACATCATCAGGAAAAAAGGATGTTCGAAAATTTTGATCCGGAACAGAATTTGTTCTGAAGTCATTCAAGTTGGCATTGTCACTATACTTTGGTGAAATACTACCAAAACTGCCAAAATCTCCATCATTTTGCATAGCGCCGTCAAATGTTTTTTCAAAACCCTCTGCCTCGGAATATTGCTCGTCGTCGTTTTTTCTGTAAGAACCACCCTTTTCCACTTGCTCTAAATTTGACAGGATGGCTTGTAACCGGGTACCTTGTGCCTTAGAGTTAATGTCAGGTGTTTCTGTGCTCGTCAACATCGCGCTTTGCGACGAAAAGCGTTCTGCGGCAGGTGTATTAAAATGTCTCAGGTAGTCTGATACCATAAATTGTAGAAAGGACGGTTCTCTTTCCATCTCTGAAGCTGTTTCCTCAGAGTACATCGGCCGCGCCGTCGAAAACATGGGTAAAATAGCCAGAATAAGAAGTGGAAACATTTTAACGTTCAAACTTAATTCTGGCATATCTCAAACACTCAACAGCAGGCAGATGTGATGTAAACCTCTTGCAAAATATAAAGTCCGCTCTGTTTCTGGTTTGTGTTCGGCGCTCACTCCGTGTTTTGGTCTCGTCGACCTAAAAGAAACCAAGCACACGTGTGTGAAAGTAAACGAGAAGCTGCAGATTCAAAAACTATCTGCCAGAGTTGCATCACTAGCCGGTATTTTATAACCAGGAGGCAGCACGCGCAGACGTACGCTGGGAATGCCCAAGGCGCGCGCCTATTGGCTCTTGTATCGAGCCAGCTGCTCGTCGCAATCCACTGCAACCTGCTAACTATCCTAACATGACCTTAATGAAAACAGGTTAAATTATTAACCAACTGACTTCCTGTTGCATTAATCTAGATACAATTCACTGAGAAAGGACTGAAGACGCTATCGACAACGGGCAACCGCATGCCTCCAGAGACGATCGTATCTAGTTTCTACACGATTAATAGCTGGTAATTTCCGAGATGTTTTGTTTATTTTCTGGGGAATAATAGCCTCTTCGAGGCAATGATGAAAGATGGGCAGTTTGCGGTACGCTAATAGCTTGATGAACAGTGAATGGGTACAAATTAACGCTGAGAGTCAACATCATAACGAACGTTTACCTGGATTTCGGTGACGGTATAATTCAGTGAAAGGCGTGAAATGATTTGATAACTGTCCGGGTACGTGAGCAATGATGTCAAGACCTGGGTGGTGGTCTAAATCACCTCTAATTATCACGGAGTTTAACCCCTTTATGTGTGGTTGCACGGCTATCTGCAATTTGTTGTCCAAACCTTTTAGCACAAGGAATTTTGGCGGTTGGGGGTTGTTGGGGGTTGGGGGGGGGGGGGGGGAGGAAGAGGATGGGGGAGTCTGAATTGGTATTGGCGGCAAACGCCAGAAGATGCGAGAAGATCTGTAGGTCATGTTTATAGTAAATATATCCAATACGAAATTGTTGGTGAAAGGCTTATGGCCATTAATAAACGCAAGGTATGAGAATAGATTTTTAAATATAACCTTATGCCCTTATGAGCATTATTATCATGCTGCTAGTAGGATTAAGTGTACGAAATCATTTATCAAAATAGAACTGCAAATAATAATACCTCACTATTGCTTTCAATACATATTTTCAGTAAACAGAGAAAAAAAAACAATGGAACTAGTGCAGTTGGAATAGTAATTGTATCCTATGTTCTAGCCCTATTGATGTCATTACCGATGACAGTTGGCCATCCCAACACGAGCAGTCTCGAAATTATTAATACAGTGTGTTCCAGATCTATGCCACATCATAGTTTATCTGTACATGATGGACATATGGGTGTACGAAGTGGTCTAATCAATAGGCTTCATTAAAGGCCAAGATTGCATCTGTAAATTACAGAGATTAACAGAATCGAGAAATGTGCGTAGTTGGGTAAAGGCTGGAGACCCCCAAAGGCAATCATCATCAGAATCAAACCTGTCAAAAACTATTGGATATTGAAGGCAAAATAACGATATAGTTATACATGTATCTACTGAAGACCACGCGGTTATTTTGCTCAATGGTAATTTTTTCCAGTTGGCCTATTTCTTTCATTGACTTCCCCTGCATGCAAGTATTCCGTTTTTACTTTCCTTGCTACATGCTTACACCCACGAGAGAGAGAGAGAGAGAGAGAGAGAGCGTACCTTGCGTGTAGTCTATAGTGTAAAATTACCAAAGCGCTCTAAATACATGGATAAAAGTTGCATATCGGTTTTAATTTTTTTTGTGCGAAACTTTTATCGTCATTCTTTAAGTATTTGTCAGACTATTGTAATAAAGCAATGATGGAATCACATTAACATGACCACTCCTGTGCACTAACTTGCCCCCTTAAACAAAAGATGTCTCATTTGTCTGATTACCATTATCCAATCATCCATTGGGATCATTTTTCCGTAATTAGATGAAGTTGATAGATAGCCAGAGGACATTTTGGCTGAACTGACGTCAGACACACGCCAATCGCGTCATGTACTAGTAGCTGTATCACAAATATATGTACGTCATGTGATTAACGCAGGTGTTTCTCTGATTATTTGTTTTTTCCCTTTTTTGGACAAATATACCTAGGTTTTTAAATATGGTGAACAAAATGTAAAAGATGAAGAAAAAATGAGTCCTGCAATTTTCACGCCTTTCTGCAAGCGCCATGCATCATGAATGTGCAAATAACACAGAACAAAATAAGATAATATGATTTTTTTCTAAACGGATTATACGGCTTGCAGTGAAGGTACCTATTAATCACAATAAAGACAGCAAAATACAAACACCACCAGATAAGTAAGTATGTTATACTGGTTTGCCAATATGTAATTATAACAAATATTGTAGTTAATTTCATGATTTGTCATCGATTTGATAAATTGTTGGAGCTGGCTGTGATAAGTTCAAGAGCTATTAAGGAAGACGCATGTGTATGCCAGCCCCGTCGAGTAGCATAAACAATCGTTAACACAGACACGGAAGTTGCGTCCAATCAAAAGAACATCTTCTAATTTGTTTGGGAAGTTAAGTACGCTTTGTCTCGACAAGTAACAGCTCCTCCCAAATTGACAACAACAAATCCCTGTTTTACCATGCCGGTCAATTTCGCATGATCATTTCGTTACATTATTCTCTGTATTCCGTTTCGGAACTCCCTCAATTCCGCTCGTTATTATACCAACATGACAGTGATTAGAAATATGTTCTAGATTGCACTCGGTTCGTAAGATGCAACTAGTATCCGGTTCCAGGACCATGTGCTGTTCAATTGCTCCTGGCCTTTTGCAATCCATGCTCTGCCTTCACAAGTGTATACCATCAGGACATGAAAGAGACTTACCAACTGATGCATTGCGTTAAACATGGCCCTGGCGAAATCACATCGTATCTGGTAACTAAGAGAGGACTGTACTGATTCAGTGGGACCTTCATGCTCGATTTCCCGCCAGTATCGATCAGTTTCAAGGTTTTTTAACACAAAAGGTGAAAGCACTTCCGCTTCCTGGAACGTTCGTCATCGAACTTTCCGGTGGTAGAGGGAGGGTGAGGGCGTGTGTTATTCCGGATGTTGAAAGGAAATGCAAACCTGTCATCGCGATAGGCCCCTGGATATTTGTGTACTTGAACAAAGTAGAAATATTTTGAATATGTATATATATCTGTGTGTTTGCACGTGTATGCGCGTGCAGCATGCGCGATTCCCACAAATATTGAGTATCATATTCTTTTTGCGAGATGCCGTAGACCAGAAGGACACGTCTTGCACTTAGACATGGGCAGGATCATTTTTCTACCAAATAAAACTAAAATACTACGTTTTAGGCCCTATTGTTTTCGTTGACAGCAGATTTTATGTGCAAGTGAAAGGCATACGATTGGAGTTATCAGCACAAAATCTTTTTTAAAATTGATTACTTTCAAATCTTATGTCAGTTCCCAGTTTTCACTCATTCAAAACACTAGCTGTTACCATTGGCATTTTCCAGGTAAGTTTTTGAGTTTCGCTTGCCCCATTTGATATTTTTCCAACAGTATCTAACAGTGGCAGAAAGGCACAAGATCTGACTAGTTATCATTACGATCGAACATCATAGTATAACGAAAGGACTTTTCTCAAGTTTCAAACTAAACTCAGTAGAATCTTTTGAATTATTTCCACCATATTTCGATCATCAGCTGAATTTGATATGTCACAAAAGCATTTTAAATATTTTAACACAAAAATGTAGCCGGTCTAACGTGACGTGCATGTGACAAATAGAAGCAGACTTTCAGAGCATGTTGTCCACCAACTGCCTGGAGACCGGAAGTACAAGAGGAACATTGGACAATATTGGAAAGTAGTATAACCACAGTCTGCTGTCTGATTTTAGCATACTTAACGAAGCCCAAAAAGTTTTCGAGTTTCTGTGAAATAGGCTCAATGGCGTCCTCAACGAGCATTGTGCTTCTTTCTGCCCTTTTCGCCAGGGTTTATACTTTAGACCGTATGCTTTCGAAAAATCACATTGTCTGCAAAAAGATGAAGTATTAAGGAGAGGGCTATCTGTTTGATGAAAGGAAATTATCTGTTTATCTCAACATTATTTAAAAAAAAACATCACTGAGCGTAAACTTAACGCTCAACGGGGAAAAAGCTGCACTTGACGACGCAAAGATGTTATTGAATTCACAATACAATGAAACAAGCAAGTCTTAATATATCACTCATCAACATGTTTATAGTAGCAGAAGATGCAATGCTACGTTTGGTTTGTAAGTACATGACTGTTACATGAATGGTGTCTGATAAAGCCAATTTCTATTCTATACACGTTAAGGAATTCATTAAAAAAACTTCGCCGAAAAAGGAGCATGCGCATTGAGTCCACGCGCACGCCCGCACACGATCTCATGAGAACTAAACTGCGTAGATGAATCGACAAACCCATCTCGTTATGTGTGATCTATTTACGTAACTGCAGACAATATCTTCCATGATGATCCTAAATTTTGCATTCTGTTACTGAACCAACCTGCTTTTTAATAATCGAACGCGACAAGGTACAAACTTTATCATTTCTCTATGGACGGAAAATTATATACGGAATGCCGGTAAGCTTAAACCTGGCTGTTCAACTGTGCAAATTTAGATTATGTTCTATAGAACGAACGTAGATTTGTTATGAAAACTATTCCGAGTTAAAGTATCTGAAATTGAATGTTTTTCTCGTAAAAGCAGTGGTCATATATCCGCCTCTTTTACGACCGACAGCTGCGGAAAGCCTTAATTCCAGCGCGGGCCTCTGCATTTGCTCTCTATCATAGCATCATCGATGACAGTACAATAAGAGAAAGAGGATGAAGAGGAAGAAAAGCACATGTTCGTTTTAGACTAATACCTCATTAAATTAGTGATGGTGTGCAATGTATAAAGTGTGCATCTACACTTTTCATGACACTATGTACAGTCAGGGCATCATTCTGGCCTCCAAAGACATGCACTGTGCGCATGACACGTACATATCTGCCACGCATGAAGTTGCTCAGCTTGTATGAAAACTACACCTGCAGGCCGCAACGATGCAAAAATAACCGCCACGGTTACTCCACCATCTATAATTAGACTCTTTTCTATTGAGAAGTGCTATAAGTACTATAAACCACGGCACTTAATTATTGTTAGCTTTTCCGATATGGGCGTATATGTTAACGTTTTGGATACAAAACTTCACACGCCCTTCATTCATAACGCTCACCAGATACAAGTCGCTTTGGATCACATATCAGTCTCACTAGCGTTTCCTGTGTACATCAACAAAGGCGCGGACTTCCAAGGAGACGAAATACACCTGATGAATTGGGAATGTGGCTGGCTTGGAAAGATAGCGTGGGCGGTTCTGCGATCTATAGATCTACAGTGCCGAGAATACTGTAGTAGAAGTAGTAGAAGGTGATGGAGTCGGGGAGGTAAGGGTGGGGGGGGGGGGGGGGGGGGGTGGGGGGGGGGGGGGGGGGGGGGTGGCGCTGAGGGGGAAAGAACTTTATCGCCTAAGTACCGATAACATTTAGTGTTTGGCTATTTTCTTCAAATTGATCATATGCTCAACCACACTGATACAGAGATTTGTATGGAATTTTTTTATTTAACCGGTTTTTTTAAAGAATTAAAATAATACAGATTACTTTCAAATTCATAAAGCTCGTTTACAAACACGTCAAGTGCTATTTACTTATTTCTAACCGTAAGGTTTATGATATCTGAAATATTTCTCACAGAAATGTTTTAATGATATCTGACATAAAATCCAGACCCGGTATTTTTCAAATTGTGTCTATGGTGATATTTCACAAACAAATTATACCTTCAAGTCCAAACGTGGTAGGTCTAAAAAGAGTGTTTTAAGCCTTTCCAAAAGAGAATGGACTGGTTTGGGCATAAGATATAAACGCTTTTTGATAGCTCTGTTAAAACCATATGACTCAAACAATGCCCCAGCTACAAGATATGGGCCTACATGTATTTTGGGTGGTAAGATTCCATAGGATTTATAGAGACTTATCAAGACAAAACATAAGATATTAAAATATACTGGCACCGTTTTTCAATTGCATGAATGCAGTCATGAAGGAAAGAATATACAGAAGTCAATCCCCCTTTTCATAATAAATGACTGATGATGTAGCGGCGATATATTTCAGTAACTTTTTCTCCTAGAACGGAACTCATCAAGGCGTCATGTTCTAGGTGTGAATCCAGACAGTCTGCTTGTTTTGAAAAACACATTATGAAACACAGCTACGGGGGGACTACTACTGGTTTAATTTTAATTATATTAACGCAAGCAATTCAGTCGCTAATATCGCTAATGAAATTTCCTTGGAACTTGTAACATGGATTTCAGACAACAGCTCGTTCACTGGTAATCTACAAGTGGTTCCGCGTACAAAATTAAAAATACTTGTGTATATATAAATGCGTGTGTATGTGTGTTGGTTCTCTTTTTTTGCGCATTCTGTAGGACACCTTTTTCAACCAGTCTGTTTTTTTTTTCAGTCTTGGAAATAAATTGATATGTGTAGATCGGTGGATCGTTACAATGCATTTTGCCTTGTAAATTAATATTTCTTTTTGAGCATCTGTATGTGCATGTAAGTTATCAATTGAGTCGTTCTGGTTTGCCATTCATCGCCTTTTGTATGTACTAAGATGTCAACCAATCAAATAATCAATATAGGTCTACTACGTTGGAAGTAAATAAATAGACATTTAATAACCTTTCGATGAAATAGATATCATCACAATAGATTGTAAGTAAAACCGAAGTCAATAGCGACCCCAAATTGAGTCCTAAACTACGAAATGTTCATTAAAAACCTTTTGCGTTATTCTCGTAAACATAAGATATAAGATGACAGATAGATGACCAGGCGTGAAATGCAATATTTGGCTAAAATTACGCGTCCTGTGACTCGGACGGATGTTAAAGACAGGCGCTGTAAATACAAAAATGTCTTCCTTTGATCTCTCAAGGCAACACGTGTATTACCTTACAAACAGATTTACCTGTCTATTATATCCACACCTACTCATCCTGATGTGTCCAAGTCCTCGTTTTCTACTACACTACTTCATACTGTACAAAAATTACCTTGTTGTTGCTCTTGAAAGACGTCCTACAGGAGGGCGAATACACTCTCCCTGGGTAATTTTTGTGCTGCTGTGAAATTAAGCGAGCTTCTCTCTCCTGGGTGGGGTTAAACCGCTATCCCCGGCAGATATTCTCGCCTTACAGCGCTGGTGATCACGACTTTCAGCTGATCGCTACAGAACTCGTTGACAACTCAGGGATCTTATATAGCCGATTAAAACGCACTGTATTCATTCGCACCTGCAGAGGGCTGGTGATTTTCACAGACTTAATGTTCAAATGATAACAAGTTAAACACCATCCCCATGGGGTCTTTTCGTTGATTGGGATTGCCTATTTTTAAACCAGTCGCTTCGGTGATTATTTTTAAAAAGTGAATTTATTTCTCACACGAAGTGAAGGGTCATATACAAAGACGCGATATTTATGAAGTTCTCGAATATGGGCTTCCAGAAGAGACTGTCCATTGATTTATTGAAATCTTTTAAGTAATTAGATTTGTTCTTCGTATAGCCACTGTTCTTCTGCATAAATGGTATCATACATGCTTTTCGAAAAGAAAAATATTAAAACGAGATCAAAGTTTGTAACGAAAGCAAAAAAATGTAAGCTTTTCGTTTGCTTAAGACAGTCGTATAACGGAGTCTTAGACCCCATTCCCACAGATTTTAGATCGATCTATCCCTGTGGGGAGTCTCACTAGATTACTGTCAGCTTAGCCGGCTTATGCCCCTATTTCACACAGACCACGAATCCCATGACTCGCCAGGAATTGACAAATTTCTGGATTCGCGTTTGAATCGTTATCAGTTCGTGAAGTTCTTAACCTATTCGTATATATTCGTAGTCAGTTCTTGCAATTCTTGATCAATCACGAATTGTCCCGCCTACTAAAAGCTGTAAGGGGGTAATTAAGTACCGTGCGCGCTTGGTTGACAGCAATTTAGCGTGAACCCCCAGGGAGTTATGTCGACCTAGATGGATCGATCTTAATCTATGGGAATGCACTCTTAGAAGGTAGCTGCAATGTAATGAACTTTCTGTTTCCGATCCCTTGCCACGGACTGTCCCTTGCGTTGAACATGAACGTAATTCCCTGCTGGTCGGACTACGGTAGTTAACGCTGTTATCAGAATCAATACCATGTATCAAATATCTCTGCATTCCAGATCAAAGAAGAGCAAATCGTTTTAATTGGGGTATTATCGGCAAAGAGTGGGTCATGTGGACGAAAAAAGCAATTAATTGGCCTTTCGATTCCGCAGCGGTCCACATTTTCCCGAAGGCTCCATTCTCATAGAGATGATTTCGACCAATATACTCGTATGTGGTTTACCCCGAGTTTCAAAGGGGAAAATTGAGATACTATCATCATCGATATCTTAACATTGGTCAGCAAGGTTGGGTTACTTCAGGATGAGACGGTCACTGATTACATTGTGCTTGGAAATGGAATAAGAGTATGATCAAATCGAAAAGAAATTTTTTTCGTGAATGTATTTCTTTAAATAATTTTGAATGTGCATTTCAAAAATGACTTGGAACTAGATTGTGTGCCATCGATAAGCTCCAGTGATTTTGAAAAGGTACACAATAAAAAAATGGTATTTAATTTATCAGTGTACGAGTATTCATTTTTTTCTCTTTTCTTTTCTTGTAACTGGGAGCATTCCTTAAGTTATTCCACTGTCTTCTGTATTCTTCTTTTTGCTTGACGACCAATTAAATACAAAAAAAAAAAAAAAAAAAAAAAAACACACGTTCTTTTTACAGAACGTTTGGCTTAACATATAAGTCAACATAAGACATGTGGCGATACCACATTCTCATTATTTATTGTTACATTCAGCATTGCCATCTTTTAGATCAACTTTAACTATGACAATGTTTGAAATGATTTGATGTGATGGTAAAGAAAGCTGTGGTTTCCGTTCCTTCCTGACTTCACCACAAGAAGCAGATACTGCGCAGAACTGAAGACAACTGGATACGAAAAACGAATAATATTTATGCTACACATACTTGTGTGTCTCTAGGTTACAAAATCATTTCCCGATCATTTCCGCACATATAAACACATACGCGTGTTTAACAGAACTTTTTAACACTTAAAAGTATCAGTATAGCTAGTGAATACAGCGAACATTGCAGAGTAGCCGAAAGACATCCTGCAACAAATTTCTAGGAATGTGAGTAACGTTAACCCCAAAATACCAATCGTTTTATCTTAACATTAATTCCATGAAAATGTTTCATAATCAATTCCAACGGAACAAATAAAATCATTTTGGAATTCCAACAATTCTATGCCAACATAAATCTTGAGAAAATGCCTTGTAACTTAGTCTTATCAAAACAAACAAACAAATTATAGGTATTCAAAACGTGTTTTAATCTGTTTCTTTGGGAGACCATACAGCCGATCGTGGCGCCTCCCTGTATCTGTTCAGGTAGTTACTACCTAACTCATCATCCATACCTTTTACGTCTGACGAGCCTAAGCAGCCCCTTTCACAGACCACAACAACTTGGGGCTTGTCTGTTATATTATTTGATTACGACCAAGGCACTTCTCATGTGCAATACCATAACATTCACTTACTAACTAAACATGCCAAAAATCTGGAAGGTAATGTGCGGATGTCAGAGGACGAGGGGAAAAGGCTTTCGCACGAGAGTGGTCACTGTCCGAAGTCAAATGACCATAACCTGTTTGATAAAAACGCATTGGTTTAATTTCCCCGTCTATCTTACTGTAGTAAAGTCGGTGATTTACTGACAGCAGTCACGTACTAGGTGTCAATCTTTGAATTGACCGGAAGTAATCAAACTTGTGATTTCCTGGCATTTTTGCGTTCAACAAATGAAGGGATTATTCTGCGGTTTCTGTGGTTCACTATATAATATGCTGATTGAAACAGCCAAAAAGCAAAATATTAATTACATATATGTGAAGGCCAAGAGGAAATTTAACATATAACATTGGCCGCTCCGAATATGCCAACTGCCACCGATGTCCATAATAAGTATGCGGCATTTGCTTGTAGCATTATCAGAAACTTAATAGGCACTCGGATTCCAATGAATACATTATCGCTTGTTATCGAGTTGTTTATTGAACGATCGCCATTAGAAAAATATGTACTTCAGACAAAAACGCGCTGGTTATCGGGGCTTATATGGTATCATTGGACTGTAATGTCAATAGAAAAGCCGAACACCTGAGGGGCTTTGTGAAAATATTCGGTGGAGGGTTAATTATGAGTCCCGCTAAGATCCGCCCCCCTCCTCCCCCATACACGTGTTCACCAACCTTCCCGTGCAGGATCCCTACAGGGTTAAAAGCGTTTTTGGACGTCTCCGCCCCTCCCGAAGCGTTGATGCTGCTCAGCGTTTGCATAGAAATGGCAATAGGCATACGTATTCAATAGAAAAAAATTATAGCTGTGAAACATTGATGTTTGACACTGATTAACCGTTTCCTCATTAAAACACAAAATGCACTTGTCTTTTCCTTTTCTTGACACAGTGACTCCAAATAGAGAATAAACTACAGGCCGGGAGGGATTATTTATAACGCAACCTGCGTCATAGCGGAATCAAACAGCCATTTTTTACAAACTATGTGTGTTGCGAACACAATGGGCTGAGAGGAAATTGAACCCCAATTTGCCTTCAGTCATTAGTAACTTCCTAGAGTGTCGGGGCTTTGGTGGAGAAACATCTTTCAACTCAGTCTGGCAGGATCCGACGTCGTCATCCACAGTTTTAAAATCCCATTAGGTCAGATTGATATCAATACGTCCTCTGCATTGTTATCTGATTTGTTCAGACAGTGTTCATGTTAAAGCTATTTCGGTTCATGAACACATTGTTCAATATGTTCATACGTGGTAAAAGTTGAATGTATTTCAGTTCTTAAATACGTTATTTAATCTTAAGACGGCGCTTCAAGCAAAACTGTTCCGGTTCTTAAAGGCAAAGGGGCAACTATCCCCCCCCCCCTCAAAAAAAAAAAAAAAAAAAAAAAAAAAAAGATTTTTCTGAGGTGAATGCCGATTTTGCCTATTCTTACTAATGGTTAATGAATTCATTCCGACGTTCAATGTTTCTCCAAGTTTTTTAAAAAGCCTGTTTTTGTAATTATCTCTTTAGAGATTATTAGGGAGGTCCACAAGGCCAGATGGCAAGCATAGATTCCGGAATATTTGTGATAACTGCTGTTTTGGTGGTAAAATGGAATTGATTATATTTCCATGAGTCATTTACAATGTTTTTATTGTGAAATATGAACCTCACACGAATAGTTTTTATTCCTTTAAAACTATTCAATCCCTTCAGATAAGTTAAAACTGTCCCAGTTCTATAACATGTTATTTAACTAGATAAATAGTCAAGCTAATTATGTTTTAATTTCGAAACACATTATTTGATCCGTTCCTGCACGGTTCAAGTTAAAACTGTTTCAGTCCAAAAACACGTCATTGAACCTGTTCAGACGGGGTTCAAGTTAAGACTGCTTCAGGTTTCTACCTAGTCATCACAGATCCGAGCCTCTTTAACAGAAAACGGGGTGGAAACAAGACTCAGCTAAAACAGTCACTCTGGCGGAAACTGGGGAGGAGGGGGATAAGAGAGGCATGGTGCTCATACAGCTTCCTGTGACCCTTAAAGGGGTAATAACTATGTTTTGGCCAAAATATGAATACTCCTGGAGTAAACAACAATTTTCCCATACTTACCAATGGTTAATGAATCCATTTTTACATTCAAAGTTAGTCCCTGATTTTTTTCTAAAAAAGGTTGGTTTTATGAGATTTTAACAGAGTATAGCCATCAATGGAGGTCACGTGGTCTAAAGACAAGCTCAGATATCAGAATAATAGCTATAACTGCCGTTTTTGTGGTAAAACAGAATATATTATATTTTTATGAGTAATTCACAATGTTTTTATTGTGAAATATAGATCTCATACGAAGAGTTATTGTCCCTTTAAGAGCAAGGGTGGGTTTAGCACGGCTTAAACACAATAACAACGTCAACAATATCAACAAAAACACAACAATTATAATAATAATAAATTCAATTATATATATTTAAAATGTAGCCCATCTACTGCAAGATTCACTGTTTGCAGTGGAGTTTGTGTAAATCTGGAGTTAATTGTTAAAATCATTTTTATCACCAGATGTTTAATCTATGGGTCAAACACGGACAAATAAATTTGTGTTATTCATCCAAGCTAAAGACAAAGAAAAATTTAAGATTATATATATCACCAGTTTCTTATTCATCAAAGGGCAAGTGTGCACAATTGTTCATAATTATATGCTCTGTAAAGGTCTTAAGCCACTTTCTGGAAGATGGTCTTATCCTGGTCTAGGCATTCTGTTACATGTATCTGTAAGCTGTCTAATCTTGGTCTAAGCATTCTGTTACATGTATCTGTAAGCTGTCTAATCTTGGTCTAAGCATTCTGTTACATGTATCTGTAAGCTGTCTAAGTCAGGGAAATTGTCCTGGCACTTGGGGCAAACAAACTCCTGTTCCTCCGTGCTGGTGCTTCTTCTTCCACTTCCAGCCCACTAAAATAAAGACATCAATTGAACTTGAAATACTGCAGGCCTTCGTCAAGGCAGAAATTCCAAGATCTAATTGGTTCTAATATAATATAGCCCATTTCGAACCTATCCTGAGAGATTTACTTGAAAATCCCTCCATACCATTTTGAGTTGGGATTTTTTAATAGTTGAAACTACCAAAACAAAAAATGTCCTCTAAATAAAATGTACAGATCCCAAGATTCCTGCTTGCTGCTATATATTTAACTTACATCACAACTTGAGATATCGCTCATTGCTTGCTCACATTTAAATCAGATAAATATTCACACCAAATTCTAATACCCAAACCCCATACCATACCTGATCAGAATCTCCACTGCGTGGACCACCTTCGTTTGCACTTTGCTCCCCTTGAACATCAGGGTTTAGGTAATTCTGTCTAAAATAGGGGGAGCCATAGGGCATGTGTGGTGGCGCCTGCACATGTTGCCCTGGATACTGTTGCCCTGGATACTGTTGCCTTGGATACTGTTGCCCTGGATACTGATTGGGTGGGAGCTGTGGTGGGGTGTAGTTTGAAGGCGGTCTGTTTACTCCTGAAATACCATGAGAAATTGCCATGTGCAGTAACTATTACAGCGGGTTTGTAGAAGAGTTCTCTCATGCTGTCATATAAAACTGTTACCATTTTTATCCTGATAAATGCTTATTGTATAATATTAAACTACCTAATACCTGGAATGTATGGCTGGTGTCTGTATCTCTCTGAAAAACTTTCCAGTTGTCTTCTGTTGAAGGTTTCCAGTTCATCTAAAAGCTGCTGGTTCTGGATTTGTTGCTGGTTTAACTCCTCCCTCAGCTTCTCTTTCTCCTCGTTTTGCTGTTCCCTGGATGCCCTTTCAGCCTCAAAGTCCTTTTTATAAACTTCTGCCTACAACGTGAAAAAACAAAATGTGATTCACACATTGGTCTTTCAACCAAACATAACCTGAGAAAGTGTAAATGTGGATCTGAATTCAACTTCAGAGCCATCTCTATCTTAGGCCCCATTCAGAATAAGGGACTTACTAGTCCAAGGGTCAAATACGGTCAACCCACTTAAATACTTCCCCCACAGGATATCTATTCAGTGTCTATTAGCAGATTAGACAGTAAGCTTCTTAGTGGATTGCCATATTTGACCCTAGGACTAGTTAGTCCCCTATTCTGAATGGGGCCTTAGACATGCAAGTATGACAAGATAACAACTGACAGAGTAGTTGCATATATTTGCACCAACTCCATGTAATCAGGCCATAAGGCATGGTGGAGGAGAGGGGGTGGCTGGGAAAAGGTTTATTTTTAAATTTGGTCTATGCCATTACCACTATGGTCAAAAGGTATACTTAAAAGAACCCCTCTTTGAAATTGGAGTCTACAGGCCTGATATCAGAAAGTGTTTGAAAATGACTGTACTCTAATAAAGTTCCATCCTCTCTCCTCCCCAAGTCATTCTTGAACAAATGGGTAGTTTGGTTCAGATCCACTTGAAGCCCATTTGGTTTTTGTTTAATGAAAATTACTTTAATAATGATGATATATATCTTACATCACCTGTGTGAGCTTGTAGACATTAAAGAACATATACTTACAGTCATGACTCAAATATTTTCAATGGGGAAAATCATCAATCTTCGTGATTAATAATTTTGAAATGATTTAAAGTTATATTCTTATATAGTATTTGTGGTGCTTTTACTGCATAGTAGACAAGGGTACCCTCTTTTTCAATTTTGTTGCTTCCACTCAATGGGGAAGTTCTAATTTTAAGAAAATTTAGAAATCTTTAGTTCTAATTTTTTAACTTTGAAAAAAAAAATACAGCACCCGTTAATTTCACAATTTTCCCAATTGAAAAGATCAAGCCATTGCCATAATATTTACCTGCGCTTTCCAAACTGGAATCGCCTCTACCGCTGTCTGCAACTGACCAATCTGCTGTCTGAGACCATCTATCTCATTTCTCTTGTTGTCCAAGGACTCCTCTGCTGCTATCAATTGAGCTGTTAGGTTGTCCACGTCGATTTTCAAGCTCATGTTTTCTTTCTGCATCTCTGGGGACAGGGCGCTATTTTTGGCTTCCTGGAGTGGATGGTTTGGTACGTATTGTGTAAGTGCAAAATGCCTATTTCTGTTAATAGTCAGGCCTACATCAGGCACTTTTCAATATAAAATATAAATGGAGAATTTCCCGTTGATTCATACTCCATTTGAAACCAACTGACCGGATCATCTTATGACAAGCCACACTAGTAAAGAAGTTAATCTTGGCTGCTCTTTTGTAAAAAGAAGTTTGGAATGTATATAATATTGAGTGCCAGTCGTGATTTTTGGTATGTCATTTGTTTTGCTTATGGGCATTAATATTTTTGTGTTGGTAATTACTCTCTTTCTCTCTCTCTCTCTTGCACGCACGCGCCCACGCACACGCACACAGAGTAGCCTGTTACCTGCCCAGCTTTATAATCATCAAATGTCCCCAGCAAGTCATGGTAATCCTTGCAGAGCTGGTCAAAGTTATGTCTCATCTCGGCCAGCTGCTGCCTGGAAAAGTAAACACACAGCTTTTGTGAGAAACTTTTCACACCTTGCAGTACTCTCCATTACAAATATATCCTTCAGCTCTTGCTATGGGACACGTTGGGACCCTATAAAAACACAAATAATACAGGACTCTGTAGGATTCCTATCAAGGACATTCATCCTATAGGTCCCTTTATATAGGATTTTGGGCCAATTCCAAGTATGATATTTTATTGGACACTATAGGAAATTTCTGTTAGCGCTTAACTGGACCAGTTCATTTGGACAGGCTGAAACGTGTAATTACACTACAGGTTTCTGCATTTTGCTCCCCTGCACAAGTTTCTTTTGTGCTATTTAGTCAAATAATTTTCCATGTTAAGAGCAGAGTGTTCAGTTTAGATGACTCCAATCTCTTACATTGTGTTATAGCCAGAATATTAAATTTGCAGAGTGGACTGGTCCTGTAAATTGAACCAATGCCAAAAAGGACATAATCAGAATTTCATTGAAATCTGGGGAACAAATATTCTCTAGGAACAGGTGTAAATAAAATTAATTTTGTGCACAATATTAAGGGATGTAACCAGGTATGACTCAGGCCTTATAAATGGATTAGGCATTTACCAACACTACCTGCAGATCTTTTATCACTAACGCCCATATTAACCACGAAACCCAAAAATTAACCAACACACCATACAATTATTTAGCACCAACAAAACAATACCTAGCACCAACATTAATCTCCTCTGGTAGTGCTGGTTAATTTGTGGGTTTTGTGGTAAATATGGGCGTTGGTGCTAAAAGATCTGCAGGCAGTGCTAGTCAATGCCTAAACCATTTATAAGGCCTGTTACTCACTTGGCTGTATGTCCCTCCTGTCTCTCCATATTAAGTGCAAGTTCAAGGTTTGTGATAGTGATTCGCATCTGGTCAATCACTGTGTCATCCTTGGTCCGCTGATCATCCACATCTGCACGCAGCTTCTTCAGTTTTATATCGGCCTCTCTGTATCTGAATTAAAATTCAAAGAATGATTTAGAGTCCAGGAAATTGAGAATAAAATGTCTACATGATGCTTTTATTATCAACCTGTACCGTTTGTCATTTTACAAGATGTTTGAAAATTATCTGTTGTATATCTATATATACTTCATCATGAAAATAAAAACATTTCAATCCCTTTCCCATTTTTTCACACAACATAAAGTGCAGTGAAATAATAATGTGGTTGAAAACATATTTAGGTAACAAAGTAAATTTCACTGCTATCTCAAAATAATTGACATGTCATGATCATCAATATATTCAGTAATTCAAAAAGAAACGGCAAATAATATACAGATTACACAAGCCAAACTTAGAGAGAACTAGCCAACAGCCAAGACATGGTAGCCAATCCCTGCATTCTTTTTCTAGTACCTGCCCCTCTCTTTTTCCAAATTCGTCATCGCTGCCTCCAATTTCTCATTTGTGGTTAAAAACCGTTGTTCAAAACTATTGCATCGCTGCTGCGTCTCCTGGAGCTCATTAAGCACCGACATCAGCTGGGCTCTTAACGGCTGGATCCCTTCCTCAGGATTCTGGGAAAAAATTTGCATAAAAAAAAAGAAATTAGGACAAAATAGACACATGACATGTATATCACATACTGAAATCTTTTAAAGACACTTCTAGCCTCAAGTTTATTGGAAACTTTCCTAGTGTGAGTTCACAATGAAACTATCCTTCTAGGTAGTTTGAACTTATTCCATGGGGACTCTGCCTGAAAGCAATCAGATAAAAACCCCTCCTAGCTAATCCTGTTGAACAGAAAAGCATAAGAGCTGGTGATTACATGAGATCATTGAAAACAAAAGGAGGCATGTTAACCTGACTGTATTCAGTGAGAGTCCCCACGGAGTTGGTTCAAACTACCAAGAACAATATGTTCACTGTGAAGACACCCCTACATTACAAGCATGATGCAAGTGAGTTTTTAGTATTCTAAAAAACTGGAGTACTCAGTTGGACTTTCATAACCATATAATTCTAGAATAGTACTCAGAGAATGCAGACTTCTACTACCACATTATAATTTATACTAACCAAAACTAAATGAATAAATGAATTACCACCAAAATCTAATCACTTTTAAGTTTAACCATTTGTGACCTATCCTAAATGTCTTCAAAATCCATCCATAACATTTTGAGTTAGGCTGGGGATAAACACACAGACAGATGGAGGTGAAACATATTAACCTATTCTTAATTATAAAGCCCATTTAGAACAGATAATCCTACGATGTACTGATCTGCGGATTAAACGTGCCATTAAACAGATCAAATCTCGGCTCTGAGGCTTAACTGCTCAGCCCCTGCAAGGACATCAGGTGTGGAGGCGGGGAGACCATTACGGTATTAAGTGGCCTTCCTTTCATGTAGGGTCTGCCATATTTGATCTGCAGATCAGTATATCCAAGGATCGTCTGTTCTGAATGGGCCCACAGACTAAGCATTCCTTACCCGGTCCTTGCGCTGCTGAAGCTCCATACTCATACTCTCAATCCTAGTCATCAGTTCCTTGACTTGCTTGTTGTGTTCTTCTGTAAGCTGCCTCACTCTACGGTCTGTGTTTGTTGCACTATCGGACAATTCTTTTTCCTTGTCTTGTAAATCTTGACTTAAGCTTTCAATCTAAAGGAGAACAGTGCTTTGGTTTACAGCATATTCATACCATTCGTATGGTATACAACCTCCTTTATTTTAAAAGCATTATTTGATAATCTTTTACTTCTATAAAAGACACAGTTCATAAATACCATTTCCATTTAGAATTTGTAAATACTGAAGCTTTCCTGTGTAAGGCATAAATCATGTCATTGTTATTAGTAAAATGCTACCAAAACATTTATCAATGGTCCTTTTCCCACTGAACAGTACTAGTAAGCTGTAGATCCCCCAGACTGGTACTATAAAGAAAACTATATGGCTTGGTGTAAAAAGGACCTAAGAAACTATACTGCTCATTATGAAAAGGGGCCTTAGACCAACCTACCTTAGCCTGTGTCTCCTGTAACTGTGCAGACAAACTTGTCACTTTCTGCCTCTCCTCCTCTAATTCTTCCAGCAGCTTGTTCATTTCACCAGACTCAACTGCACTGTCACCTGACAAGAGCCTTGACCCTTCTTCAGCCTGACCTTGACCTGGCCTTGACACGACCTGTGCATGACCTTGACCTTGCTGCTGTGTGCTCTCCACCTCCACAGCTTCTCTGTCACTGGCTGCCATGTTTTGATCTAGGTGGCATTCCTTCTTATCCACGATTGCAAAATCGTCAGTGCCTGTGCTTTGGGCCATGATGTTCTGTTTAAGTTCTGATAACTCCGCCTGCAGCTGGGTGTTCATAGTAAGCAGGTCCTTCTTCTCCAGCAAAAGCCTCTGCTGCATTTCCCTTATCTTTGACAGCTCTGTGGATGACTCATCCAATTTTGCTTTCAAGTCCTTGTTCTGCGTCTCCATTTTGGTCATGGCTTCCCCTATCTCTGCCCTCTTCTGAGCCATTCTCTGCTTTTCTTCAGTGAGGTCTTCTATTTCTTGTTTGAAAGTTTGGAGTTGCTCCTGTAGTTGCTGAACCTGGCTCTGATATTCCTTGGCTTGGGTCTCTGCTGCCTCCTGCTTCACTTTGATCACATGGAGTTCCGCTTTCTGTGAGGGGCTGCCATCACTTGGGTACGACTGAAGCAGCAAGATCAACAAAGACTACAAATGTGTCACACTAAGTACGATTAACAATTCTGTTTAAGATCCATAGACTGTGTTTCTATATATAAACTTTACTACATGCAAAGTAATACCAAAGTTTTTTGGTCCTTTCAGATCATCTACATACCAAAGCAATGTTATAAATAAATAAATAAATAAATATGGATTAAAAAAACTGAACATGCACCTGGAATAGGCTGGTGTTATAAAGTCATGAAATGGTGTCACCCTAAAAGACCTACACAATTCTGAGTAGAGCACAAAGCTAACTATACCTCTCCTCCGGCAGGANTACTATTCCGAGGGTCAAATATGGTCGACCCACTTGAATACTTCCCCCACAGGATATCTATTCAGTGTCTATTAGCAGATTAGACAGCAAGCTTCTTAGTGCCATATTTGACCCTGGGACTAGTTAGTCCCCTATTCTGAATGGGGCCTTAGACATGCAAGTATGACAAGATAACAACTGACAGAGTAGTTGCATATATTTGCACCAACTCCACGTAATCAGGCCATAAGGCATGGTGGAGGAGAGGGGGTGGCTGGGAAAAGGTTTATTTTTAAATTTGGTCTATGCCATTACCACTGTGGTTAAAAGATATACTTAAAAGAACCCCTCTTTGAAATTGGAGTCTACAGGCCTGATATCAGAAAGTGTTTGAAAATGACTGTACTCCAATACAGTTCCATCCTCTCTCCTCCCCAAGTCATTCTTGAACAAATGGGTAGTTTGGTTCAGATCCACTTGAAGCCCATTTGGTTTTTGTTCAATGAAAAATACTTTAATAATGATGATATATATCTTACATAACCTGTGTGAGCTTGTAGACATTAAAGAACATATACTTACAGTCATGACTCAAATATTTTCAATGGGGAAAATCATCAATCTTCGTGATTAATAATTTTGAAATGATTTAAAGTTATATTCTTATATAGTATTTGTGGTGCTTTTACTGCATAGTAGACTTAAGGGTACCCTCTTTTTCAATTTTGTTGTTACCACTCAATGGGGAAGTTCTAATTTTAAGAAAATTTAGAAATCTTTAGTTCTAATTTTTTAACTTTGAAAAAAAAATACAGCACCCGTTAATTTCACAATTTTCCCAATTGAAAAGATCAAGCCATTACCATAATATTTACCTGCGCTTTCCAAACTGGAATCGCCTCTACCGCTGTCTGCAACTGACCAATCTGCTGTCTGAGACCATCTATCTCATTTCTCTTGTTGTCCAAGGACTCCTCTGCTGCTATCAATTGAGCTGTTAGGTTGTCCACGTCGATTTTCAAGCTCATGTTTTCTTTCTGCATCTCTGGGGACAGGGCGCTATTTTTGGCTTCCTGGAGTGGATGGTTTGGTACGTATTGTGTAAGTGCAAAATGCCTATTTCTGTTAATAGTCAGGCCTACATCAGGCACTTTTCAATATAAAATATAAATGGAGAATTTCCCGTTGATTCATACTCCATTTGAAACCAACTGACCGGATCATCTTATGACAAGCCACACTAGTAAAGAAGTTAATCTTGGCTGCTCTTTTGTAAAAAGAAGTTTGGAATGTATATAATATTGAGTGCCAGTCGTGATTTTTGGTATGTCATTTGTTTTGCTTATGGGCATTAATATTTTTGTGTTGGTAATTACTCTCTTTCTCTCTCTCTCTCTCTTGCACGCACGCGTGCACACACACGCACACAGAGTAGCCTGTTACCTGCCCAGCTTTATAATCATCAAATGTCCCCAGCAAGTCATGGTAATCCTTGCAGAGCTGGTCAAAGTTATGTCTCATCTCGGCCAGCTGCTGCCTGGAAAAGTAAACACACAGCTTTTGTAAGAAACTTTTCACACCTTGCAGTACTCTCCATTACAAATATATCCTTCAGCTCTTGCTATGGGACACGTTGGGACCCTATAAAAACACAAATAATACAGGACTCTGTAGGATTCCTATCAAGGACATTCGTCCTATAGGTCCCTTTATATAGGATTTTGGGCCAATTCCAAGTATGATATTTTATTGGACACTATAGGAAATTTCTGTTAGGGCTAAACTGGACCAGTTCATTTGGACAGGCTGAAACGTGTAATTACACTACAGGTTTCTGCATTTTGCTCCCCTGCACAAGTTTCTTTTGTGCTATTTAGTCAAATAATTTTCCATGTTAAGAGCAGAGTGCTCAGTTTAGATGACTCCAATCTCTTACATTGTGTTATAGCCAGAATATTAAATTTGCAGAGTGGACAGGTCCTGTAAATTGAACCAATGCCAAAAAGGACTTAATCAGAATTTCATTGAAATCTGGGGAACAAATATTCTCTAGGAACAGGTGTAAATAAAATTAATTTTGTGCACAATATTAAGGGATGTAACCAGGTATGACTCAGGCCTTATAAATGGATTAGGCATTTACCAACACTACCTGCAGATCTTTTATCACTAACGCCCATATTAACCACGAAACCCAAAAATTAACCAACACACCATACAATTATTTAGCACCAACAAAACAATACCTAGCACTAACATTAATCTCCTCTGGTAGTGCTGGTTAATTTGTGGGTTTTGTGGTAAATATGAGTGTTGGTGCTAAAAGATCTGCAGGCAGTGCTAGTCAATGCCTAAACCATATATAAGGCCTGTTACTCACTTGGCTGTATGTCCCTCCTGTCTCTCCATATTAAGTGCAAGTTCAAGGTTTGTGATAGTGATTCGCATCTGGTCAATCACTGTGTCGTCCTTGGTCCGCTGATCATCCACATCTGCACGCAGCTTCTTCAGTTTTATATCGGCCTCTCTGTATCTGAATTAAAATTCAAAGAATGAATTAGAGTCCAGGAAATTGAGAATAAAATGTCTATATGATGCTTTTATTATCAACCAACCAACTTGTCATTTTACAAGATGTTTGAAAATTATCTGTTGTATATCTATGTATATACTTCATCATGAAAATAAAAACATTTCAATCCCTTTCCCATTTTTTCACACAACGTAAAATGCAGTTAAATAATAATGTGGTTGAAAACATATTTAGGTAACGAAGTAAATTTCACTGCTATCTCAAAATAATTGACATGTCATGATCATCAATATATTCAGTAATTCAAAAAGAAACGGCAAATAATATACAGATTACACAAGCCAAACTTAGAGAGAACTAGCCAACAGCCAAGACATGGTAGCCAATCCCTGCATTCTTTTACTAGTACCTGCCCCTCTCTTTTTCCAAATTCGTCATGGCTGCCTCCAATTTCTCATTTGTGGTTAAAAAATGTTGTTCAAAACTATTGCATCGCTGCTGTGTCTCCTGGAGCTCATTAAGCACCGACATCAGCTGGGCTCTTAACGGCTGGATCCCTTCCTCAGGATTCTGGGAAAAAATTTGCATAAAAAAAAAAGAAATTAGCACAAAATAGACACATGACATGTATATCACATACTGAAATCTTTTAAAGACACTTCTAGCCTCAAGTTTATTGGAAACTTTCCTGGTGTGAGTTCACAATGAAACTATCCTTCTAGGTAGTTTGAACTTATTCCATGGGGACTCTGGCTGAATGCAATCAGATAAAGACCCCTCCTAGCTAATCCTGTTGAACAGAAAAGCATAAGGGCTGGTGATTATATGAGATCATTGAAAACAAAAGGAGGCATGTTAACCTGATTCTATTCAGTGAGAGTCCCCACGGAATTGGTTCGGACTACCAAGAACAATATGTTCACTGCGAAAACACCCCTACATTACAAGCATGATGCAAGTGAGTTTTTAGTGCTCTAAAAAACTGGAGTACTCAGTTGGACTTTTATAACCATATAATTCTAGAATAGTACTCAGAGAATGCAGACTTCTACTACAACATTATAATTTATACTAACCAAACTTAAATGAATAAATGAATTACCACCAAAATCTAATCACTTTTAAGTTTAACCATTTTTTACCTATCCTAAATGTCTTCAAAATCCATCCATAACATTTTAAGTTAGGCCGGGGATAAACACACAGACAGATGGAGGTGAAACATATTAACCTATTCTTAATTATAAAGCCCATTTAGAACAGATAATCCTACGATGTACTGATCTGCAGATTAAACTACCATTACACAGATCAAATCTCGGCTCTGAGGCTTAACTGCTCAGCCCCTGCAAGGACATCAGGTGTGGAGGCGGGGAGACCATTACGGTATTAAGTGGCCTTCCTTTCATGTAGGGTCTGCCATATTTGATCTGCAGATCAGTATATCCAAGGATCGTCTGTTCTGAATGGGCTCACAGACTAAGCATTCCTTACCCGGTCCTTGCGCTGCTGAAGCTCCATACTCATGCTCTCAATCCTAGTCATCAGTTCCTTGACTTGTTTGTTGTGTTCTTCTGTAAGCTGCCTCACTCTGCGGTCTGTGTTTGTCGCACTATCAGCCAATTCTTTTTCCTTGTCTTGTAAATCTTGACTTAAGCTTTCAATCTAAAGGAGAACAGTGTTTTGGTTTACAGCATATTCATACCATTCGTATGGTATACAACCTCCTTTATTTTAAAAGCATTATTGGATAATCTTTTACCCCTATAAAAGACACAGTTCATAAATACCATTTCCATTTAGAATTTGCAAATACTGAAGCTTTCCTGTGTAAGGCATAAATCATGTCTTTGTTATTAGTAACTGGGGTGCATACTCTTAAAATGCTACCAGTACATTTATCAATGGTCCTTTTCCCACTGAACAGTACTAGTAAGCTGTAGATCCCCCAGACTGATACTATAAAGAAAACTATGTGGCTTGGTGTAAAAAGGGCCTAAGAAACTATACTGCTCATAATGAAAAGGGGCCTTAGACCAACATACCTTAGCCTGTGTCTCCTGTAACTGTGCAGACAAACTGGTCACTTTCTGCCTCTCCTCCTCTAATTCTTCCAGCAGCTTGTTCATTTCACCAGACTCAACTGCACTGTCACCTGACAAGAGCCTTGACCCTTCTTCAGCCTGACCTTGACCTGGCCTTGACACGACCTGTGCATGACCTTGACCTTGCTGCTGTGTGCTCTCCATCTCCACAGCTTCTCTGTCACTGGCTGCCATGTTTTGATCTAGGTGGCATTCCTTCTTATCCACGATTGCAAAATCGTCAGTGCCTGTGCTTTGGGCCATGATGTTCTGTTTAAGTTCTGATAACTCCGCCTGCAGCTGGGTGTTCATAGTAAGCAGGTCCTTCTTCTCCAGCAAAAGCCTCTGCTGCATTTCCCTTACCTTTGACAGCTCTGTGGATGACTCATCCAATTTTGCTTTCAAGTCCTTGTTCTGCGTCTCCATTTTGGTCATGGCTTCCCCTATCTCTGCCCTCTTCTGAGCCATTCTCTGCTTTTCTTCAGTGAGGTCTTCTATTTCTTGTTTGAAAGTTTGGAGTTGCTCCTGTAGTTGCTGAACCTGGCTCTGATATTCCTTGGCTTGGGTCTCTGCTGCCTCCTGCTTCACTTTGATCACATGGAGTTCCGCTTTCTGTGAGGGGCTGCCATCACTGGGGTATGACTGAAGCAGCAAGATCAACAAAGACTACAACTGTGTCCCGCTATGTACGATTAACAATTCTGTTTTGCATAAATCCATAGACTGTGTTTCTATATATAAACTTTACAATAAATAAATAAATAAATAAATAAATAAATATGGATTAAAAAAACTGAACTTGTACCTGGAATAGGCTGGTTGTATAAAGTAATGAAATGGTGCCACCCTAAAAGACCTACACAATTCTGAGTAGAGCACAAAGCTAACTATACCTCTCCTCCAGCAGAACTGGGATGTGTTTTCTTCAAATTCTGTATCTCTGCATTTAAGGCTTCAATCAGGTTATTGGAGTCATCAGCATTCTTTATCAGCTTCTGGTTGGTCTGCTCCAGCTCCTCAATCTTATGCTGAAGCTGAATTGAAAGGGATTCTTTACTTACAGTGACTAGACAGTCAGTTCTTGTCTCCACTTTTAGGATGACATTTATGTAAAACTACTACAGGAATTTGCTTAAGGCATACAATGCACACAAGGCCTCTCTCTCTATATATAGATGTAGCTAAAAAAATTCCTCGAAATGTCAACAATTTCCCCTTTATCACCAAAGTCTGAAAATGGTTTTATTAAAATCTGTAACTTTTAAGCTCTTTCACCATCTTTTGGTTCAATTTTCTTCAAAAAGAAAAAAATCCCCAAATTGGACATAACAACCTACTTGTAACATGTCTGTCCCTGTTGTCCCTGCGACTCCTTCTCGTATCTGAGCCTCCAGTGCAAGTATTTTCTTCTGTGCCTCATCTCTCTGTTGTCGTAAATTTGTCACCACCCTCCTAGCATCATTATACCTGAAACATGGGTGATTATTACTGTGACAGGGATCTTGTAGGCAGTTCTTTAACTTGTCTGGCAGTAAATGTACTTGTTGTGGTTACTGTTGATTTGGGTTCTTGACTTATACATTTAAGAATGCATGCTATAAATTATACCTGTTTCTAGTTTCTTGTTGAGAAGCTTCAATCTTTTTCTTCCACTCCTCTATAATAGAACGCTGGCTTCTCATAGCCTCAGTATTTTGCATCACAGTGCCTAAAATTAATTATACCAAATATTACTGTGTTATAATCTAGGACCGCATTCAGAACAGTGGACTATCTAGTCTGCAGGTCAAATATGGCGACCCATTAAAAAGCTTGCTGTCTAATCCACTAATAGACACAGAATAGATTCCCCATGGGGAAGTATTCAAGTACATTGGCCATATTTGACCTTCAGCCCACTGTTCTGAATGCGGCCTTAGAATTAAAGATATTAAGAGCAACTATTGAGGATTATAATTATATGTTGACATTCAAATATGAACCATGTTTATAAATTATGCCTTCCTTATTAGAATTTATTGAACTAAAAAAGGGTCTGCCTCAACTTCAACTGCTTACCAAACACAGAATTCTGTTCAAATAGATGAATACTTTTTTGTTCAGTCAACAAGACATTTTTTTCTAAACTGCAATACAATTCTAACTGATATTGGTAATTTCCTTACTTTTCAATTCCTGATTCTCCTGCATCAAGTCTTTCATTCTTGCCAAGGTCTCCTCTTGGGTCAATTCACTGGCCAGGGATTGGAGAGAGAATGTCAAGTGCTCTAAATTAACTGGACTGTCCCCGCGGTTGGATGGGCTGGTCACTCTGGACAGGATGACAAAGTCTGACCCAGCACTGCTACCTGACGGAGGTCCATTATTACCATTGACCTCCATTTCTGAAATAAGTGGATGAAACTGTTTATATTCATTTTTAAGTTATATAAATTTAAGTTAATACTCATATACAGTCACATATATCGCATGCAAGGCTTTTTCCAGCGAACCTTCTTATGATGGCTTAATTAGACTTTCTGAAATTTTGTAGGAAATTACTGGTGATAATTTTGGACCACCAGTCCTGGGAAAAGCCCTGATTGTACACAATACATGTGCAGCCTTATTCTTATGTTTTACTAAAATTAGTTTTTTTTTTAAATTTTTTTTTGTCTGTTGTTCAAAACACAATTAAACTAAATGTTAACTTTAGTTTTTCTGCCAAGTTACACTTTCATGAACTTGGTCAGACTAATTTCCAAACCCTACTCTGTTCTTGTTTACTTCATCAGACCTATCTGTACATATATTCTCTGCCCTTAAATTTGGTCAAGCGAGTCCTTTCAACTTGTTAATTACCCCTTTTAAAAAATATAAACTCCCATGTTGATAACTTGCATGCAAGATATTTATAAACTCAACCAAATTGAAATTAATTAAGTCTGAAGTGTTAAAACAGCTAGCTTGAACCTCAAACTTACAACTTATCCATGATATGTAAAATTTATTTAGAGATTAATCAATAATTTAGTGGAAGTAAAATACCTTGTACTGTACTGAAGTGATAAAACAACTCGAATCACAAATCAGATTTAAAACCTACCCATGATATCAAAATGCTAGCAGAGATTTCTCTATAATTTAATAAAAGTTATATACAAGTTTCTGTACATTTAGCAGGTAACTCAAACACTATCGTGTCCTGCGATATTGTTAATCTAAATGTACTAGTGCCTTACACAAGCTAATTTCTCTATTTCATCAAGGGTTTTATGACCAATCAAAAAATGTTGGGTGTCGAAAGTTGAAGTTGAAGCTTTTCTTCAAGTTTTATTCTCCAAAAGTCTAAGCATAGTAAGAGAAACAACCCGAAGCTGTTTTTTTCTGTTTCTATTTCAACGCCAAGTTGAGGGTGCTGAAATTGAAACTAAATTGTTTGACTAATCTTGCTCTTACTTCTGTAATTATATATGTCTGATTAAAAGTACACGTCTGAGGAAGTTTCTCACACACCGGTAATACAATGTTTGTTCTTACCTGTGAGGCTACCTTTACGTAAATCTTGACAGAAACGAAGATATTTTTGAGAGGAAATCAAACTCCGCCATTGGATTTCCCCGTTGACGTCATCGTATTTTTTTTTATCCAAGATGATACCAATGGTAATTTTTTACAAGTGTAAATTTATCTCCAATAAAGAATTGAAAATACTGAAAAGTTTTTGGGTTTTGTTTAAGTAACAGTTTTGATCGTCAAAAGGTTTTATGGGTTATAAGGAAAAGAGATACGGCGACATAAACATAAAATGACATAAGCTTGTCTTGATATAATGTAGGTCAACTCGAGGTCAGAATTCGCGGTTCGGTACATAACACTGATGTAGGGTCCTTTAAAACCGCTGTGTAATGCAAATGTTACTGAAAGATTTTCAGTTGCTGCATTGACGAGCGTGTAGATGGTTGAAATCCAAAATGTCTACGCCAGCAGATATCTGTGAGGCTGTCTCCAAAGGTACGTGAAGGTGTTTACAGTTTTGGATATGTACATTTTACGCTGACGCTGTGCACTGCATAACAACCAGCTGTAAATTTTACCATGCAGCCTAAGCCAATTAAGAGTGCGGTCGACGTTAATGCCGTGTACATGTAGACAGGTACAGGGACATACAGGTGTACACGCAACATACACATGACTCCTTACTGGGATATTGAAGGAATTAATATTTTACCCTGTACATGTACCTTGCTGTACTGTACATGCTCCAGTAGTATATGTATTTGTTAAATGTAGTTTATTGTTGTTTCTCAGTTTATATCTTTTCAGAATCGCCCAGTCATAAATTATATTTTAGACAGTAAAAATGGTTTTACGAAGTGACTATACAAAAACACCTAACAAAGAGTGGGATCATTATGGTATTGGTTATGGAGAGGGGTTAAAGGGAAAGGGGTGGGGGGTGCCTTATAAGTTATAATACATGCTACAAAAAGATTCCATCCAAAAGATTCTTACCACAGGAACATACATGCACTGTATATGTACTAGTACCAGTATTGAAAGGCTGAGAACTGATGCGCACGGTGGGGGTCTCTCAAGAAGATGGAGTGGAGTTTTTTCCTGGGCATATTATATTGCACAGGTACAGGTAGTTTTTTTTTTTTTTTTGGGGGGGGGGTCTTTAATCCTTATGTGTTATTTCGGGGTTATTTATTTATTTGTTTTTGCTATATTTTCAAAACAGATAAAGTAACTAATTCAGGTACTGGGGCTGTATACAGTGTATGTGCACATTTGGTATTTAATTACTAATTAGCAAACATTACACTCACATGGAACATCAAGCTTAGACGATGGGGATTAATGTTGCACACCAATAAGGGAATGCAGGAACACATTTGTAAGACTGGGTTCCCATGCCTAGATCAATCCATCTGGATTGGTCTAACTCCCCGGGGAGTCTCACTAAATTGCTATCAACTAAACTGGCTTAAATGTCTGTCAAACCTACCAATTCAATCAGCTAGGGTAAAGATAGTTACCGGATACCCCCTAACAGCTTTACTAGGCCTGACAGAATTTTAAGGCAGTTAACTTGATAGCAATTTAGTGAGACTCCCCAGGGAGATAGATTGATCCAAATATCTGTGGGAATGGTCCCTAAGATGTTTATAAAACTAGTACAGCATCAGTTTTACCTGCATGGATTATATCATTTACATGTATGTACCAAACAGTTGAACATAGTGAAATCAGTGGCTGTTGTGACTTGATTTAAAGGTTTGTGAAGACCTTGAGGCTTTGAAAGATGCAGGTGACTTATATTTCAAAAAGGTTTTGTTTATTTTCACCTGAAAGTAGAAAAAGTTGACAAATAAATTCATATTTAGAAAATAAATTCATATGTGAAACGGTTAATTCTGCGCATTTTTCATGTTTAATATATGTATAGTTGAAATGTTACTTCCACTTTGCTCTGCCTGTGTTTTCAGGTGATCTGCAGGGGCTGCTTCGACTTGTTCTGGCTGGAGCAGATGTAAACAAAGCTGAAGAACAAGGCATTTATTGTAACACTCCGTTACATTTAGCATCAGAATTGGTAGGTGGCATACCTCAGTCAATGCTGTTTTATCCACCATTAAATTTAAAGGCATCATATCCAGGACATCGGAGAAGAGTATTTTTTTTTTCAAGAAAAGGTGATTTTTTCCTTACTTATGAGTCATTGCTCAATCCAACCCTGTACTTGAAGTGGATTTTTATACCATTTTAAGTAAGTTATTTCCCTCTGAATGACTTCCGAGTTATTTAGACGATCATGTTTTTCTGACATTTAAAAAGGAAATATCAACACCAGGTGCCTTAATTTGAGATGTTTTATCATTTTAAATATCTGAAATAGAAAAAAAGTAGCTTGCAGGATATTAGACTTGAAAATGCAACNCAGAACAGTGGACTATCTAGTCTGCAAGTCAAATATGGCGACCCATTAAAAAGCTTGCTGTCTAATCCACTAATAGACACAGAATAGATTCCCCATGGGGAAGTATTCAAGTACATTGGCCATATTTGACCTTCAGCCCACTGTTCTGAATGCGGCCTTAGAATAAAAGATTTTAAGAGCAACTATTGCGGATTATAACTATATGTTGACATTCAAATATGAACCATGTTTATGCCTTCCTTACTAGAATTTATTGAACTAAGAAAGGGTCTGCCTCAACTTCAACACTTTACCAAACACAGAATACTGTTCAAATAGATGAATACTTTTTTTGTTCAGTCAACAAGACATTTTTTTTCTAAAGCACAATACAATTCTAACAGATAATGGTAATTTCCTTACTTTTCAATTCCTGATTCTCCTGCATCAAGTCTTTCATTCTTGCCAAGGTCTCCTCTTGGGTCAATTCACTGGCCAGAGATTGGAGAGAGAATGTCAAGTGCTCTAAATTAACTGGACTGTCCCCGCGGTTGGATGGGCTGGTCACTCTGGACAGGATGACAAAGTCTGACCCAGCACTGCTACCTGACGGAGGTCCATTATTACCATTGACCTCCATTTCTGAAATAAGTGGATGAAACTGTTTATATTCATTTTTAAGTTATATAAATTTAAGTTAATACTAATATACAGTAACATATATCGAATGCAAGGCTTTTTCCAGCGAACCTTCCCATGATGGCTCAATTAGACTTTCTGAAATTTTGTAGGAAGTTACGGGCGATAATTTTGGACTACCATTCCTGGGAAAATCCCTGATTGTACACAATACATGTGCAGCCTTATTCTTATGTTTTATTAAAATAAGTTTTTTTTTTAATTTTTTTTGTCTGTTGTTCAAAACACAATTAAACTAAATGTTAACTTTAGTTTTTCTGCTAAGTTACACTTTCATGAACTTGGTCAGACCAATTTCCAAACCCTACTCTGTTCTTGTTAACTTCGTCAGACCTATCTGTACATATATTCTCTTCCCATAAATTTGGTCAAGCGTGTCCTTTCAACTTGTTACTTACTCCTTTTAAAATATAAACTCCCATGTTCATAACTTGCATGCAAGATATTTATAAACTCAACCAAATTGAAATTAATTAAGTCTGAAGTGTTAAAACAGCTTGAACCACAAACCAGATTTACAATTTATCCATGATATCATTGATATGTAAAATTTAAGTAGAGATTTATCAATAATTTAGTGGAAGTTAAATACCTGGCACTGTACTGAAGTGATAAAACAGCTCGAATCACAAATTAGATTTAAAACCTACCCATGATATTAAAATGCTAGCAGAGATTTCTCTATAATTTAGTAAAAGTTATATACAAGTTTCTGCACAATTAGCAAGTAACTTAAACACTATCGTGTCCTGCGATATTGTCGATCTAAATGTACTGGTGCTTTACACAACCTAATTTCTCTATTTCATCAAGGGTTTTATGACCAATCGAATAATTTTGGGTGTCGAAAGTTGAAATTGAATCTTTTCTTCAAGTTTTATTCTCCAAAAGTCTAAGCAAAGTAAGAGAAATAACCCGAGGCTGTTTTTTTCTATTTCTATTTCAACGCCAAGTTGAGGGTGCTGCCCAATACACTGAAATTGAAACTAAATTGTTTGACTAATCTTGCTCTTACTTCTGTAATTATATATGTCTGATTAAAAGTAGACATCTTAGAAAGTTTCTCACCCACCGGTAATACAATGTTTGTTCTTACCTGTGAGGCTACCTTTACGTAAATGTTGACAGAAACGAAGATATTTTTGAGAGGAAATCAAACTCCGCCATTGGATTTCCCCGTTGACGTCATCGTATATTTTTTTTTATCCAAGATGATACCGATGGTAATTTTTTACATGTGTAAATATATCCAATAAAGAATTGAAAATACTGAAAAGTTTTTGTTTAAGTAACAGTTTTGATCGTCAAAAGGTTTTATGGGTTATAAGGAAAAGAGATACGGCGACATAAACATAAAATGGCATAAGCTTGTCTTGATATAATGTAGGTCAACTCGAGGTCAGAGTTCGCGGTTCGGTACATAACACTGATGCAAATGTTACTGTGTAATTACGTAAAGATTTTCGGTTGCTGCATTGACGAACGTGTAGATGGTTGAAATCCAAAATGTCTACGCCAGCAGATATCTGTGAGGCTGTCTCCAAAGGTACGTGAAGGTGTTTACAGTTTTGGATATATGTACATTTTACGCTGACGCTGTGCACTTCATTACAACCAGCTGTAAACCAGCCTAAGCCAATTAAGAGTGCGGTCGACGTTAATGCCGTGTACATGCAGACAGGTACAGGTATAGTAGACATACAGGTGTACACGTAACATACACATGACTCTTTACTGGCATATTGAAGGAATTAATATTATACCCTGTACATGTACCTTGCTGTACTGTACATGCACTAGTAGTATATATGTACCGGTATGTATTTGTTAATACCAGTATATGTACACTGTAGACAATGTAGTTTATTGTTGTTTCTCAGTTTATATCTTTTCAGAATTGCCCAGTCATAAGTGATATTTTAGAAAGTGAAAATTGTTTTTCGAAGCGACTATACAACAACACTGAACAAAAAGTGGAATCATTATGGTATTGGTTATGGAGAGGGGTTAAAGGGAAAGGGGGGGGGGTTGCCTTATAATACATGCTACAAAAGATTCCATCCAAAAGATTCTTAACGCAGGAACATACATGTATGTACTAGTACCAGTATTAAAAGGCTGAGAACTGATGCGCTCGGTGGGGGTCTCTCCAGAAGATAGAGTTTTTTCCCGGGCATATTATATTGCACAGGTAGTTTTTTTTTTTTTTTTTTTTTTTTTTTTTTGGGGGGGGGGTCTTTAATCCTTATGTGTTATTTCAGGGTTATTTATTTATTTATTTATTTGTTTTGCTGTATTTTCAAAACAGGTAAAGTACTAGTAACTAATTCAGTTACTGGGGCTGTAAACAGTGTACGTGCACATTTGGTATTTAATTACTAATTAGCAAACATTACACTCACATGGAACATCAAGCTTAGACTGATGGGGATTAATGTTGCACACCAATGAGGGAATGCAGGAACACATTTGTAAGACTGGGTTCCCATGCCTAGATCAATCCATCTGGATTGGTCTAACTCCCCGGGGAGTCTCACTAAATCTCCATCAACTAAACTGGCTTAAATGTCTGTCACACCTACCAATTAAATCAGCTAGGGTAAAGATAGTTACCCCCTAACAGCTTTACTAGGCCTGACAGAATTTTAAGGCAGTTAACTTGATAGCAATTTAGTGAGACTCCCCAGGGAGACAGATCGATCCAAATATCTGTGGGAATCGTCCCTAAGATGTTTATAAAACTAGTACAGCATCAGTTTTACCTGCATGGATTATATCATTTACATGTATGTACCAAACAGTTGAACATAGTGAAATCAGTGGCTGTTGTGACTTGATTAAAAGGTTTGTGAAGACCTTGAGACTTTGAAAGACGCAGGTGACTTATATTTCAAAAAGGTTTTGTTTATTTTCACCTGAAAGTAGAAAAAGTTGACAAATAAATTCATATTTAGTAAATAAATTCATATGTGACACGGTTAATTCTACGCATTTTTCATGTTTAATATATGTATAGTTGAAATGTTACTTCCACTTTGCTCTGCCTGTGTTTTCAGGTGATCTGCAGGGGCTGCTTCGACTTGTTCTGGCTGGAGGGGATGTAAACAAAGCTGAAGAACAAGGCATTTATTGTAACTCTCCGTTACATTTAGCATCAGAATTGGTAGGTGGCATACCGCAGTCAATGCTGTTTTATCCACCATTAAATTTAAAGGCATCATATCCAGGACATCCGAGAAGAGTATTTTTTTTTTCAAGAAAAGGTGATTTTTTTCTTACTTATGAGTCATTGCTCAATCCAACCCTGTACTTGAAGTGGATTTTTATACCATATTAAGTAAATTATTTCCCTCTGAATGACTTCCAAGTTATTAAGACGATCATGTTTTTCTGACATTTAAAAAGGAAATATCAACACCAGGTGCCTTAATTTGAGATGTTTTATCATTTTAAATATCTGAAATAGAAAAAAAGTAGTTTGCAGGATATTGGACTTAAAAATGCAACGGGGGGGGGGGGGGGGAATCATTCATGTCCAGTTTACCTTTAATATATATTGAAATCTTACTTTACAAATTCAATTTACTGGTATATATCTTCGTGATTTGGGGGAATATGCCAATTAAAAGTATAAAGAGAGGGATTATTAAGGAAAGTAAGGATTTCAAAATCTGTTTTAAAAGGGTTGAGTCCTGCTAATAATTTGCAAATATCTATGTCTGTAACACAAGTGACTTGATAAAAAGAAATAATTGGGTGATTATTATTATTTATCACCAGCTTTCGCTCATTGCGCTTTTTGTGTAATGTTAGGTTAATGTCAGTTTTGGATCATCAATTTCTTTTGGGGGAGTTTTGTGATAAAACAGTATTGATAATTTAGACTCCGTTCACATAGAAAGTCCATTTTCTAAAAATCTGTTTTCTATTTGCAGTATCTTGTAATCACGGTCCCTGTGCCCTGAATATCGCGAGAATTAATTACAGCTTTGGAAGTAACTGCCTCGCGCCGCCAGTAATTATGCTGCGGATATTCAGGGCACAGGGACCATGATTACAAGATACCGCGAATAGAAAATAGATTTTTAGAAAATAGACTTTCCATGTGAACGAAGCCTTATTCTGCATGAGTTACATTACTTTGTTCATAAAATGAACAGGTATGAAAACATTTTTTAGGATGCTGGAAAGGAGAACTCCAGGGATATCATACAGGTTCTATTAGAGAATGGTGCCGATGCCAACAAAGAAAACAGATTTCAACAAACACCTCTGCATTTGGCATGTCAGCATGGGCATCTGTGTATGTACGAGAACCTTAACCAAACAAATCAGTAGACTTTGCATACGTAGCTCATCACCTTATAACTTGAATTATGGTTGATCTCAAAGAAATCTCATGGAACTGCCTTTTTTGACATTGGCTTAAACATATGAATACTGCCAAATTTGAATCTTTTCATGACTGAAACAAAGTTTTGATCCAAACTGGCAGACATTTCTTATTTCCAGAATGTTGAGATTAGGAGATGGATCTAATGAGACTTACAGTGTGAATATTGTAATGCCAAGTCTACTGTATACCCCAGGACATTATAGGATTTAAAGTATATCATTTGATTTCCATAATGGAAGGACCAAAGCCATACACGCGCCTCACATAAGAATTGCAACACGCCCAAATCACTCTTTTTAACAAAACTACACAACCAAGCATCAATCTACTTATCTGCGATCCAGCGTCATTATGTGTGCTTCCCTAAAGAACGATAGATTATAGACATTTTGTCTGTTTTGCAGGCAACCTTAATTGTAATGTTTTCTTACACATCATCACATTAAGTTGTGTTTTACATAATGAAATGAACATCTGTTGATAAATGGCTTTACTTTGTGACATTAGCATAAACTTAATATTTTACTCCAACAACATTATGTGTCATTTCTCCTGTAGATCTGGCAACCGTCCTAGTTGAGCAGCTACGCGTGGATTTGAATGCTCCGGATTGTGGCGGGCTGACCCCGCTCATGCACGCCGTCTATCGGGGAAGACTGGAAATAGTGGATTTTCTCACCAAACGTGCGTTTTTAAGGAAGAGTAAATCTGTGTATATAAGAATTTGTGCAACGAAGACATAATCGTATGTTGATTGTTTCTGTATAAAAGAAATAGATAACGCTTAAATTGCATGATAACTAGACATTGCTTTTGGTCTGCTCTTTTTATATGAGATTTATATTAAAAACAAACGTAATATGTTTTCAGTATGAAACTACCATTAGGTGCGTTTTTAAATGTGCATTCTTATTTCAATTCCAGGAGGTTGTGACCTTGAAATACTTGATAACGAGGCTTCTAGCGCGTTAGATATGGCGGTGCTGAACCAGCAACAGGACGTTATTACATTACTATTGAAAGCTGGTTGTGAACTAGAGAAGTCAAAAGGACACGTTTATTCTCGCTCACACTACGTCAATTCTTATATATACTCTTTAATAAACCAGAACGATGTCAGAAATGTGAAATTATTATATGATAGCGGGTGTTCAAAAAAAGAATTCTATTTGCAAGGTTCGATTCACGAAAGCAACGAAATTGGCATTTCCGTTGAGATGAGGGAAGCGCTGCGGTCTATTATTTTTCAACCACGTACTTTGAAAAATGCCTGCCGCAGAGTTTTACGAGGGAGCCTTGCCCGTGTGAAAAAGAAAAACGAATTTCTTGGAAGCAAGTTCAGTAATCTCAGTTTGCCTAGATCTCTAACGTCGTATTTAGCTTTGGATGAATACAGACACGAGCTACAGGACGCGCTTTCCCAGACCAGAGATCAGAATATTTAACTTTTATAATCAACCAGTTCTAAAACGGCATTGAAATATAATTTTGGTAATTGTTTATGCAATTGTTGGCAAATGTAGCCTTTATGAGAAACCGACACCAGCAACTTTGCTCTGCAGTGGAACTTATATGAAAGCAACCAGAACTCGATTGATGTCTTTGGGATCTTTGCAGGGATGGGCATACGTGTATATAATGGTTTAGAACCTGCTGGAATTTAGCGCTGCTGGCGCAGTAAAATCCCGCCCCGGATGCCGCAATGGTCTTCACGACTGGCTCAGAGTTGTTACATTTCACGGCGTAGAAGGGTTTGACACGAGACAGTGCTTTATCCTTGTTAACTATGTCATTCAAATTGACAATTTAGAAAGGGCGCTGCAATAAAAATGTTGTTACTGAATTGGTTAAATCTCTGTTTTTGAAAACAATACACCTTACAAGCACCTAAAGAATAAACCTTGTAATCGGTAACAATAATCTGTAATGGCAGTAGAATATGTTTTTTGCATATACATAATCTAAATGACATCTACACTATAAACACATAATTATATTATTTAATTGCTATGCTTTATCATGAATGATAGACAATTTTTGGGGTATTTACTATTGCTTTAAGACCGACTATCTTTGTTTCCCAACTACCATTCCTACCCTGTTAGCCCTTCACTTATTTTAATTTTGATATGTTGCTGTATTGCCTTGCTGTTATAGTTCCCATGAAGATTTTGAAAAAATTTTCCGTACAGTGGGTCTGAATTGTCGCCATTTTGCTTTCTTTCCAAGAGTGTTCAGAGAAACTGAAATTAATGGTATATTTATAACAAAGCTAGGCTTATAAATCATAGAAAATGCCGAAAACCATTCAATCATTTGAAATTTTTTGACAGTTACGTTTTTTGTATCATATTTTTATTTTCCCCTCTGTTGCTCAGTGAAAATATACAGGCAACAAGTCGCTTGTTAGACAATACGTTGTATGATAATACCTCTAAAGTCCACAATGGCAATAGCATATTTAGTCAAATGTTTCGGAGTTTTTGTTGCCTAGTTTAATTTCACAGGATAGACAGTGTTATGAGGCCTGCATACGCGTGTGCGAATACCTCTGGATAGAAAGGACGCGAGTTCGACTCTGGCCGGCGACGTCCCATTTCTTCATAACCGGTACCTGCCGTCCCCATCCCCCGCTCCAGGGGCAGATCCAGGATTATTTTGGGGGGGGGGGGGGGGGGGGCCGGG